GGGGGGGGGGGGGGGGGGGTGAATGGCAGCGGGGGGTAGCGGATCGCGTGGTCTTTGGCTGGGTTGGGCTATCGTGTTGATGGGACAAGAGGCGGAGGGGCAGGGGTTGGTGCCTCGGTTTGACATTGACAGCCTATCTCGCTCTCTCACCTTGGCTTTCGCATCAGATCAAGTACCGCAGGCATTTGCCAGGAAGCAGTGCCATGGCTGGCCTCATGTCGCGGCTGCGCGCGGCGCGCGGTGGGGATGGCCCGTCCGGGGCTCAGCTGCACTCCGAAGCCGGTCGAGCGGCGCTCTTTGACACGGCCCTGAGCAAGCTCTACAAAACCATCGACCAGGTGCGTGAGGCATTGCGTCTCATCGTGCTCCTCCAGAATTTCGCGGCGCGGGTACACGCACGCCACGGCGCTACCTTTGCGGCGGACTCGGCTTGATCTGCCCCGTGTGTCACCAAAGCCTGCGCTCATGATATCTTTTCCTCCGGCTTGTTTCGTGCAGATGCAAACCAAGCGTGTCCACCTGTTCAACCCAATCAAGACGGCCGAGGAGCAGCTGCAACAAATCTATCTTGTCCTTGAAGCCGAGGAGGCCAGCATCCACGATGGCATGACGGGCGCCTGCCTGCAATACCTGCTCACCTCACAGCGCTTGCACAACATTGCCAAGGGTTTGCTTGGAGACCAACCCCTGGGCGCACGCCTCGTCTGGCTTAGCTTCATACTCCAAGTGCTCAGTCACTTGAAACACCCTCTGCTTATCCACGCCGAGGTCCTCGAAGCCCTGAACAGCACCATCAAGGTCCTACGCCGTGATCAGCGTCGCTTGGCCCTGGCCGAAGCCAACATTTATATGCAACTCTTGCTGCGCCTTACCGAGTACCTGGAACGCAATCCTTCATGTCTCCCCCTTTTTCTGGAGGAAAAGCCCCAGCCGGCATTCCCCCTCCTTGCCGCGCTCATGCCCTTTGTTCAGCATCATACCGACGAAGGCAAGCTTGCTCGTAAAGCTGTCGTGACTTGCTGCCAACTGGCCAATCACAGTCAACAGCTTGAGCAGTTCCTCCTGCGCCATGAGATCTTCGCCGCAGAAGTCGCCGGCGCCCTCGCCGGCGCTTATTCCAATCTCCCCATGTCCCTGCCTGCGCGGAGTCGGAAGGCCCTGAAGGCCTGGGCCTACGGTGCCAAGGCCTTTTCGCACCGTGTGCCCCGCGCCGCGCACTACTTTAACGCCCTCACCTTTTGTGGTCAGGTTGTGCGTGCCGTGCCCTCCTCCGTGCGTGGCCTCATTCTCGACCAAGTCTACCACGGCTTTATGCTCAGCGTCTTACTCCCCTCGCTACACCACCGCGCACCAGAAGAGGCGGTGGCCGCCATGAACTACTTGCGCATCAGTCTCAGCAGAACACGTAATACTCCCTTGCAGGGAGCCTTTCTTCGCTTGTTACTGGCTAGCCAATTTGAAGGCTGCTGGACTTTGGACCGACTGGTCGAGCGCCTCGAAACTCTTGGCGAACAGAGCCTCACGGCCCTCAGTCTCTTCCAGGCTCTAATCCGCCTACACAATGAGGACGTCCTCCTTCGCCTGTGCCTACGCTTTGTTCACCGCCCTCTCGCACGCGCCGCTGCCGCCGCCTCTCGCCCGCCATACCCGGGCACCCTCATGCCGGCTGACTCGGGCTGCAACAGCGAGCCCGAGTCCGACATCGGCACTGGCACTAGCACGAACACGGGCGCTGCCAATCACACTGGCGCTGGCACCGACACAAGCACCAGCGTACATGCCGACAAATCCAACCGCGTTCAACTGCAAGGTGGCACGCATCCAAACGGGTCTTCAGACGTGTCTGCTTTTGCGCTGCACAACGCACTCGAGATGAGGGCTGGGCGCAAGCTGTTACAACTCGTGCCTGCACAAACAGCCATCTCACCCTCGGAACGAACTTTTGAAGGCTATCTGCATGCAGCGTCTCAAGGCGTGGATGCTGCCTGTGCAGCTTGTGCGACCTGGCGCCTCAGCTACCTTCAGCTTCGTCCCCACCAATGGCTCGGAAAGGAAGATTTGGATATCGATGCAGCCACCGTCAATGATAATGCTTCGGCCGTCTCTCGATGTGAGAGCGAGGGTCTTTTTCTGGCGACCTTGAGTCGCCTGACTCGGCGCATGCTAGAGCACAACCTGGCAGTACGTTTCAAGTGTCAAAATATGTTTCAGCGATTCTGTGTGCTGGGCTCTCTCTGCTCCCACCTCTGCCCCCTCGCGCTCGCGGTAGTCGTTCATCCCACTTTTTCATGGCTTTGCCAACATTTGGGCATCCCACCTCGATTGGCCTCTCACCTCATCTCCTTTTTTTTTTTCTTGTCGTCCGTGCCCTCCACATCGTCGTTCTGGGTCCATGTCGTTCCTAGACAAATCTTCTTCTTTCCAGCATCGTGTCCATGCTTGCATCCTTGCCCGTACCAGCGCTTCGCAATTATCTTTTGGATCTCAACTCGCCCTCGATCGAGGGTATCTCGTTCGTTGAGCAGCTGCACGCCTTGCGTGAAGATTGCCTGCGACTCTTGGCCGAGGATGAGGGGCTCGAGGCCAATCTTCACGCCTATCGCGCTGGTGCCGAGGGGTATTCTCGGCCCAAGCACAGGGTCAAGGCCCCTTCAACAACAGCACCGGCTTCACCCGCTCGTGGACCTCTAGCCACGTTCCACTCTTCTCGTCGTAGTCGCGATCGAGCGGCATCCATCGTCGCCCTTCCACCTCATAGTGCTGCCAATGAACCTGGCGGCGTCAGTACAAGTGCACCGACGCCAGCCAGCCGAGCCTCAGACGCCGATGGTGCTTCGAGGAGAGACGCTCGTCCAGAAGAACCGACAATCGACGACGAGGCTGCCACCACTTCCAACGGCGGTTTTGATGACGGTACCTCCGAGCAAGATAGCGATTCGGTCTGCAGCAGCTATTCAGGATCATCCTCGCATCGAGCAAGCGCCGTCTCTGCTTCTCACCCGAGCACACGCCTCACTGCCGCTGCGCTTGCCACTCTGGATCAAGAGCGCCCACCGCTCCCCAGCCCAGCACTTGGGGCCACCACGGACACGGCGCCCAGCGTTAGTGCAGTTGGGGACGAGATCAAGGACAGCAAGCGCCGTGCGCTCAAAGTCTTGATCGTGCAAGAGTTTGTGAAGGAGCTGGCTGCTTGTGCCATGGAACAAAGCTTGTTGGCTGTGGCCATGTAGTTTGTATTTATGACGTCCGGGTCAAGCAAAGTTGCCTCTTCAATTTTTTAATTAACACGTAAACTTTCATCTCACGCTCAGCCTGGGCCTATGTTGGCCAAACTTCATCTTGTCAGGAAGCACTCAGTGCCTTGTTGCTCTTAGCATTGGATATTTGTCCCGCTCTCAGACACGCTCACCTTTACATCAGGTGCCGATTGAGGACGACTGGCTTTTACGCAGTCTTGGCCAGAACCGACTCCGCCTCTGCGTGACAATCCAGGGCGAGAGGACAAACGCTCTTCTCTGCGCTGGCTTGTAGCGGGAGTGGCACCGCCAAAGAGGGCACTGATTGATTTAGCACGCAGCCTGGGTAAGCAAAGGAGGCCAGGCCTTTGCGAGGCTTGAAGCCCACACTCATGGTCAAGAGCAGGATGGCTGCTTCAGTCAGTGCAACATCCAAGACGTGGTCTACGCCTGCAGTCGAGGCCAGAACGTACGAATGAGAAGACGTCGCAAAAACAACAATCACAACAGCAGGCAGACCCACAAGAACAGAGCGAATAGCATGCACGCAAAAACTAGGCACGACAGCTATGCATGACTGGGCACAGGCCAGCGCACACACTTACCATATTGAAGGCGCAGCACGCAGACTAAAGGCGCAGTGCTGAAGTCTGCGCTCTTGGACGCGCGCCAAAGCCAGAGGCTGCTGTCATTCGCCAAGGTTACCACGAGGTCGCCAGGGCCCCCGGAGCGGATCTGAGTGACAAGGGCTGCGTGTGAAGGTAGGGTGACGACAGGCGGCGCAGAGGTTGAGGTCGTGCCCACGGGCGGAAGGCCGGCATGATGAAGATGATTGTCATCCCCTGCTCCCAAGACGGCAGGCGTCTTGCCCCCTAGAATTGCAAGCACAGCAAATGGCGGACGTTGTGAGGGTGGAAGCACTTGATTTCCCGGCGTGCGTTGCGCTTATCGCACCGTTTGGGATCAAGGCCAGGGCTGTCACGGTCACTGAGATGTGGAGCTGAAAAAGTAGTGGGGCTTCAAACGTTGAACCGGACCTAGCAGCCCATCAGAGCAAGCCATGACTACGGCGTTGCTCGCACAAGCATGTTTGCAAGGCGTTGCAAGAAAGCTGGAGAAACGGGACCAACCCTGAAACGAGCCGGTAGCAGCAGATACCATCCTCAAAGGTTCCCACAGCCAACCAGTCCTCGTTCGCTGTGAGAGTGGGCGTGGCGATACCAGGAACGACGGCGAGTGACTGCCGCTCTACGTCACTGTGTGGATGGGGCGGAATGACGGCAGCTTCGATGTTGCCGCGTGCGGTCAAAACCAATAATAGGCTCAGGGCTGCGCCACCAAAAGTTACATCGATGATGGTGTCGGGCAGTTCAGTGTTTCTGTTCGGCCGCACCGAGGCAGCACACACGACGCATGTAGTTCACAGGCAATAATGGCAGTGAGCTGGGTTGAGTCGGATCAAAATCGCGATGGCATGCAGCGCACGGCAGCCTTACCCAGTCACAAAGATATTGCCATCACCGTTAGCGCCCAGCCGCACAAGATCATTAGATGTGGCCCGCCAGCTAAAGCAAGCACCATCGGGGGCGGCAAGAAATCGCAACGTCTTGCTTGCTCGCCGCGAGAATGAAAACGTGCAACTGTTTTTCGACTGCACCAGCTCTTCGGCCAAAGACTGGAAGAAGCGAGAAAATTTTTGACCAGTTGACAAGCATGACGTGAGATGTGCGTTGTAGAAACGGATGCAATCTTCCCGAGGTTGCAGAGAATAGGGCCAGGGAAAGGGTCGGGTGGCGCTGGAGGATGGCGGATACGAGTGCAAGCGTGTTCATGGTTTATGAACGAGTGCAACTGCAATCCTACCTGAGAGGAGGGGCATGTCACTGCATTGCGGTGCGCCTCATTCTTTGGCTTGCTCTTCACGCTTGGTCGGCCAAAATTCAGCAGCGTTTGCTGTGTACTCTTGGGCGGCGCTGGTGGGGGAGATTGCATCGCCGGAGGGGGTGGCTTGACGCTTGGCTTGGATCCTCGTAATTGAAGACCTGTGCCCGAGGGCACGTTTTCTTGATTGGTATGCGTGCTTGAAGAAGTCGTGGACAACATGGGGGGAGGGGGAGCAGTTGGGGGCGGTGGCTTAGTCTTGGGCAGCTCGACGGCGAAACAAATTGCGCCTGGCTTTGAATCAGTGGGTGCAGTAATGTTTGGTGTTGGCGTCACTTTGGAACGCTTGGTCTTGGTCTTTGACGCATTCCTCCCACCACTGGCCGTTTCAGAGGTCCGTTTGAACATGGCATCGATCCGTTGGTGAGGAGCAACAGGGTCTGATGGCAAGTCCGGCAGCTTCTTGGTTTCAGGTTCAGGATCAGCGCCCGTTGCTGTTGCATCATTGGTGACGGAAGGCAAAGGACACGCTTTCGTAGCTCGCGTGCCAAACAGCGTCAGCTGTCGAGGCTTTTTGGTTGATACGGCCAGCGGATCACGAACGGTCTTTGGTGTTGATGTGGGCACGGATAAGTCCACACTGGCTGGGGGCAGCGTTGAGCCTTCTGATTTTAGCTGAGTCACACTCGGGGCGGATGAAGCCGGGATTACCGGTCGCCCTTTGGACCGGCCATCTGCGTCAGTCAGATTGGACACCGTTGAGCCGGCCTTGAATGCATGGGTGTATCGGGTGAGAGTTTTGATGCCCCCATCAAACACGCAAAGGCTGACTTGCTGACCAGCCGGGTCTACGGTCATGGCAAGGGGCACGGCAGATGATAGCAAGGGGGACAGTCAGTCTGGGCCTTTAGGAGACGGTGGGCTCGCTCTTGTAGTTGCGAACCGCATGAAGGGACCGACCGGGGTGCGCACGCAGGGAAACGATGGCATCGGCAGGCGAGAGGTTGACACGTGCATGGCCCGTTGGCATGTAGAAAGCTCGCAGGCGGCGTAGCTGCACCGCCGTCTCATCTTGCACATCGTCTGAGCCTGGATGTGCGCTCAGGTCGTGTTGACAGTGGCTGCATTGTAGTTGTTGCAGCCTAGCACAAATGCACTTGACAATGAGGGGCCAGCGCAACTAGAAAAAAAAAAAAAAAAACACGAAAAAAAGGCAAAGCACCACTGCTAACAGAAAAGGAAAGAGGGGAAGGGGAAGGGGGAAGAGGCAAGGGGCAAGGAGAAAAGGTTGTGCGCAAGCCATAGGCGTACAGGTTGAGCGGGGAAGCCCCGGGAGGACAACGCAGCTGAAGGGATTTGAGAACGTCAGCGGGCGAAGCCTTCAGTTGGAATCCAGGACAGTCACAGGGTGTGCCTGATATCAACGCCTGAATCTTGCTGTCGTCAAGGCACGGGTACAAGCCACGTTGCGGCTCTGCCTTGACGACATCTGGTGAGTCTAGGCTCATGTACTGACCCTGCTGGTTCTCTCGTTTGGGCTTGAGCTGCGTCCCCAGCACTTGAATGAGTGCGACGAAGAGGTGCAGGTCCACGGCACATGCAGGGCCCCGTAGCGATTCGACATACCAATGCAATACAGGGCGCATTGGCACGCTCCAGCCGCGCACGAACTTCGGACTCAGCTTCCATGGCCAATCCACATGGCTGTCTCCCCCGCTGCCTTTTGGCGCTTTCTGCCACAAAACAATTTTTTTTTTGAATTTTTTGTTCTTTGAGAGCAAAATGAAGTGACCGTTACTTTTTTAAGATGATTTTTCTCATTTCATGTCGTGCGTTGTGCGTTGGTGTGTGATGGAAGGAGGATTATGCGAGCATTCTTCACAGTGAATTGGGGTCAGAAGGGGTGGTGAGGCAGAACGCACAGGCACATGCACAGGAGCACACGGACACGCCTCAAAACAGATTAAAGGATGGAGACAGTCGGACACACTCGCTGCACAGGATCGCCTGGGGACTCATGACCAACATGGCTCAAGTGCCATGATCAAGAGGAACGCCAAGAGAATGCTCGACGTTTGAAGTAGGGCGGAGCCGCACGTGTAGCAGCGCTCACCGTACACCTTTTGAAGGTTCATGAAGATGACTGCATTGTTGGTTATGTCTGCCTGCAGTGCTGCCTCCAGCTGCGTCACTGTGGCTGCATGGTCTCCGTACACCGTGATGATCAGCGTCGCCACACCATCTAGCGTGGTCAAATCGGTAATGTTGAACGCATCAGCCGACAGTCCAAGAATGCGCTGCACGTCGGGTCCTACAGCCTTGAGAATGACTGCCAATGGATGCATTACGACCAAACGACGAGCTTGAGCGCAGGCCGAAAACGACTGTTAAGCACCAAAAGATTGCAATGATACATGGTGGCTGGGTCTCTCACCGCTTTTATTGTGGCGGGCGTAATCAGCGTCAATGTCGGTCAAAACCAAGCTGAGTTGCTGAGCGGTGGATTTAGCGATGGCGGGGCACGCATCAACAAAGCTGCGATTGCACTTTGCAGCCACCTCATCCAAGTGCCCAAACGTTGTGGCCAAGTCAGATGAGGAGGCACCGAGCTGCATGACCAAGCAAAATGCATTGTGCCGGTTAGTGCAAGAGGTACGGGTATGGCGGCAGTGCTGACTCAAGTATTCGCCGCGTGGCATGCAACAAGAGCGGAATCGTCCGCGAAAAGCCTACGTCATGAGCAAACTGCCGATATGTCGCGTAGCAGCAACCATATTCGTTGCGAACCGGGGTCCATCGGCGCTGGCAACCCCTATCAGTTCGCAAACCACGGGTGCAGGCACAAGCTTTTGCGTTGAGTTCCAAATTGACGGGTTGCTTTACTCAAGGGCCTGAACTCGTCATGAAACATGGACGCATGGTACAAACCAGGTACAACGGTCATCTGCAGGCACACGGTCACACATGTCTGGGCCCGTGTTGGTGCCTGTAGCTTGAAGCCCGACCGTCATGAGCCCCGCCACATCCTCTGCAACTTTCGAGCATAGCTGTGGCCAGGTTGCAATAAGTCCCCGGGAAAGAAGGGGGTCAGCTGGTGAGGGGGACGCTGACTCGGTGCCGGTGGCAGAGGACAGGCGAAGAGAGGACTACCTCTTGGTCGGTAGACCTAATGCAAGCCTGCTCTTGATAGACAAGGTCCTTGTCGGGCACGGGCATGGAGAATGCAACGGCGGCTGGGTATAGTTGTTGGCGCACTAGCATCTTGCTGGCGCAACGTCCCATCTCAGTTTCCTAACAAACAGTTGCCGGCGCGCAATATAGAGCCAAGAATGTCAAGCGCGTCAAGTTTCTTCAAGAAGCAGTTTGCGGACCGATTGTGCGTCGCAGCCACTCACGTGGCAAAGCGCCTGGCCAAAACGGGCCAGAGAGGTGTTTTCATCGCTGAGGGCTAGAACATTCGCAAGGCGTGGGTAGCAAAAACGCTCCTGATCCGTGCACGCAAGCGCATACCAAACCGAAGCGTGAGGGCAGCCACATGCGACCATAGGGGCATATTGTGTGCTTGAAAAGAACTGGTTCAAATTTTCTCATCCAGATAGGCTCACTTCATCGCGCACACACAGGGCCTCAAGGTGCATGTACTCAGTGGGTAACTCGCTCTCTGCTGCCATGAGGCTGAGAAACTGTCAAGCATCGAAGCGTAGATGAGGAGGAGCGTTTTGCGTGAATCGGGTGGCAAGTTCCAGCCACGTTACGGCAAGCCCAGGGTCAATAGCAATGGGTTTGCAACTCAGATATTCTGACTTTGTAGGCACAGGGGGTGCACATATTGCCCAGCAGGGACTCGCGCGCTGCAACGCTCAGGGATAGATTTTGAACACGGGGCAGCAGGCTATAAAAGCGCTCTTCGCTATACACTCCAGCGCAGTACATGTTGTTCTTGCGTGTACACGTGTAGTCAAACCGGCTCTGCGTTTTTCCCGGGTGTAAGATCAAGGTGCGCCCGTTGTTCATGCTCACGTGAAAGTCTGTTGCGCGCATCAACGTGCCTTCCAAAACTTGAACGCCGGCCAGTCAGTGCATTGGGCATTTATCATTGCGGAGAGGTAGCGATCAAAGGTGGCAGAGCAAGAGGAGCAGGTCTCTGCTGCCAGGGCCTGCGTATTCGTTGGCATTGGGTATTTGGGCAAGCATGAGGGCGGGCGGTGCAATCCAAGCGTCAAACTGTTCGTGATGAAGAGCAGAGGTCAAGCCACACCTGAGCAGTTTCGCCGGCATCTGCACGAAGAAGGCTGCGTGCACTTCGCCAGCAATCAATACCAAAGGTGGTCGACGAGATCCAAATCAAAGTGTCTCGATTCGTGTCGATGCAGGCCGAGCTCGGGCTATCGCACTACATCGATCAGGAGCACCGCACCAAAGAAGCCATTCCCCCAGCGTTTTCCGCCCCCACAAAAAAAAAAACAAAAAAACGGAGAGGTTAAAATAAAAGCCAGGCGGGGGAGCGGGCGGAAAGGACGTGGCAACATGCAATACCACATCAAGCATCAGATGGGGTCCAAGCATAAAGACGCTCACATAAACCAAAGCAGGGAGGCAGAAACACAGAGAGTTGGCCAATGATGAGTCGCGCACCTCGAGGGATTTGATGTAGACACGTTCAATCTCATCAAAGTTCGTGTCGTTCAGCACAGCTGAAACTGCGAGGCAGAAGCGGCTTTTATCGTAGAGGCGCTGGAGCGCGTTGCGGCAAGCGGTAGAAGAGCACAGGCCGGGCAGGGCCGAGGCAGTGGGCTGAGCGGCTGCAACAAGTGTCTCAAAATCTGAAACCGGGCACGCCTCGAGGACAGCTTCCTGAAGATCAGGTAGCACCTCACAGGGCGTGGCGTCGGTGGCATGCACACCCATGTTTGAAGGTGCACATACAGCAAGCGCCGTGGCCAGGCTCAAGAGTACGCCCAGCGCAGGGTTGGCGCGCTCATGTGAAGCGGCCATGATGGGCGACATGAAGCGCATAATATTGGTTCGATGCCAGTCTCCAGCCACCGCCCCACCAAACAACACTGCGACTCTCGCCAACGAAACAGAGAGAGAGAGAGTTTGAGAGAGTTTGAGAGAGAGAGACGGATAGAGAGAGAGAGAGTTTGAGAGAGAGAGTTTGAGAGAGAGAGAGAGAGTTTGAGAGAGAGAGAGAGTTTGAGCGAGAGTTTGAGAGAGTTTGAGAGTTTGAGAGAGAGAGAGAGAGAGAAAGTGCTCTGTACCCAAAGATCCATGCACGCAAGCAATTTGTTGATGTTGAACAACAATTTGTCATGATTCTCAAAACACGTCCATGATGAAGCATCTTGAGAAAGCCGAGGTGATGGCTGACTCGCCGCCTGCCCGGTGTGGCAGAACGAACGAGTGATTGACCCACGAGGCTGAGGTAGGGTAGAGATACAATTAAAATTCTTATCCATGCTCCCGAGAGTTTATCAATATACGGCGCCGAGAGAACCACGTTGCACGCATGCGACAAAGGACCGTCGCAGGCTCTGCGTCGATGTGTCACTGCTCAAGTGTCGACTTGCAAGTCTACAGCAAGTGGCTGCTAGCGTTGGATGGAGGGCCGCCCACCTCACTAGCATTTGATGCCGCCCGCATGCTGCCGTTAGGTTGAGGCTGATATTTGTACGTCTTGAACGTGTTGTAAATCACGCCGTCATTGCGCACCAGCAATAGTGGCACGGTGTAGCTGGCAGTACAGACAGCCTCAGATGACTCGACGGCCTATGGACAACCAAATGAGTCAGCGAGCACAAGTGGTCGCAGCAAAAGAGGTGGCCATCAACGGCTCCCTTGGGCACAGCGCGTTCCGGAAACGACCCCGAACCTCGGCATACGAAGGCGGCTTGCAGAAGAGCAGCTCCTCGCACCGGTAGTACGTGCAAGCAGGTGCCGGGCCAAAGAAAACCTAGAATCCGAAAACAAGGCCGGGCAAAAGTCAGCTGCAGCACTTGGTGTTGGTGACAAGACAAGCCACGTCGGCTCAAGAGCCTAGGTTCTGGAGCTCGCATGGAACCCGCATGTTTGCTTTTCCAATGACAGTGAAGCTTATACATTATTGTGGATGTGCAAATTCATGTATTTGTGCGCGAAACAGAAGACGGCTGGGGAGGAACGTACCGTCAACATGGTGCTGAAATGCTCGCCATAGAGCTCTACCATTGGTCCCAAGGACTGTTGCGCAGCAGCATCAAAGGGTTGCATATAAATCGGAACGAGAGCGTGTCGATGAGGTGGTCATGCGAGCGATTGAGCAAACAGCAAACATGTGTGCTTTTCCCCCACCTTGACCTCATCGACCAGAGGCACGGGCGTGATGGGCTTGACCATTTCGCCTTCAATGTGTTGAACAAATCGATCAATGGTGTGATCAAAGAAGCTGTACTCGAGGCGAGCTCCCGTGCAAACCGTCCAGATGGATTGCTCGGAGAGCTGGACACCGCTCCCCTTGTCCGCCTTACTGCGGGCACGCTCAAAAAACACCGAGGCTGAGCCATTGCTCGATTGAAACTTGAGGTACTCGGTTTCCTTTGTCTCAGGATTGACTCGGCTAATGGCCACCTTCTGAAGTTGGGAGACACACTCGTTGTCCACAGGCACCACTGCGTTGCGATCACAGCGGTGAATGGTGCAAACCATTTCCTTGTTTGTTTGTGCGCACTGTGAAATAGGGGCCAGAAGTGTGGAAGGTCGGTGAGCAATACATGCCACGTGCAAAGAGCTGCACGGCGGGTGGCGCACTTACCTTCATTCGAACTTGGCGATCGTAGACAATGTAGCGGTCGTTGCGCGAGGCAAGGTTGGCTTCGTTGTGTTGCTATCATAGTTCCAGGACATGAGAACCCCAAAAAAATATCCGTACGGAGGTACAAGTGAGTGTCAAAGGTGCGAGAAGAGAGGGAGGAGGGGGGTTGGGCACAGGCAAATGTGGTGCGGGAAGAAAACGGTCTAGCTTGGTCTCACGCACATTGGTATGATCGTTCACAAGCTTGAGCGCGTGCCAGCCTTCGTCCGAGCAATCCGGCTGGCCCTCCTCATTGAGGCGAAAATAGTATGTGGCCGCGTTGGTACTGCGCGAGCGATGAAAGAAGAGGGCTTCACAGCCGCTCTCCATATACATGTCCGAATGCGACTTGTTGCTCTGCTTCTTCTTACTCGGTTTGGAGATGACGCGCAACGGCTTGGAGGGGAAGGTGCCCACGTCGCGCACCTCGTTCGACTCGTCATTCTGAAAAAACACCTTGAGCTGTAGGCAAAAGCTCTTCCGCTTGTCAGTGTCAGGAATAAAGAGCTGACTCGCTGTGCCGTGAAACTCGCTGTCCGCCAATCTTGAGAGCGGAATTTCAGTTTGGTGGGTGTGCTCGTAGTTGAGGTGCATGCTGACAAAAACACGTGGTTCACCTAGCTGCGGATGGTTCCAGTTTCGCCCCGACAGGTGGATCTGCGGTGGCGGGCAAAAGTAGCGCTTCTCGTTGCCATAGCTCTTTTGAACCACACGGGGATGGAGGATGGTCAACTTCATATCTTGTGCGCCCGTGTGTGTCGATTCAAGGTACGCCTTAACGCAGCTCTTAATGTCAACCACGTTTGAGGATCCAGGGGTAGCGGAGGGCTGAGAAATATCGTCTTGGCCATGGGTAGTCAGGTCCGTGTTGCCGAAATAAGCCGCTTGAGACACGGATGCTGCTTGTGAATAGTGAGGCATGGTGCTTATGGTTGAAGATATGTCTGAGACCAGGGGTTGCATGTTTGAGACCATGGGCTGCATGTTTGAGGCCACGTGTTGCATGCTCGAGACCATGGGCTGCATGCTTGAGACCATGGGCTGCATGCTTGAAGCCACGGACTGCATGCTTGAAACATGGGGCATGCTTGAAGCCATGGACTGCATGCTTGAAACATGGGGCATGCTTGAAGCCATGGACTGCATGCTTGTAACATGGGACATGGTGGTGGTAGCCATGTTGTAAGAGGTGTCTGAGGTCGGCGGCAAGTCCGAGTACATCTGGGCCGAGGCAGAAGTGCCCATGCTCATTTGAGAGGCCAATGTGGGAGGGTACCCGGAAACATCTCCTCGGTCTAGAAGGGCTGTCGACGCAGCAAGCGAGGGCAACGGAAACAGTGATGAGCAAAATGCCTCAGGGTTGGGTGACAATGAGAGAAATGGGGGTTTAGAAATACCCATAAGAAGGGGCTCCCTCAGGATCGGGGTAGGTAAAAGGCTGGTATGTTGGGAGCAAGAACACAGTACTTACATGCAAAGTTTCCATCCGCCAATGATGGGAGAGCCTGGCTCACGATGGGGTTATTCGAGGCAAAATCAAGCTATTTTGCAAAGTAAGCGGTCCAATCAGTCAAACCCGATAGATTGCCAGGTGAAAGTGGGTAGACATGTGTGTGTGTGTGTGTGTGTGTGTGTGCCCAAGAAGGTTGAAAGGTCATCTGCCCAATAGCAAGGGAAAGCCATAAAGCCATGCATGCGGCATCGGGAGAAGGTATTGCATAGCGCACCGTATCGACGGCAGAAACACCAGTCATAGTTGGTGGCGCATACATTGATGGGTCTACATCGGGCAAGGGTCATTACAGGGTGAGTCTGAGAAGCGATGACCTTGAAAGACACAGTCATGCATGTTGTTGAGAGCGGGGTTGAAAGCCAAGTGCCTCGCTCGGAGGCCCAGGCCTTGGCATCATCAACCAGGCAAGAACGTCAGAGGCAGCACAAACCTTGGTACATGGAGTGGTCGCCGGGTTTGGGCAGCTACGTACAACCGATGGCGAGTGAAATCCAAATCCAACCGCCATGAGAAGTCAGGGATATCAAACGAGCGATGCGCTGCCGTGCACATTCCAACCAACCTTGGCGAGCGGTGCCCCGGGATCAAAGTAGTTGCTCGAAGTGGCGGGCACATGGTAATCGGAAGCGGTTGATCGCTTGGCCATGGTGACAAAGTTGAACCTCCCCCACCAAATCAAATCACGCCGCAGCACACTGGCAACAAAACACCTCTTCCCCCCTTCTCCTCCTCCGGGCAGCAGGCAGGCCGCAAAAGGCAGCCAACGCTTGTCGTCACCCGAGACCCCTCTCTCTCTCTCTCTCTCTCTCTCTCTCTCTCTCTCTTTGATGCTGTCGTGGCCCGTCGTCAGACAAAAGAGAGAAGTGAGAGAGAGAGAGAGAGAGTAATGTAGAGAGAGAGCGAAAAGAGAGAAGAGAAAGGAGGAGACGCTTGAGACAGGTGCGTCAGGTGCTGACATTATTATCACAAACCGTGATAATTGACACACTCATGCAACAAAGTGACAAATGGTAGCATATACAGATAAAGTGTAATGAGAGTCACACTACAGACCACACTGCTACTTTGTCTGACTTTTTTGGTTCTTTTTTTTTTTTTTTTGAGCGGCGGACGGGCTGCGGACGACGGTGGTCGGCAGCGGGCGGCGGGCGGTGCTTCTTGGGTACACGGCCGGCGGGCGGCAGGGTTGGCATCGCCTTGCAAAGATTCAGAAAGAATTGGGTCTTTTGATCTGCCTGCAAGTTGTTTTCATGAGTAGGATCGAAGAGATCTCGTCCTTTTCGTCACGAAAGCTTTTGGCTCGCTCAGCTGGCACAAGATGGCCTGGCCGTTGTGTGCCCGTGCTGCGTGGCAGCGGCCTTGGGTCTGTCTGCTTCTGGCCGTGTGGTTGGCTACGATCATCTTTCCCAACCCGACTCAAGCTGAAGAGAGAATTCTACGCCGACGCAGCCAATTTGATATCATCAAGCAACACGCCAGCAAGTATCTTCCCGAGGTCAATGTGACCGAGGTGGTGGAACACCTCGCGTCGCAGCCTCAATTGCCTCCCTGGATCTCCCAATCGACCGAACTCTTGGTCCTCTGTGGCCTCAGCGCAGTCGGCGCTCGGCCCCTGCCAGCTCTCGGATTTATTCTCCTTGGTGCTCTTTTGGCCTATCTTGCTCTACGGCGACACCTTCACCGCGAAAATCTGACTGTTGAATCCTGTCGCTGGCTCAACGCGTGGTGGGCGCATACCCAACTCGACTACAATCAAGAGCGCATGCTTGAAGCTGCCGCTCAGCTTCTCAACAGCACTCTTCATGGTATCAAGGAATCGCACCTCGCCACCACCCAGGTAAGGCTCTCCCCGCCCCTGCTGGAGCAATGTTTATTTGCACGTGATTGGTTTCTGGCACGCCTTTGCCTTGTAGCTCATTTGTGCACATGCATCCGGTGGTGCTCCCTCCACAGGTTCGCTTCAATGTCACGCGCGTAGACATGCCTCCCAATTTTCGACCCCTCCTGAGTGGGATCCAGGCCACGCAAGTTGCTGTCGGTGACAGTGATGCTGTTCGTCGCGTGCGTGTCCAACTCGAGGTGAACTTTGATCTGACACAGGCAGATGAAACTGATTCAATCATGATCGCCATCGAGCTGGCCAATGGCCAACACAGCGATATTCGTTTGGCGGCCTGCCGCGGAAAGGTTTGTGTCCAGCCTCACCGGCCAGTGCCCGCCACCAGGCCCACGCATGACATGCTGACTCGTTGTTTTTGCATGCATCATTCAGGCGGCCATGTGGTGGGAAACCGATCGCAGCACGCCCATCATCAACCTCAGTGTGTTGCAGATGGATGTCCTCGAGGTTGAGCTCCCGTCCAATCTCAAGGCAAGCCCCGAAACCCGCCTTTCTTATCTTTGGCTGGCTGGCTGCGCTCCAGCTCACCCGCCCCGCCTTTTGCTGGAAACATCATCTCCACCCAGGCACCTAGAAAAATCGTCGAGGCCAAGTTGTGCGCGGCGCTTGAAGCCTGCATGCAAGATCCCGGGTCTCTCAAGGTCAGACCGAGCTTAGCCTCTTGTTCGCGCTCGAGGTGCCAGCTCAGCTCACTGCCCACCGACTGAACCCCTGACCTTGCTTCCACCCTGCCCAGTGGCCGGCACGTGATGTTGCCTCCGTCCAAGATTCCACGAGTACGGCCATGGGGCCAACGTCCAGAGGCTCCCTCAGTGTGGCTCCTGTGAGCGTTCGTCCCAAAGTGAAGATCACCTCGAGTGGACAGCCCACGGGCCGTTCGCTATACGAGCAAGGTCCGTGTATGGCGCCTATTACCGTGACTTTGGCCTCTGAACGTCTCTCGCCTCTCGCCTTGACCCAACTCCGTCGACCCCGCACATAGATTCACACGGTGCAGGGACGCTGAACGTGCGCATTCAGGGCGCTCACCTCAAGCTCGACGAGGCCATCTCCACGCTGGCTGCGCTTTATGTTGACGCGTAAGTGCACCGTAGCCTCCTCGTCTGAAATCACAACGCACGAGAAAATTTCTTCCAAGCGAAGAGTGGCTGAGTCATTTTCTTTGGGTGAGCACCGCGTCAGAATCAGGCTCATGGTCGTTGATTTTGATGCTGTTTTCTTCCTCAGGCCCTTTCAGGAGTGCAAGACTCACAACTGCCCCGAAAGTCTCAGCCCCGAGTACAACCAGGAATTCTCGCTGTACGTTTCTGCACCTGCCTCCTCATCGCGGCGTAATGCTTGCGTGCTTTCCTCTCTCTATCTCGGGTATGGCTTTGACCGGAGTGGAGTTGTGCATGTCTGATTGTGTGACTCGGATCTTATAGCGAGATTGGTGAAGAGTCAGAATCCATTGCGGTGCACATTATCGATGCCAACGACGACAACCATGTTCTCGGCTTTGGAAGCATCAGCGTCGAGGAGCTGTCCCACAAGCCGTCAGGTCATGTGGTGCAGCTGACCGCTCAGCCTCAGGCCATGGGTACGAACTCGACTAGGGAAAGCAGCGGTTAGGCTATCAGCCAGCTGGGCTAGATTGGGCGTCGCTCATTCTGTGTACCTACTATCTGCCCTCTTGCATGTGCTTCGGGCTTTTAGGCGTCGGTCGAGGCACAGTGCAGTTGTTTGCAAACTTTACCCGTAAGTGATTGGGTTCCCAAAGACCCCTTCTTGGAATACTTTGAAAAGTTTTTTTTATTTTTTTTAAAAAAAAGTTCTGAATCAGGCTCTCGTAAACCGGCTCTTTTTCATTCGGCCCACTTGCCTTGTTATGAAACACACGCACGCGCACGCTCGCTCTCTGCTATGAAATAGGTGCAGCCCGGGAAGTGCGACTTTCAAGTATGTCGAATGTCGTTGCTGTCAGCACATTTTGCACCCCCTCCCACTTCTTCACAGCTCACGGCGGCGTTGTTTTTGACAGACCGCATGGAGGTATCAGATGCTGGAACCGAGCCTGAGGCCGTGCCCATGTCGCCCGTCCTCTCGCGCCTGGCCAACCCCGGCATGAGCCGACACAACTCGACGCAGGTGTTCTCGCGTCGGCTGGCCCTGGCCCCGCCCTCTGCACGCCGGTCGCGCACCCGACGGAGTGGACAGGGTGGTCTGCGCTCTGTGTCGGATGTGGTGCCGTATGACAACTCTAATGCGGAGGGAGCCGCACGAGAAGCCTCAACACAGTCTGGCTCTCTTTCACGTAATACACTGAACCAGGTGAGCATCTCACGTCAGGCGGTGAGAGTTGCATGAAACACACGTGGCAGCTGATTTCGCCACCTCGCTTCAACGGCTACGTTTGCTAGGAGGCTTTGAGACAGCTGGATGACGACTTTGACCGGTACGCGCGTACGCGTTCAAATGCAGGCGCGATCTCATTCAAACGCCAAATGCTCAAGACTCTGAACGCCTTTTCCCTCAGGTCACGGGGCCGAGATAGCATGAGCATGCTCTCGGGCATTTCGTATCAAAGTGACACCCCTTCTGCATTTATTGACCAATTCCACGAGGAGATTCTGGCCACGGGTACGATACGTCTCTCGCGCGTTTGACGCGATGCATCTCTTTGCTGTGGTGTGCTGTTCCCTTTTTTGATTTTTAATTTATAATTTTTTCTCGCTGGCTTTACGGGTCACGTCACAACACCCATCTGGATTGATGGTGCGCGCCTGCCGCTTTTAGGTCACGGGTGGCCTTTGGATGGCCCAGTCTTGGAGCTGGTTGAGACTTTTCACACCTATGGCTCTCATCTACGGCTGGCCAACGCCCACGACATTGCACCACCGGTGTCTCGATTCACCGCCAAGGTGAGTGCCAGCTGGGCTTTGAGATTGTGGCTCATGACTCATTGCTCGTGGCTCGTCATGGCTCATCATGGCTCGTGGTCTGAATTTGTCCTCGTCTGTCTTTTGGGGGTTCCTCGGTGGTGCGGTGTGCTAGACGCGCCGCAACTTTGTGTCCAAGCGACACGCCTTTGTGCAGGTGAAGCCCGGGCGTGCCATGGCGTGCAATATTACGGGCGTGCACATTCGTAGCCGCAAGCAGCACCCGCTCCAGTGTCGCTGTACGTCCAGTGTTTGAAACTGCCTCGCCTTGCCTCGTCTTTTTCCTCGTTCTTGTTAGACCGTGTTGGCATGGGTCTCATGTCGAAGCCCCTCGTCGTTTCCGAATGCAGTTTGTGGAATGATCGTCGTGCAGGCCGCATTGCCCAAGTTGGAGGACTTGTGCACACAGTGCCAGCTGCCTGATCTTCCCGGGCCATCCGATCCCCGCAATGTGCTGCACAGTTTTAGCTTTACGGCCGATTTTGCCAAGAGACAGCTGCTCAACAGTGCCTCAGCAACCAGTCCGGGGCTGGGGCGGGCGGAGAATGGCTTGGATGATCATGCCAACTCAGCCTTTGTTTACTAGGTAGGATATGCGGAGAACTACGCCGTGACCGATTTTCAGGGCCATCAGCTTGACTTGGCTTGGGTCCAGAAAGAGGAGGCACAGTGGTGTCTGGTCCGGCCCAAGTCCGTCTGCTCGTCATGCATGAGCGGAATGTGCCTGGGTCCTGTTACTTCGGCTTGGCACTTTCTACATCTTGTTTTGCTTTTACTCTGCTTAAGTTGACCTTATAAACCAAGCTTTTCTGCAACTTCTTATTCCTCACCGACTTAAACTCCTGAAAAATCTGACATTTTCATCCGTTGCAACTTTGGAGGTGCGTGAAGACGTGCAACGTGGTTGTTGTTGATCACGAATCAAAACTCGGCGGGCGGCCATCAGGGTGAACTTGAGGCCGGGGCAAGAGCGCCCGCGCAGCGCGCGTGTGTGTGGGATAAAAGGTGAAGGGACGGCGGCCAGATTGGCTGTGGTTGGAAGGGTGCGTGGGGGTTAGATTTTGCATCCGCTCGCTTGCCGCAAATGTGTCTTTTGCATCAGCAGCAGGTGAAGGGGGGAGGGGGTTGCGGCGCGAGGGGTTGCTTCCAAGATGTGCACGGTAATGTCTGCCTATCTTCAGGCCCCGCTGATCACTTTGTGGCTGGTTCTTGCCACGGACTTGCTGTGCGTTTGTATTGTGCAGCTGCAGTAGCCCATACCTCTTGGGTCAATCTCGAGAGCGAGATTGGGGTGAGAAGGGCAAATTACAACAACCATCGACCGCAACTCGCAACGGCTGTCCGTTTGGATTGTACCCGCCTCAAACCTTTTCAGACCATTGTCGTCGGCATCATGGCCCTGCTCTCCGTGCTTGTCGATGCCTGGTTGGCTGGCGTGTTCTTTGCCAGCGGTCTGCTGTGCGTTGGTCTGCAAATCTTGACACTTCCCATTTGGGTCTTTTCGCGCAAACATTATCGCTTGGCCAACTCAGCCATCGTACAACTCTACTGGACGGGTGCGTGCCTATGAGGGGGCGAAGGCGTTGCATTTGGTTTCTGCCTCTTTCGTCAAAACAAGTTTTCCTTCTTCCCTGCGCTTCCGATCCATTGCGGAGAAGGAGACAATGAGCAGATTTATCGCTTGAGCTGGGCGTCAGGCTTGGAGTGGGGATTGTGTATATTCAATTTTTGGGCTCGGTCCATGAGGGGGCGCACTCACCTGGTTTTGGGTGTCCGGTAGAGTTGTTGTGGATGCTGGAACAATGGTCCGGCTGTCGTCTGGTCGTGTATGGCAAGGACGAGGACCTCGAGCTCATGGGTACTGAATCAAGCGTGGCGCTTTGCAATCATGTCTCCAATGTGGACTGGCTCATTGGCTGGCTCTTGGCCGACAAATTCGGCGTGCTCGGGGTACGTGTATGCTTACGCCCGGGGTGCTAAGCAAAGCAGTCCTGGCAGTCTTTTCACCACACGGGAAGTAATCGCGCGAGCACACACGTGGCTTGCTCATGCATTACGCTTTAGGGTGCCAAGTGCTTGCTGAAGAAGGACTTGGCCTTCTTACCCGTACTGGGTTGGAGCTGGTGGTTCCTGGAATATACCTACATCTCCCGGTTTGTATTGAAATCTGGCGCATGACAGCGCTGACGCTTGGCGCCGAGTTAAGTTTTAACTCTGAGCGTCCCGTCTTGTCGGACCACTGCCTTTCATCTTTTACTTGCACAAGCAAAAGCACGCCTTGCTTTTGATGCTGGCCGCATGTTTCATTTGTCAACGCCCTCGTCCTCGCCTCCTTTGGATGCTTGGATTGTCAGAAATTGGGAGAAGGACGAGAAGAAGATTCACCAGGGCCTTTCGCGCTTGCAGGATTACCCCTTGCCTTTTTGGGTACGAGTGCGCCGCAGGGATGAAGCAGAATGATGGGCTGTTTGTTTTTTCTAAGCCATAGCTTGACCGGCTATGGTGGTGTATATTCATGTCTGCGCATGCTTGGCCGGCACAACTGTATACTTTGCAACATTACGACTGCAGGAGGTGATTTATGCTGAAGGCACGCGCAAGACGCCGGAAAAACATGCCAAGGGTCTCGAGTTTTGCCGCCGCAACAACTTGCCCGAGTTTCAGGTTGGTACAAATGCATCACGCTGTTTGTTCTTTGTGTATCGTGCGTGGTCACCTGCTGTTGAGCGATCGAGTGTCATTTTTGGGATGGCTGACGGGCCGTGGGGCATGTGGGATGCTCATGTTTGGAATGTGGTAGCACGTCATGTACCCTCGCACCAAGGGCTACGTTGTGGCCATGGAAGAGCTGCGCAAGCACAGTACGTTCTGTTGATTGATGTCCTTGCTTTGGCCACATCCCTGGTCTCTTCGGAAGAGGCTGTGTCACGTTGACTTTGCTCACTGAGGTTTTTTTTCGGGGGTTTTTTTTTTAAATGTCGTTCTTTTTACTTTCCGTTCTTGTTCGGCGGCGTTTAGCGCAAAGCGTGTTGTGCTGTGTGCTGGCCTTTCCAAATGGCGAGCCCAATGCCATGTCGATCTTGTCAGGCTCCAAGGCGTGTCGATTGGATGCGTATGTGTGGCGAGTGCCAATTGAGCAGGTGCCTGCGGATCCCGAGGGCAGTGCCCAATTTTGTGTTGATGCCTTTGCTACGATGGATAAGGCCTTGGCTTATCATGCGGAGCACGGCTGCTTTGAAGAGAAGCGCCACGACATGCCCGTGCGGTACGTTTGGCGTTCCTCTTGATGCGGGATCAGCGGAATCAGTCGATGGCAGTTGAGGCAGAGAAATTGTGGCGCATGTGTGCTTTTACTTGTCGTACATGATCGATTGCCTGACTCATCAGATCATATGGTGTGAATGTGTAGTGCTCGCTCGGCCTATGTCTTTTGGGGGTGGTCCATCTTGTTTGCGGCCTTGCTGGCCATGTATCAGGTGCCGCGGCTGTTGGAGGGCCACTTTTCGCTTCTGTATGTGGGCGGGGCCTTGGTGTTGGCAAGTCAAGCTTTGACCCTTTTCTCAATGCGCTTTGAGGCCAAGAGCCAGCTGAAGAGCAAGGTCAAAAAGACCGCTTAGGTTTCCGATGCTGCTCTCTTTGCTGGTTGGGCATTGTAGCGATCGCAGGCCTGGTATTCCTGTCATCTCACGGGAGCACCAGCCCAAGTTGCTGGGCCAGTGAGGCTGTGCATGTAGTTTTTGGGTGGGCAGGCGGAGGCTTGGTCTTGTTTGCGATGATGATGATGGTTGTCTGTGTTGTAGCTTGTGCCTTGGACTGTTGACTCTTCTTGAAATGGTGTTTGTCAGCCTAACTCACTGACGGGGGTCATGCGAGGACTTTTGATGAAAATCGAGGCACGCGGACTTCTGTCTGCTTGTATGCAACCAATTTGATCGAGGCAGGTGCATGAGAACAAGTGTGCGTCATTGGCATGACTAAAATGGACCAGCTCCTGGATCAGGGCTGATGAGCGCTGCTATTCTCGTCAGCAAATGCTGGAGTTTGGAGCCATCAAGGTCACTTGGAGTTTGCCGTCCTTATTCTTGGGAAGGATGTGGCACGGCACAACAAGCACGCAGACCGCTGATTGATGCAAGGGACATTCTTTCGATGGCGGGTCCAGTGTGGCTATCACCTCTTTGCTACTGTTTCCCCCTTTCTCAACAGACTCTCTGCCTTTTCTTCAGCTCCCCATTCAACTTCGCAACCAACCCCAACCTTACACACAGCACCCTATCAGACACAGTTTAGCGCAACAATGACATCTTCGTCCCAAAGCACGACCCCAAGCCTTGATTTCCCCCAACACGTCAGACAAAGAGAGAGAGATCGGTTTGAGAAAGAGAGAAAGGGAAAAGCACAACTACCACATGTATAGAGAGAGATTGAGAGATTGAGAGAGAGAGAGAGATAGAGAGAGATTGAGAGATTGAGAGAGATTGAGCGAAAAAGAGAGAGATTGAGAGAGTTTGAGAGAGAGATCGAGCGAAAAAGAGAGAGGTATCAAGACGGGTCACTCCTGATGTACGCAAGGCCCACTCCGCGCCCCACACATGACAAATTCGTGTTTCCACCGAAATGGAACCTGATGCCGAGTTGGGCTCTCGCCATTCCTGTGTGTGGACACTCAAAATGTTGGACCCCCGACGAAATCAAGAGCCAATCGCCAGCAGAGCGAGAGAGAGGGGTCGAGGGAGAGGGGGAGATACACACACGACCGAGAGGACCACGCACCCCCTTTTGCTGTTCTAATTTGGCAGCGGCGAGTTTGCTCGCCCATAGAGAGAGTCAAGGACAACCAGGCACGGACAGGCATAAATGTCTCAACGACCAGACAGCCAGGCAGACAGACAGGCAGCAGCCGCAGACAGAGCCGCAAACAGACAGGCAGACAGAGCCGCAGACGGACAGGCAGGCAGGCAAACAGATAGACAAACAGGCAGGCAGACAGACAGGCAGACACAGATCCAAACAACAATCGACTCCCCCAAACCACCACCACCACTTTGTGTGTGTGTGTGGTTGCCGACCACTGTTGGATCTCTGCTTCCCACACGACCCGCTCTTGCATTTTCTGCTTGGTTTGGGGAGTATTCACCTCACCAACGCCTCTCGCCACCGCCAGCTCGCCTCTCGCCACCGCTTCGCTCCTGTTCCTGGCTGCCTCTTTGCTCCTTTGCCATTTCTTCCTGGCCCTGCGACCTCTTGAACAACAACAACTCGACCTCGGCCTCTCACTTTTTGAGATCGTCGTGGTCGTGATCGTGATCGCCTTTTCTGCCTGGCTTCCCTCCCACGCGTTACAATCATGGACTGCGCTCGCCTGCAGGAGCACCTTGCCCAGCTGCTCGAGCACGACACAGCCAAGGTTGTTCAGCATGGCTGCATCGTGCGATATCCCACTCTGAAAAACGCATCGCAAGTGGTTGCCGAAATCGGCTGCCAGCCCACCCCCGCCCTTCTAAGCAAGATTACAGACCAAGACATCAAGCTCTTCTTTGCCGCCACGTTCAACTGGCCAGAAGTTGCCCAGGCCTGCGCCGCCAACCCCACCCTCCCCAATGTCTTCCTCATCCAAGCCACCCTCACGTCCATCGAGTCCCAAGCTCTGGGCGTGTTTGAGATTCTGTACACCGAGCTGGATCGCCGAAGCCCCGACAACCTCGATGGCGTCGCCAAGGAGTGTGTCATGCAGCTTATCCTGGAAGGCCGCATTGCCGTTATCAAGCAACACCAGAGCCAATGGCCACCTGCCCTCGTTGGCCAAGCCATCATGGAACGCCCTCGCACGGTTTGTCTACGTTGCCTCGCTCACCACCCTGCCAATTGCCCCCCAAGGCTGGCCCCTCGTTTCTCAACTCACCACCTTCACCTTGTCGTCCCATGGCGTTTTTCATGCGTCCAAAAGACCATCAATGATGTCGCGACCATGCAGCATCTTTTGGAAATTAAACTGAGCGAGACTGTCTGCCAAGAGCTCTTCTTGCGCGCCATTGAAAATGACAACTTGGAAGTGGTCGAGTGCTGCCAGCGGCTTGGCTACGGCACCAAACTCTTCGCAGCCAAGCGTCTTGCCCTGGTCAAGGCCATCGCACTTTCTCCTGCCACCATCAAGCTGCTCGACCTGCTGGGAGAAGCTCATGTTGCCGACGGAGACTCGCCCTTGTGTGACTCGGAGTTTTGTACTGAACTTTATCTGGGCAAGCCCATTATCGTCTTGGCCTGCCGCCGCAACAACATTGAATTGGTCCGTCGGCTTCTTGCATCCGCTGGTCATTTGCTCAGTCCAGAGGATCGCATCGTCATGCTCTGCGAAGTCCTCGAAAATTCTCGCACCGAACTCTTCCAAGACCTTGTGGCCTGGGATCCGGTACGCGCAAGCCCCCCCCCCCCTTTTTTATTATTATTATTTACATGTGATGTTACAAACCCCATTTCTTCCCTCACCTACCTTATTTGTTTCATCTGTTACCGTCGTGTGTTTCAGAGCCTGTTGCGCCCCGAGATGGCCCGCAAGGCACTCGGTGCGGCCATGTGTTCTTCTGACAACCAGACCACCGAACGTGTTATCTTAGCCGCCGACCTCAACAAGTCCCACGAACACATCGTTTACAACGCCGTCCTGCACGCAGCGGGCCAATGCGAGTGCGTTGAGTCTGCCCTCAAGCTCATTCTCGACTTGACCGACATTGATGGTTCCGAGCTGCTGGCCAATGAAGTCCTCGAGGCCTGCATTCGATCCAATCAGATTGGCTTGCTGACCCTGCTCTTCACACGCTACAGCCTCGATATTGATCCAGATGAGCTGGATGTCTCGGGCCTCATCCAGGACGCTGTCTTGCACGGACATCGCGATATGGTTGCTCTCCTCTTGGAGCACCTCCGACCCGCCTCGAGCTCTCTCAAAGCCGTGCAACACCAGGCATCACGCCGCCGCTCCTCGGCATGTGCTGGCGCTTTCCAGGCGCTCGACTCATGGATGGAAACTCAACGCCGGTCCTCTGGCAACGACTCGCCCGCCCGGCAGCGACGTGGTGGCAAGCCTGGCCTCGTCTCACATCGCAGCTGCTCCTCCATGGAAACCCATCTCCGCCCCAACCTGACCACCATCGTGGACACTGCTGTCTTGGCTGCCAGCGGCGGTGTCTCACCGCCCACAAACCGCCGCCTGTCGCCCTTCACACGTCGTCGCATTAGTGGCCAACTCACCGAGGTGCCCTTTACTGCCCCGCGCCTCAACGATGACGTGGCCCTATCTCTCGTCACCAACATTGCTTTGGGTCGCTTCAACAGTTGTCTTGAAGACTCGCGCGACACGCTTATTCTCAGCTAACAGAAACGAAACGAATTTTTGCCGCATGTTAGTCACACAACCTTGTCCTCACAATAACACATATGAATGACTTTATTCTCTTGCAGACGTTGATTTTTTGGTTGTTTGTTGTTTGAGTCGTTGTGGGTAAATACCCGTTGGTAATGGTAAAGCCTAATTGACCTTTTGATTGGAAACTGGTACGTGATATGGTGTGTACGACACTTATGGCAACTTTCGTTGAACATGATGGTTTTTTTTTTTCCATTGGCAAGACATCTAAACAGACCCATCGACAACCAGGTTCAGCATCCCGCGTTAACAAAACGGACGGGAAAGGAGGGGGACAAGGTTAGAGTGCTACAGCAACAAGCTAGGACTAGGACGGTGCACCGTCGAGATTCACGCAAACAAGATGACAATGTCTTCCTCAAGAGCAAGCCCTTCCAGAAGGGGAGGAAAGACAAAAACAAAACTCCACGCCGGGCCCAACGGAAGGACCAGGCTACAAGGAGCAGGAAGAGGGAGTTCTGAGCACATTGTTAGGGTGAGTAGACGAGCCGCACAACGGCGACACAATGAAAACTTTGGGGAAGACTCGAGGAAAGACTCGTTCACTTGCATTGATCGTGGCACTGGCTCCACTCATACGCTGCGTATGAGAAGTTGTGCTTCTTCACCAGATCGTCAGCCTCGGACTGAAGTGCAACCCATCACGAACAGAGTCATTGTTCGTCGAGACGAAAGCAGTGCCGGCGGTGCATCGAAGGCAAAAGTACACATACCGGACCACGGCTGCCAAACTTGTATGTCTTCGGCTTGACCTTTCCAGCGTCAATGTCGTGCAGAATGGGTGTAAAGATGCGCCATGCTTGCTCCAACTCATCACTGCAACCACGAGCACCACGAGAACAAGTGCATATGTGCATCAAGTCATGAGTCGAGTCCAGAAGCTCTCTACGCCGCAAAGACCAACACAGCAGTCCCCACGCACCTGCGAACAAAGTTGGCGCTGTTGCCCTTGATGGCCGAGACAATCAAGCGTTCATAGGCAGAAGGGATGCGCTGCTCGCCAAAGCGGCATTTGTATGACAGGTCCAGATCAGTCTGGGCCACTTCTGAGCTGGCACCCGGTTCCTTGACGAGCACTTTAAGGTAGATGGCTTCATCAGGCTGTACGCGTAGTACGAGCTCGTTGCGCGTGCTATTGCCGAAGATATCTGCGGGTACGCTGCGAAACTGAACGCGCAGCTCGGCTTTCTTCTCATTCAAGGCCTTGCCACAACGAATGATAAAGGGGACGCCCTCCCACCGGTCGTTCTCAATGTGGAACACGGCGGTTGCAAATGTCGGGGTATTGGAGTCATTGGGAACATCTTCCTCATCAGTGTAGCCTTTGCGGCTCTCCTCACTCTCACCCTCGGGGTTGCCGACAAACTGACCCAGCACCGTGTCTATGGAAAGCCACGAAAGTGAGTGTCGTTCGAGCCAGTCTCGAGGATTGATTGGTCCGAGGGGTGAGTGCAGTACGGCCCCACGGCTCACCTTCGATCTTTAGTGGCTTGATGCATCGGAGAACCTTGGTTTTCTCATCACGAATGTCATCGGGGCCAGTCGAGACGGGCTTCTCCATGGCACAGAGCGTAAGCATTTGCAAAAGATGGTTTTGCATGACGTCACTAGAGCCAAACAAGACCCAAGGGGCACCGCGGGCGACGTGAGGCCCAAAGGCACGGGATAGGTCGCACCAACGCCTGCGATACATACTACAGGGTGGACGCACCGGATGATGCCAAATTCGTCAAAGTAGCCGCCACGGCCCTGAGTACCAAAGTCTTCCTTCATGGTCAGCATGACGCATGCAACGTGGTGGCGATTCCAGCTGGGCTCAAAGACGCGATTGGCAAAGCGCAGGGCCAAGAGGTTTTGTACCATCTCCTTGCCCAAGTAATGGTCAATGCGATAGATTTGATCCTCGGCAAACAGATTGCTCATGTGCGCGTTGAGGTCTTGGTAGCTTTCGAGGTCCTTGCCAAAGGGCTTTTCAACCACTACGCGGGTGAAGCCTGACTGCTCAGTGCCCAGGCAGTCAACGGTGATTTGGGATGAGTTGAGAGTCGAACGACTTGAAACGAGAAGGCGGCCGCTGCAAGTCGGTTTTGGCATGGGTGCACAGGGAATAGGACAACTCAAAAGTGGACTGGGGTTCGTCGACTTTGTCATAATTCTAAAGCTCCATCCGATCTCACCTTGGCCTGGCAATGATTGCTCAGCTGCTCGGTAACGTCCTTGTAGACGCTAGGAGGAAGCGCAATGTAGAACATGCGGTTGACGGTCTGTCCGTCACCCCGCAAACGCACCATACATATCACAGCGACCGAGCAGGCACAATCACGTTGTGAGTCGACCATACAACACAAAGCAGGTTGAATGCGCACAAAAAGGAAGACGCAGTATGTCGACGGGCGAGGCGCATGGCAATCCATTGGAGCAGTGCTGGCTGGCGTCAAGGGTTCAAGCACACCTTGGCCTGAGACATTGACTCAATGTGCTCGTTCAGCTTCTTGAAAGACTTCTACATAACCACATGGTTTGAGCCGTGGGCATCACGATTGGACGCCTGGTCTGGGCAACGTTCGGCCTGGTCAAAGGGCGCAACTCATACCGCCTCATCGTATTGGCCATGGATGTAGTCCAGCGACTCGAGGAAACTGTCTCGCTTCTTTTCGTCGTCGTCTCCATTGACCTAAACAGCGGTGGCATGAAAAGAATGAAAAGACACAATGAAGCGTGGACAGCTAAAATTCTCTTTTCTGGTCGTGTCCGTCGACTCGTGTGGGCATGACACGAATCGATCACAAGCAAAGAGGAGAGGAAGAGGGATGAAAGGCATTGGATGCTAGGGGCTGTGCGGCGCACCTTCAGTTGGGGCTTGAAGCGTTCAACGAGATCCTCATGTGAAAGCTTGGAGCGGGCATAGCCTAAAATGCGAGTGTCCTCTGGCAACGAGTCGAAGCGGTAGGCATCCCTATGGAAAGGCAGGGTTCAACATACTGAGATGCATTTGGACTAGGATGGCACGATACACATCAAAACGGAGCGCAAACACACCATAAAGCTGGGTACACCAATTTCTTGGCCAGGTCGCCCGAGGCTCCAAGGACGGTGATGATGAGCTGCTCCTGCAATTTCGTGAATGGATTGCGGCAGAGATTGAGCTGTGAGACAAGAGTTTGAGTGAGACTGAAGCTCACAGCCGGATGCAAGACGGCTACCTTTTGCGAAGACATGTCAAGGGTTGAGGCGTGGGTGGCGAGATGGCGGTGCAGGGTGTAAATGCGACGCGCTGCCGCGTGGGTCGAAGTTGTGTGTGCCAAGCCGGAGGCAGCAGGAACAGGTTTGTGGCAGCAGGCGGGATTTGTGGGAGGCCTGCAGTGATGGGGCAGCCAAAGCATCAAAGAAAAAGACGGTCTATGAGTCAGCGAGTCCCGAGGGTGGCGGGCCGGATGCCGGATGGCTGGTGGGTGCAACGAACATTCAAATGCGACAGGAGGGGTCTAGAGCGTGTGGTGCAGGGTTTAGTATCAAGAAAAAAAATAAGACACACAGTGCCTTGGCTGGGAGGGCGGGGGGTGGTTGGTGTCAACTGCAGTGGGTCCGAGTTCGGGAGCCCTTAAAAATTGTGCATGAGAGGGAGGAAGCAATCCGACCAGCAGACAGTCAAGTGGCCTTGTCCTAGGGGCAGTCGCGAGCAAGCAGCGGGAAGTGAGATGGAAGTGATGGAGGCAGAAGTTTGATGATGATGATGACTGATGATGATGATGATGGTGATGAGGCTGCTGGAGGCCGCCTGTGTGGCCAAGCTGTCGCCACCAACAACGGGCCGAGCTATGAACAACCAACAACCAACAACCAACAGCAACAGCAACAGCAACAAGAAGGGCTACAACAGCATTCCAAGGCGAACGCAGTAAGCCTGTGCTTGACTGCGCATGTGTGCCCAAATCGGTCGCCCAAGTGCGGCACGGGGAGAGGGCGGGAGGCGTCAAGCCCTCACAAACGCGGGATTGAAATAATATCATACCACCCACCATCAACCACAGCCAGCCCACAACACCATCACCCCCCACACACACACACACACACACACACACACTCAAGATTGCTAGCATCTCAAGTTCCCATCTCCGCAGCCTGGCTGCTCTGTACCAGTCCCAGCAGCGTCCCCGGGGCTGCCATTTCGCCCATTCGGTGCATTCACGAACCCCAAGCGACGCGCGCGTGTGTTCCGAACCGCTTGTGTGATGGGGAAATACGATATACACGGGTCAATGTCTCTGGGACACCGAGTTGATGTAGTTTTCAACAGTAACACAATGGAAGTTATTGTAGATACTCGGGGCGTTTTTGTCGCCATGTGTATTGTTGATGTCGTTGATGGGATCATGATGGTGGATGAGAGGATGGCGCAACACTTACCGAATACAGCGTGCGTGATGGCCGTTGAGGCGTCTTGAGCGGGTGAGAGGGAGGGGGGGGTGGGAGGAGTCCAGTGCAATTTGAGATGCCGCTGGCTTGGTCATGACCAGAACCCAGCCACTGCTCCAATTCGCTTCCGACAGACAATAAAAAAACCCCGGCTGCCCTTTGGCCGTTGAATCTCCCTAAACTACGACCGCCTTGCCAATCACACAACATGCGACCCTTTCACAAGCACACACACATACACGCTCTCTCTCTCTCTCTCTCTCTCTCTCTCTCTCTCACACACACACACACACACACACACACACACACACACACACACATGATGTAAAGTGTGTAAAATATCACAATGATATAAGAGACACTCTGCGGGCATCTTGCCGGAATTTGTATGAATAGGCGGGTGTTTTCTGGGTTGAAACTGATTTGGAAAATAAGGCCCTTAGTAGCAACCAAGCGACCGACAAAAAGTGAGAGAGAGAGAGATTGAGAGAGAGAGAAATTTTTTTTATATTTCAGAGCGGCACACACTCGCGCGCGCTCACACAGAGGCACACACACACTCGCGCGCGCCAACTGGACGTTCAAGTCTAGTCTGCTTGACTGGCACTTTGGCGCTTGAAGCAGGATTGCACTGCAGGGTCAATGGCTGTGCAGTCGAGTGTTGGTTCGGTGAGTGATGCGATGTATCTCACCAAAAACCTCGCTGCCTTGGCTCGAGCTGATGGGCTCACGGTGTGCCTTCAGATCATGTTCACAGCTTGAGCTCATTAGAGGAGCGATCCAAGACCAGAGGCCGGGTGGACACATCGCGTCGGGCCAACGGCCGGGCGAGCAAGCCCCACCGGCCCTCAGCGGACCAAGCCCTGCCCAACAGACCCAATCAACGCCATCATGTCCGATGCCGATACACCCCAGATGGTGAGTGATGTGCGCACAGCGTTTGCGTTGGCCTATCGACCTGGTCATGGCACTAATGCTCTTTCCTTGCCCAGGATGCACCTGCGGTACCAGGGATAGACGAAGCTCAGGGTGATCTCAGCATGACCCTGTTGCCCGATGCCGATATCCCGACAAGCGACACTGCACCATCTCGTGAAGCAGATCCCAGCTCAGAGCCGGTGAACAAAGAGCAGGCGCCCGCCAGTGCAGCCCCCGAAGGAGCTGATGCATCAGATACACCAAAAACAGTAGAGATTACTGACACACCCACCTTGGTGGACCAGGCAGCCACGTCTACCACCGCAGATGGGCTAGGATCGGCCGCAGATCAGCCCCCCATCACCGACGCCTTGGCAGGCACAGCAGTTCCTGATGGTGCCGATGCTGCAACCAAAGAGACTCCCGCTGCTGAAGACGAGGCTCCCGCTGCTGAAGACGAGGCGCCCGCCGTCGAAGACGAGGCTCCCGCTGCTGCTGAAGACGAGGCGCCCGCTGCTGCTGAAGAGAGTCCCGCCGTCGAAGACGAGGCTCCCGCTGCTGCTGCTGAAGAGGCTCCCGCTGCTGCTGAAGAGAGTCCCGCCGTCGAAGACGAGGCTCCCGCTGCTGCTGCTGAAGAGGCTCCCGCTGCTGCTGAAGAGAGTCCCGCCGTCGAAGACGAGGCTCCCGCTGCTGCTGAATACGAGGCTCCCGCTGCTGCTGAAGAGAGTCCCGCCGTCGAAGACGAGGCTCCCGCTGCTGCTGAAGATGAGGCGCCCGCTGCTGCTGAAGAGAGTCCCGCCGTCGAAGACGAGGCTCCCGCTGCTGCTGCTGCTGAAGAGGCTTCCCCTGCTGAGGAGGACGCTTTGGCTGCCGAACCGACACATGGTACCGAGGAAACTGTACCCGAAGAAGCACCTGCGCCGGTGGTCGAGACGTTTTACGAAACAGACGGACAGTCTGCTCCAGAGGTCGCCGGCCTGTCTCCTAAGATGCTGCAACTCCATGCAAGCTTGGGCTTTCGCGCAGGACAACACGACGCCCTTCACTTGGTGGGTGATGATACCGTGGCCCTGGTGGCTGGCAATTATGTCGTCTTTCACCCCATTGATCGGCGCAATGTCAAAGCCAACGAGCGCCGCTACCTTCGGAGCACAGGTGGGCGCTCTTTAGGCGCGCTTGCTATTCACCCTTCTCGCGAGTACATCGCCGTTGGGGAGAAGGGCCAGGACCCAGTCATCACCATCTACCACTTTCCATCATTGCGCCGTTTCAAAATCCTGCGTGCTGGCACCGAGCATGGCTACGCCAGTCTGGCTTTTAGTCCCGATGGCGAGCAGCTCGCTTCGGTTGGCATGCACCCCGATTATCTTCTCAGCGTCTGGGACTGGCGCGCCGAGGCTCCGCTCCTGCGCACAAAGGCCTTTAGCAGCGACGTGTGGCGAGTTACCTTCAATTCCGATCTGCCTGGAGACCTTACGACGTCAGGGCAGGGCCACATTCGCTTTTGGAAGATGGCCCGCACCTTCACTGGCCTCAAACTGCAGGGCCAAATTGGCAAGTTTGGACGCACCGAGCTGTCCGACATTGCGGCTTACGTCGAGCTGCCAGATGGCAAAGTTCTCTCAGGTTCTGAATGGGGTGGCCTGCTGCTCTGGGAGGGAGGCTTTATCAAGTGCCAATTGGCTCTCCCAGGTGAACGACCCTGCCATACGGGTGCCATCGACGTTGTGATGACCCTGGAATCCGGTGATTTTGCCACCGCCGGCGAAGATGGCATTGTGCGCATCTGGGATTTTGAAGCCATTGATACGGCAGACCGTGACCACGACTCCCCCTATGCTCTCGTCAAACCCGTGCTCGAGCGAAAACTCACTCCCGGTGCTCGAATTCTCTCCATGGCGCACACGCGCATCCCGGGCGACGAGGGCCAGCATACCGTCTATCTGGCCATGACGGAATCGGGGGATGTCTGGCAGGTTGACTTAAGCATGTCCATGACAGCCCGCGCCCCCTTCATCCTGTTTAGCCTCTATTCCGGCCTCGGCGGCCTCGCTACCTCGCCCGTGGCTCACCGCGCCATCGTGGGCGCTGCCAGTGGCGCGCTGCGGCTCTTCAACACTGCCACTGATAGCCTCTTGCACACCTGGCGCCCTTCGACCAAGACGAGCGTCACCAGCGTTGCCTGGTTGCCCCGCGAGCAAGACCCTTCAGGGCGGTCTTTTGTAGCGGCCTTTTCCGATGGCGTGCTGCGTCTCTTTTGCATTGAAGCCGACAACAAACATAGCGAGGCTATCTTGCTCACCCAGGCTCTCAAGCCACATTCGGGACCAGTGGAGCAAATTGCTATGACGCCCAGCGGCCATCGCCTTGTGACCCGGGCAGCCGACGGCGTCATGTTCATCATGGAGGTGCAGGCCACTTCTCTCACTCCGGTGGGGTTTGTGCAGATGGATGCACAGGCTCGTGTACACAGCGTCCGCTGGAATGAAGAGGGCACCATGCTCCTCATGGCCCTGTCTGAGGGCCGCGTTTGGGAGGTTATGGCTCCTCACCTGGGCGAACACGACACGAGCGTCAGCTTCCGCTTACCCACCAGCATTGCCCGTCGCTACACTTTTGAGAGCATGCTGCACATTCTCGAGCCCAAGCCAGTCAAAGGCAAAGGGAAGGCAAATGGAAACGATGCTGACAAGGGCAGTGGCAGCAGTGCAGACCAGGATCACACCGATGCAGATGATGCCGAGGCAGAGGAGGGCGAAGAGGAGGCGTCGGCTGAGCCAACCTCGGCCACCAAAGTATTGCCCGACGTCTTGGCCGCTCACTACGGCGCGTCAGACGGCACCATTGAACTCGTCGTCAATGGGGCCGACGCTGGGTACCTCTATACCTGCAGTTTCGACATGCCTGCACCTTTGCGTGCTGAGCGCCTTCATGGCTGTCCCAAAACGCGCGTCACAAACTGGATTAAGCATTCCGCTCGACGCCTCGACGTATTAGCCCTGGCTGATGGCACGGTCCTGGTCCACGAAAGTGGAGATCGCACCCAAAGCCTTTCCATGGGGCTACACGACTGCGATGCCGGCGCCATACACGAGCTTGCCTTTTCATTTGACGGTGCCTTCCTCCTCACTGCTGGCCGAGACGGCAATGTGTTTGTGCTGCGTACAGCCCTGAGTGATGCTGACGAGCCCACCTTGCTGCGAGATACACCGTTGGGGCCGCCCCTTGATCTTGTCAACGCCCCACCGGCCAAGGACATCCTCGAGCCCCAGGCTTACAGTCTTGAGGAGGCTCTGGAGAAGGCCGAGCGCGACCGCTTGCTGATGACGGCCGAGGAACGGAAAGACTTGGTGCGCCAGCGCCTGCGCACTCTTCGCGCCGAGTTTGACGCCATCGTCCGTGACAACGAACGACTGCCGCTCAATCGACAACTTCCGCACGATGTCCTTTTGGTGGATGACGAGCTGCAGCAAGACATGCAGGAGCAGTTGCAACAGGATCTCGTTCGGGTGCGCGCTGAAATGAATTGGGACTTGGAGCGACACAAGGTCGCACACCGCAAACTACGCGAGCACTTTCATGGCCCCGTGGATGAGCATCGCATTGTCATCAAAGCGCTGGGTACTCTGGACGAAGTGGCCAGTTTTCGCGTCCCGGCGCTCTCCTCTGAGTTTCGTCGTCGGTCCTCTCTTCTCTTCGAAGAAGCGCCTGCCATTCGTCACATCCGTGACCGCAAGCTACGGCGCTCCCGCCCTGACGTGCACGGCAACGGGCTGAGCTCTGAGCGCACGTTTATCGGGGCTGTCCAAGAGACTGATGCGAGCGGCGAAGGGGGCGAGGGGCGTGGTGATGGCCAACGCAGTGTCCCTGGCACCGCGGGCGAAGCTGGAGCGTCGGGTGAGGGGGCCTCACGCTCCACACTCGGCACGCGCTCGACGATGCGCGGTGCAGATCTGACCGCGCGTGGGCGCCTTGAAGCTGAGATGCTCAAGACGATGGAGCGTCGCGAACAGCGAGAGCGCCTGCAAAACCGATTGACTGCACACGCCCAGCTCAAGCCGAATGCTGACAAGATGGATCCCGCAGATGAAGCACTGCTTCAGGACATGCAGGAGCACATGGGCGACTTTGTGCTCAAAACGGACTCGCGCTATCAGGTCCAGCCGCATGAGCGGGTGAACACGAGCCGCAAACGCAATCAACTCATCGTTTTGCGCCAGCGCATTGTGGATGGCAAGAAGATTTTCAACACCCACGTGCATGCTCTTTTGCGCAACAAACGCGCTGTGCTTGCTCGCCTCGAAGTGCTGCATGCACAGTTGACGCAGGTTCAGCGCGAGCTCGGTGAGACTGGCGCCCCTCTTCCCGCCGTACCTAGCCTGGATGCTGAGGAGGAGCCGGAGCGCCGCGACCAGTACACGACGGAATCTTTACGCCGCTTCAAGCTGGAGTACGAAGCGCAGTTGCGCAAGGAGCGGGAGCAAGCGGCTAAGGCGGCCGGCGGCGGCTTTGGTGGCTTTGGTGGCGGAGGTGCCCCAGGTGCCGCTGGCGGAAATGTGGCAGGCGCTGGCACAGACGAAGACGTGAGTTTCGCGCATCCCAAGCAGATCGTATTGCAGAGCGAACTGGCAAATGAGGCTGAATTGCTCGCCGCCGTCTCCGAGGACACGGCTCGCCAGTCCCTGTTGGACTTTCGTCGACTATTGTTGCAACAGTTTCGCGTCGAGATTGAACAGTTTGATGAGCAGGTGGCTGTCCTGGCCAATGCCAAGTTTGAGGTGGAGGTTCGCTTGAAATTTGCCGAGTACAAGCACGTCCTCTACTACCAGGAATTGGTGCATTTGCGGGTGTTTGACATTCGGGAGCGCGAGCTTGAGCAGCGCCGCCAAGCCAAGCAAGATGAGTTGGATAAGTGCATTGCGGAGCAGCGGAGACAGGCCGAACGGCTTGCCGGGAAGCGGCAGGAGCTGACAGAGCTGACAGCCAAGGAAAAGGGTGTGCAGAGCACATTTCAGAGTGTGGCCAGCGACCAGGGCCCCCATGCTAAGGTGCTGAACCGTATTTTCAAGCGCCGACTGCGGCGCGTGGCCGAGGGTTCTGAGAGCGAGGACAGTGACGAGGAGGACGAGGACGAGGAGGAGTATGAATCTTCCTCGGATGAGTCGGATGTTGGCTTGGACTTTGATGACATGGTGTGTCCAGCAGGCGTGAACATGAGTGTGTTTGACCGCGTGCAGGCGCTCCGTGCGCAGCGTCAGGAGCTCGAAGACACCATAGCCTTGACCAAGAAGGACATGGAGCGTCTAAAGAAGGACAACGACACGGGTGAGCGGCGCGAGAAGAACATGCGCGCAGCCCTGGACGCGGTTGAGCGCGAGATTGCCTCGTTCCAGGTTGAAAAGCAAGCTCGACTCAATGAGCTGTACATTGCCATTCCTCTTCGTGCGCGTCAAATTCTCCACCACGGTGAGTTCCAACCAATAGATCACGTTGCCATTTTCCCCGCTTCCTCCCTCGCACACACACACACGCATTCTTTTCATTTCTTTTTTTCTTATTTGAATCCGACTGCTTGCTATCTGCGTCCGGAGTAGAATACGGCGACCTCCCACGTTCGTTGAGCAAGTCGTTGGTATTTACGACCACGGCCATTGGGTCGTTAAAGGATCGCATAGAAACACTCAAAGCCGAACGTGCAACGCGACAAAAGGAGTTTAAAGACATGCGGGCTCAGCAGGTTTGTCATTGAATACTTTGTACTTCCCTTGCTGTTGGCCTCGGCTCTTTTCGAATTGTCATTGCTCTTGCGCGGTGCGTATGGGGTCAAACCACTCATGTTGATGATGGTCTGATGGCATGAACCGTGTTTTAGGGCCAACTCAAGCACGTCGTGAGGCAGAAGGAAGAGCGCAACCAGGCAGCCCAAGGGCGATTGGCCGAGTTGCAGCGCCTCAAGTTTGGTCGAGAAGTGGACCTGGAAAAGATGGAGACGGTTGACTTGAATGAACGGGCCGAAGACCTCAAGGTATGTCGCAAGCTCTTGCTCTAGGGCTCGAGGTTTTGTTTTTTTGTTTTTGTTTTTTGTTGTTTTTTTGGCTTTATTTAATTCTCGGGTGTCTGTATTATTGCGGTGTCGTGCTGACGGTTGTTTTACGGTATCTGTAGGATGAGATGGCACAATTGGAGCGACGCTTTGAACAGCGCCAGCGTGAGATGGACGCTCTGATTGCTGCCGCTCGCAGTGAATTGAATCAGGTACGCTGGGCTCATCTGGGGTGGCAGATCTCCGCCTTCCTCCCCACACTGCATGCCTCGTTGGAGTACCGGTCAAGCCCTCATGATGGTCTTGGCCGCAGGTGACATCGGAGAACTCTGCCCGGTTGGCGGATCTGCATGATCTGGCTCGGGATGAGCGCGTGTTGAACTCGCAGCTTAATGCGGGCGAGCAGATGATCAATACCATGGCTGCGGACGTTAACCGCGCCCATCAAGCAGATGAAGCTCGGCGTCTGCGCCAACTGGCGGATCTTCAGCAGCAGGAAATTGAGGCGCTGCGAGATGAGGTGCGACGATTGTCGAAGAAGACGGGTTTTGTGTCTCCTCCGGCTCGACCAGCCACCAGCTCGAGTGCTGTTGAGCCGTTGCCACCTCTGTAAAAAGGACAGTATGCTTGTTTTTGTCTATCTTTAATCGGTCATTCCTATGCTTGTTCCCGCTCTTCCTGGTGCCTCCTTCCCGACGTTGTTACAATCGAGACATGAAATATGATGCTTTCTCGAGGCCGGAAGACGATAAGCCCTCTTGAACAGGGTCATCTGGTGGCGGGGGTGAGGAAATTCAATTTCGAACCCAGCAAGGCGTTTGAGCTTGATGATGCAAATGTACACACCAAACAGTGAGGATATAAGAGAATTGAGTGAAGGGATGAGAGGGGCGGTCAAGGGTGACCTGTCTCCTCAACAAAGCGCAGAGAAGACGAGAAAAAAGGAGGGATGGAAGGACAAGACAGGAGAGACGAAAAACAAAAAAACAAAAAAAAAAAAAAAAAAAAACATGAAAAAAAGGAAACAAAACGTGGGCAAGGAGACAAGGGGCACCCAGAAGGATGACCCATGTCAGAACAAAGCCTTGCCGCTGTGGGGCAGCAGCAGTATGCTTAGAGGGACCACAGCATCTTGATGCCCTCGCAGATACCAACGTCATTCATGTTGAAGTAAATGAGGCCGCCAATCTGATTATGATAGTAAGGCAATGAGCGCATGAGCGAGGAGAAAACGATGAGTCATGGGATGGGTCATCAGAGCCAACGGGGTGGAGACGCGGATGAGGAGAGGGGGAGCGACGTGTGTCTTGAATTGTGAGGACCAGCTTGCGCGCAAGATGATGGGTTGACGCTGCGTACCGTAGCCACATGTCCCACAAAGTTGAGGCCCTTGACAGCGCCCTTGAGCGAGTGAGCGACATAGTCGGTGATAATGGCATCCATGCCACTAGAGAAGGAAGAAACATCAAACGTGAGGCAAGAGCATATTCATTTCGCGCAATGCGGGCCAATACATTGCGGGTTTGATAAATCACGCACAGGTAGTTGTGAATGGGCACAATCACGGCGAGACCGTAGTCAACCGCAGGGCCCGGGGCGATGAAGGCAGCCGGGATGAGGGGAACCAGCGCGACGCTCAAAAGGCGCTCCACCTTCCAGTGGGAGAGGCCGTGCGTATCAGCGGCTGTGGCAAGGTGCACGAGAAGGGGTCAGGAAAGCAAAAACCATGAGACGAGAAACACGTCTCAAAAAAAAAAAAATGCGACTTTTGGGCCTTGTGAATTTGCACCAACGGCATGACCAGGTAGGGGAAAGGGCAATGGTGCAGCCCGTGGGAGGAACAGGAAGCACGTACGGTTGGCCACGGACTGGAGAGGGGTACTGGTCCGCATCTGACGCGCAGCTGCGGATGGGGCAGTTGGGAAAAGTGAGGTTGGGAAGCAGCTCAAATTAACAAGGGCGCAAAGGGACCAAGAGGCTATAGTGCGCTCTGATGGAGCGAAGAACAGACCAATAGCCAGAGTAGGAATCTGGCGAGGCAGATTGGTGCGCATGGCCATGGTGACTATTGTGCCATGATGGCCAGGCCAGAAGAGATGAGAATGGGCCGTACGGGCGGCAGGAGACGACCGCGAGGACAACGCTGGCTGGAGAAGCCTTGCTCGTGGAGACAAAAAAAAATATCAGGCTTACTCTGGCGCGAGAGAAGAATGGAGCTGAGAGAAGCGGCCATGTTGAAAGCTTGTCAAGGGGAGGCGTTCAAACGGGTGACTTGAGCTGCAAGTGGTTGAAGCGCCCACGAGCCCGACGCGAGGTGAGCGTGCTTGAGAGCGAGCAGGTTGTTGCCAGCGCTCCAAAGCGCCTGGTGCAGCACGACCACAAGTCAAACGACCAAGTCTTTCCCAACCCCCAGCAACCAAGCCACAAACTAACAAGTCACACCCTGCCCACTGACTGCCGCCGCCCTCGCCCCCGCCACCGCCGTCCTTTGTACCTCTGACCCCCTTACACACTACAGCAAAGACCACAGAAATACGCTCTCTCTCTCTCTCTTTCTCTTTCTCTTCGTGCCGCTACCAACTGTCAGAGCAAAGCCAAGGGATTACATCCCGTCCCGTTTTGTTAACTCGATCTTCTCTCACGTACTTATGTGTCGGGATAAGTGTGACTGAATCACGCTTAATCGTATGTTAAAGTGTGAATGTACTCACACATGGTCACGGGTTGTGAATAGCTCACGTTGTTTGAACGTGAAGGATTCATTCGGTCAAGTTGCTCCCTCTATTCTAATTCATCTCTCTCTCTCTCTCTCTCTCTCTCTCTCTCTCTCTCTCTCTCTCTCTCTCTCTTGCTGCCACACACGTTTGTTCTTTGTTTTCTGACTTGGTGTCCATTTTGTGACGCCTTACACTCTCTCTCTTTCTCTCTCTACTTCTCGGCTGCTTCACACCGGCATCATGGCCTCGGCTCTTGCCCTTCTCAACCGTACGTCTGCCTGGCTTTGACGCGGTGCGCTGGACTTGCGCGTCGTGCGCGTCTTGGGCGAGAGGTGCCTGACTCGCAGGATGTGCCACGATGGAGGTCATACTCATGTTACACGCTCTATTGGACCTGTTTAACAGGCTCGCTCGTGCGTCAGGGCGTGCTCGCTCGCTCCGTGGTGGCCTCGCCTCTCCTGTACGTGCCCCTGCGCATGCTTCCGCCGCAATTCTAGCTCCCAATGTTGAGGCGCGCCGATTCAGTGGTTGCGGGGAAATGGCAAGAGCTTGGGCCTTGGGTGTAGCTCAGGGCGTGGCTGGTCGTGCGCCCGCCCGCCTGCCCGCGACCGGCTGACGAGCCCGGGTGGCGCCCGGGGGCCCGGCTCTTACACCCACCGGCCAGTGACCTGACCCCGATGCTTGCCTGCTGGTCCGATGTTAGGGCGCGCTTCCAGTCCACCAAGACTGTGGACGGTCGTACCCAGTGGGTGGGTCTGACCAATGACCAAGACTTTTTCAAGAAAAACGACAAGCTGAACCGCCCCATGTCCCCTCACCTCACCATTTACCGCTTTCCCCTTCCGGCCATTCTCTCCATCTCGCACCGCGTCAGTGGCGCGGCTCTGACCATGGCCATCTCTGCCGCTGCCATTGGCTTGATGGTTCACCCCCTCAGCTTTTACATTGACGCTGTTCAGGTATCACCATTCCATGTCCCCGCCCTGTTGTCTTGGACACGGCTCCCACTGCAGAAGAGGCCAGCCCCCCAGCGCTCACCGTCTCAATTCCCAATTCGTCTGCATCTTTGCCCCATGTATGATTGAATGACAGGCCATGCAACTACCTGCCGCTTGCTTCTTCACCACCAAGACCCTGCTGGCGTTCCCCTTCACCTACCACACCGTCAATGGTCTGCGCCACTTGGTAAGCCATCGAGCCTTTTGTGCCCAAACCAGCGTCCACTTTTCTTTCGCTCGCTTGCTTGCTTTCTAGTTCACGTTCAAGTTCTTTGCGATAGTTCTGGGATACAGCCAAGGGCCTTGAGCTTGGCCCCGTTTACTCAAGCGGCTACATGATGGTTGGTCTCGGCCTTGTTTCGGCCGTCGGCCTGGCCATGCTTTAAAATTGGTGATGAACCGCCTTGAGAAGCATGACGTTGTGCTTCTCCTCATTCCGTGAGCGGGTTTCCTGGTCCTCTCGTGGCCTTGGTTGTCTCACAACCCCCCTTCCACCGCCTATACAACTGCCCCCGAGGCCACTGACCTTCACCGTGGCCAAGCACTTGTTTGCTTGTCTTTGGTTTGGTTTGCTCGCGTGACCTCGACTACGAACCGCCCCCCTGGTTTTATCGTTTGTTTTGTATGTTTGTTTTTTTCGGCCAGTTAACCATGCCTTGCATATCCCTCTTGTCGGCCGTTGCCGGTTCGATCAACCCCTTCTGCCCCACCGACCTCCACAAGCAGCGTCAACGACGCACAATCGCTTTTCAACTCACCCACCAAATTGAACGGAAAGCCTTTTTTTTTTCTCTTGTCTTGTTGGAGTTCCTTCTCTCACTTGGCTGAACAATCGTTTCACATGTCATGTCCATCAGCCCTTCCACAGATCAAAGGGTACAAGATTGGACGAAACCTGCAAACTGTACAATGTTATGCTGTTCACATGCTTTGCAGACGGAGGCTAAGCTCAGCACTTGTTTGATGATGATTCATGTTTGGTGTGATTCTTAACATGTGTAAGGAAAGATTATAAAAAAGCCGTTTTCTCATGACAATTTGACAACAAGAAGACGGGGCAGGCTGACGCCGCCAAGGAACACCCAAAGTCAAACATAAAGACCACACATCCTCTACATTAGTCGGCGATCTAGACAATAAAGGGGATGGGAAGTGCCTTAAGCACGCTCGACCTTGGTGACCTTGCCCAGCATGACAACCGAGTTACCCTCCATGATGGCGACACGGCCAAGACCCTCGCAGGTCTTGAAGGTGTCGACGACGAAGGGCTGCTGGGGGGCCATGACGACCTCGGCAACCTCGTTGCTCTTGAGGGCAACGGGGTCCTCGGCCTTCTTGCCACCGGTCTCCTTGCCAATCTTCCAGTTGATGGCGGTCATGCGGCACGCCGAGCGGGAAGTGCGGACGAAGGCAATGGGGCAGTAGCCAACCTTGAGCTCTCCGGGGTGGTTCATGATCTGGACCTGGACGGTGAAAGACTTGACGCGGCCAATGGAGTCATCAGACTTCAGGATCATGACATCACCAACACGGGGCATGTTGTCCTTGTTGAGACCCTTGATGTTGAGGCCAACGTTGTCACCAGTCATGGCAGCCTCGACGGACTTGTGGTGCATCTCGACGGTGAAGACCTTGCCGGTGCAGGCGGTGGAGGAAGTGTGGGTGGGGAGGAAGACAACTTCATCTCCGGGCTTGACGGTGCCCTGCTCGACACGGCCAGTGAGCACATCTCCGACACCCTTGATCTTGAAGACACCCGAGATGGGGGTACGCATGGGCTTGTCGGTGGCGCGCTGGGGAACGCGGACCATCTTCTCGAGAGCATCCTGGAGGCAGTCAATGTGGATGGTCTCGCTGTCGACCTTGACGTCGACACCGTTCCACCAAGACATGTTGGTGGTCTTGGTGATGAGGTTATCACCCTTCCAGCCCGAGATGGGGAGGACGGGGACGGACTCCTCAACGAAGGACTTCTTCCAGCCGACCTTGATGAGCATGTGCACCATCTCGTCGCGGACCTCCTTGAAGCGGGCCTCGCCGTAGCCGGCAACGTCGCAATCCATCTTGTTGCAGCCAACAATGAGTTGCTTGACGCCGAGCAGGTTGATGAGGACGGCGTGCTGGCGGGTCTGGCCCTGGACCTCACCGGCCTTGTGGTTGCCCTTGGCAATGGCAGCAGTGAAGTTACCATCGCAGGGAACCATGAGCAGGGCAACATCGGCCTGGGAAGCACCAGTGATCATGTTCTTGATGAAGTCACGATGGCCAGGGGCATCAATGACGGTGTAGTGCTTGGTGGCAGTGAAGAACTCCTTGGTGGTGCAAGCAATGGTCACACCACGTTCACGCTCCTCCTTCTGACGGTCCATGTAGAAGGCGAAGGCGAAAGAGCCCTTGCCGAGACGCTCAGCCTCATCCTTCAGCTTCTGCATCTCACGCTCGGGGATGCCGCCGAGCTCGAAGATGAGACGGCCAGTCGTGGTCGACTTGCCGGCATCGACGTGGCCGCAGATGACAATGGAAACGTGTTGCTTGCCGTCAGTCGAGCACCCCTGGCCACACCAGCAAAAAGTGGCAGTGGCACCTCTTTACTCAACCACGTCACACGACAAAAAAACTTGTAAAACACTTTCAACGAGCCTCAAACGGCAGTCGGGTGGTGCACGACCACAGCATTGGCATCGGCACCCTTGCTATTGTTAATGCATGTGCGCTGCCTTCCATCTCGCGCGGCCGCGTGGCCACATGTGGCAGCCAGGTACCAACCTGGTTGATGATGCTCAACTGCTCAAGTTGATAAAAGGCCGACTCTGATTCGTCGCGCGCACAAGAGCGGCGCGCGGGTGGATGTGGTGGTGGGTGGGGGGAAAGACACAGCTTCCAGCTTGTCGCTTCTTCTATCAGCAAAAACAAAAAAAAAAACAGTGGATAGCAGAGGTTCAAGGTGGACCACGAGGCAGCAAGGGGATTTGCGTTAAGAAAGCCATGGGAGCAAAAGCGAGGCTTGTGCTTATGATGCTGTGTAAGCGACGACTGAAGCGGAAGGTGCAACGTCGCATAACAACAAAAGGCGAGTTATGCAGGCGCGACACGCGGGGGGGTCAAAATACAGGTAGCGGGCAAGGCTCATGAAGCAAGCGACCCCCCACAAGGCAAGCTCCTAAGACCTGGAGACCTGGAGCCCACATGGCCTGGGCGCATAGGGCTTACTGCAACGCAATGGGATGCGAGCACCCACAACAAGCAACCCCACATCACCACATGGCCAAAGACACGCGTGGCCTGAACAAAGGGAGCAGCAGTCCCATCGCACTCACAACACGTGTCCTTGACGAAGAAATTTTGCCTTTTATTCAATACAGAAATCACCGACAAGCACATCACTTGCGAAACAATCTCAAAACTCGATCGTTTTTTCCCCATCCAGCGCTGCCTTGGACCTTCCACTTTTAGATGATGGTGGCGTCTATATTTAGAAGACACAGTATGTCAGACAAATCAGTGCTGCGGACCGATTTCTGCCGGCTTTTTTCTCCTCTTTCAGCACGGAAAAAAAAAAGGGCAGAGCCGGGGAGAAGCAGGTTCGCAAGCGGGACGAGGGGAAGAAGGGGGGGGGGGGGGGGGGGGGGCTTTGTGATTGGAGAAGATGACCAACGACACTGCATAGATTGGTGACGATCAACAACCGACCCGGTTATTGCTGGCTGGCAGCTCAAGTCGGCATGGCGTCGCCTGGCGCCATCAGCGCAGGCCAGCTGCGCAAGGCTCGAAGAAAAGCCGAGGCTACCCGTGCTCGACTGTCTCAGCTTCAGGTTCGATATACCGACCGCTGGTCCAGGCGATGCCCAGATCGGCTGTGCCAGCGCGGACCACGGTACTGACGGAAAGGCGGTGCGTTTCGTTGACTTGTTCTTATCTTCATGTTTGCCCCCTTTTCTCTCTCTCTCTCTCTCTCTCTCTCTCTCTCTCTCTCTCTCTCTCTCTCTCTCTCTCTCTCTCTCTCTCTCTCTCTCTCTCTCTCTCTCTCTCTCTCTCTCTCTCTCTCTCTCTCTCTCTTCTTTTTCTTTCTCCCCATGCTTTTTCTTTTGCACCCAGCGCACCTGATCGCGTTGCCATGCCCTCCATGTGCATAAACGCCTTGAACCTCGCCACTCTAGCTGGCTCGTGTGCTGGACCGTGCTGGTGCCATGGCGTTTTGCATGCCATTGGGCTGCAACTTTTCGCTCGCCCGCTTTTCCACACCAATGGCTGCCCAAGAGGCCTGCCCGGTCCTGGAGCAGTGGCATGACGAGGTACCAAGCCTCACCCCACGTCTTTGTTACCGCTCGAGTACTCTCCGACCGACCTCCCGCTTTCACCTGCACCTTGCCGCCCTCTCACTCCACTAGCTCAAGGCCGTGCTGTGTGCGATACCGGCAGACTCGCGCCACCCCATGGTCACCAAGGCAATCGACCAAAGTAGTTGGGCCCCCCTTCAGGCACCAGCCATCCGAGATCCCGACACGACGACCATGCCAACTGAGCCCCAGCTTCCGCCCGGCCTCCTGTACCTGGAGGACGCCATTGACGCCGCCACGGAGGACCAGTTGGTTGCTCTCCTCAATGAAGACACCACGCCTTGGCAAGTGCTACGGCAACGCCAGGTGGCGCAATGGGGTGTGGCGTATGACTATGATGCCTTCACCGCCCACCCCATCACGGCCAACATGCCCGCACTGCTGCTGCAGCAGGCAGGTGAAATGCAACGGCTAGCGCAGCAGCACGGCCTCGCCACTGCCCGCCCCAATCAGCTAACTGCCAATCGATACCAACCAGGTGATGGGATTGCCGCGCACGTGGACAGCCCCGTTGCCTTTGGACCCATCGTCTGGATTCTATCACTCGAAGGCGGCCTGGCCATGGACTTTGCCCCGCTCACGCCAGCCGAGCCTGCCCCTGACCCATCACGCACAGAGGGGGAGGGCGACTCCAAAGTTCCTGCCGCCTTTGGTCGCAATGAGGGCAAGGCCCTCCAGGATCGACACCGCGACCTCACGGCAACCCAGACCCTCTACCTGCGCCCGCGCTCTGTCCTCATCCTTGCCGACGAGGCCCGCTACAACTGGAGCCATCAGATTGCGCCTCGAAAAACAGACCTCGTCCAGGGCATCCGGCTACCCCGCCGTCAACGCACCTCCCTCACGTATCGATACGTACCACCCAAGGCGTCACCTTGAGCCCATATGGGACGCGATTGCTATCCTCGGCACGGGCGCTCCCGCCAAAGCTCGATAACTTGGCGTGTTGCTGTTGAACAGCAAATGGCCTGCGCTGACTTTTGTTTTTGCTTTGTTTTTGGTTGTTTGTTGTGTTTTTGTTTTGTTTTTGTTTTGTTTTGTTTTTTATCAAGGGGAAGGTCAATCGTCAATTGACCAACTTGGTAGAACATGTAATTGGCGACAGGCATCGAAGCAGACCGTAGGGTCGCCCCCTCGACTTGTGGATATAAAATTGCTTGACACTTTGTTCCACTCCCAGGACACAACCGGAAGAGAAAGGGGAGTAAAACTACCATTTTGAGACGCACCAGGCGGTCGGTGGGCCCTGCTCAGCAGGAACCCACAATGCCGCTGGTCACGAACGCACGCGAAACATGTCACAATCATCCTCGCGAAATAACGTGATGACCGCCGGTTCCTCCGTCGAGCCCTCACTCAACGAGAAAGCGTAGAGGGCCCCATTGCGGCAGGCCACCATCAGGCTTTGGCCGTCCAAAGTGAAGCAGCAACGCCCAGGAAAAGGAAGCTCAATCGTCTTGAAGCTCGTCTGTTGACCGTGCAGGAACATGGTCCAGGACCGCGACTCGGATCCAGAGGCAACCACAGCTCCGCTCGAAGCCGATCGGGGCGCAGTCGTTGTAGAGTTGGTACCACCTGTCGCAGTACCATCGACAGCGAACAGATGCGCCGTTCGATCGCTTGCCGCGCATAAGATGGTCGCATTGCGAGAAAACGTCAGCCCCAACATTTCGGCGGCCGTGTAGCCACGTCGAAACTCGTGAAGCTGCGCGCCCGTCTTGGTATCAAAGACGCGGATGATGGTACCGCGGACAGAACTCGATGCCAGGCGGCCCCCTGCCGGCGCCATCGCCAGTGCAGCCAGCGCGTGTTGGTGCGCTTGAAACATAACGGGGGATCGTCCAGATGCACCCACGTCTACGAGGTGCACCTGGCCGGGCTGACTGCCCAGTATAGCCACGCGCACTTGCGTGCCCAGCCAGTTGACCGCTGCCAATCCGCGTGGGTTGCTATAAGTTTCAAACGTCTCCTGCAATTCAAAGGTGGGCACGCTAAACACATCGATGCGAATCTTGCTCACTACCAGCAGACTGCAGCGCAGCGTAAAAGGAGTTTTCCCCATCCGTACCGGTGAGTAGAAACAGGATGGGCCCCAGAGACTGACGAGAGCAAGGGTATAGGGAGTCAGCGTACCTGTCGCGGGCCATCATAATGTTGAGGACCGGGGTTTTGAAGCCCAGCTCCGCGACCATTTGGTCCGACTGACAATCATAGATCAAAACTGCCAGGTTGGGTCAGACGCCCCAGACATGAGGTCCACGCGGATTGCTTGCAAGTTCAACTCTGCAACAACCGCAGCTGACCTTTGTTGGGCGCAGCCAGTGGTTTCTTGCCTCCACCGACCAGGGCCACGAGGTTGGAACGGCCCAGCATGACGGCGTGGGACAGGCCCCCCATAACTGCCGGGCCATTCATACAAGCATTTGAGGGGAGGAAGCCAGTGACTCCAAAACCAGGCCACAACAATGCAAGATAGCTATCTGATGTAATCCGCAAGGCCTCGGTCGTACCTTTACGGGTTACCGGCAACGGCGGCTTGGTACAGTAGATCCAGAACCCATCGTCTCGCGCAAAGGCCACGAAAGCTGGACATGACGGGATGTGTGCGGAAACAGCCGACACCGGGCAATAGATGAGCTGGACGAGAGCAGGAAAAGAATGAAGCCGACGGGCATGGACGGAGCAAACGGGATGGCATCATCGTCTCGATGAGGTTCGTGCACGGCATGGAGACGCACCGCCATCGGGGCTGAAACTACAGGCACTCAGCTCTAACGGAGCCATGACGACGGTGCAATTCCTGGTTGCAGCACTGCTCAACAAGAATGGAGCCACTTCTCGCGCACCTGCTGAAAATGGAAAGAAGCAAGAGCAATGCACTCTTTGGGAAGGCAAGCAGTGGTGCGTGCGTGGCTCTTGCTTCGGTCTCTTGAGACCTCGAGGGCTCCGCCGCCTCAGTCGTCTAAAGCAGATGATGACGCGTCTGCGGAATGAAAGCAGCACCGTATGAGCCGAACAAGACGAGCACGCAACTGCTGATAAACTCGCCAGCCCCAAAAGCCCATCCAGCACCATATCTTTCCCCACCATCCCCGACCACTGCCTGCACGTCGCCGCGCTGTGACGTTGTGCAGCCGCTGCGGCTGCCCTTTCGCCAGCCCAACCTCGAAACGTGAATTTGCTGATACTCAAACAACACAGTTGGTAAGCTGCAACTGGCTGCATCTTCTCCGCATTTTTCCTCTTTAACTTCTCCACTGTCCTTTCGTTTTTCTTCTTTGACGCTTGTACTTTTCTTCTTTAACTGCTCTTTTCTCTTCTTTTGCTTGGAGGAGCTCAACATTTTGTCAGCCTTTTTGCAGTGTTTTGTGTGTGTGTGTGTGTGTGAATTGACAAGAGCAGTTTCGGGGTGTGAGCTGGACTGCTCTTATTATTCCTTCGCGGCCAAGCACATTCTGGACGGCAGCCGGGGCACAGTGTGGGGAGGAAGCGCAACTACAAGGCCACTGGCTTTAAGCTTTTTTTCTCCTTCTGTCAAGTGACGCCCATAGATTGGCTTTCGGCTCTTTTGCAGCTTTTTCGTGTGGGGGCCAACGTCCGCAACCATGGGTGATCGGTTGCTCGACCGCGCCGACGAGGCCGACTACGATGTCGACTTGGATATTGACTACGATGAGGAGGAGGAGACTCGCATGGCACCACCACGCCAGAGCAGTAGTGGCAGTGATGTCCCCACCTGGACTTTTTCTCGTAGCTTTGACCCACAGGTCTGTCTGCACCCGTATCCGATAAGCGACAGTAAAGCCTCGGACCCATGTGCGCCCGTGCCCCAGTCGCTCATCCGATGTGCACCTGTTAGGCGGAGCCAGTCAAGTCGCGCATCGCCAATGTTATCTTCCATCCTTGCTACATTTGGTTCTATCTCATGCTCTTGGTGGCGTGTGCGACCATGCTTGCTTGGACCTTCTCTTCCAAGTACGCCTGCTCCTCGACGGTGCTGTCTTGTCGAGTGCACCGGTCGCCTTTTAAGCGTTGAAGTGTGAGCACCTTGATCAATTCCGCGCCTCGCACTTCCTAGGTCCATTACCCACCTTTACGTCTTTGTCGACCTCGTGGTCAACCTATTGATTTTATCCGACTTTGGAGTACGCCTCTACCTCAGCACTGTCCGCGTACGTGACCGCACAATGAATACCAATCTCAATGCGCGCTCTTCTTAAGCTTGGCATTCTATTCTATTCCCCCCATGATGATGCCTCAACCTTGCAGGAATTTTTCAGTATCGCACTGAATGTCCTTGATGGACTGATCGTGGCAGCCTGTCTCATCACCTCTGTGATCGAGTTTGTGGAGCTGGGTCAAAAGGGCCATGACGAGGTACAGCTACTCTTGATTGCCCCTCCCACCCGCACGAGGGTAAAGCAACATGCAAAGGCACATGTATGTCCTGGAGCTGTACCCCCGCTCACGCGATAAGCTCTGTTTTCGATCTAGGTTGACTTTGCCGTCTCCGGCGCCATTCTGGTGGTCGTCCGGTGTCTGATCCAATGCTTTCGTATTTATATCATTCTTCATACGTATGTTTCGCTCTTCTTGTGAATGAGGTTGACATGAAATTGCTGTACCTGCTGAAAGATCTTCGCACTTCGTTTGCTGATTGTCGCCCTCTCCTTCCAAAATCACTGCGAAAAATCTACGGACATGCGCATGTCAGATTCATCAAGCGTCGCGAGCTTGCCGCGCTGCAACTGGATGAGGTTTGTCATTGCTTCAGGTTTAGAAGAAGGACATTGTAGACTTGCCCCCCTGCGCCTTTTTTTTTTTTTTCTTTCCTCTCACTCTCTTTCGCTCTCTCTTTCGCTTTCTCTTTCGCTCTCTCCTTCTCGGCCTTCTCATCTTGTGCCTCCTTCTCGGGCACCTCGCCGTGTGCGTTTTGATTTTGATCTATTGATACCGCTCCACTCAGGTGCTCATGAATACTCATGAAGAAGACGCCTTGTACAATCCCGACATCAACGAAGTGTTTGCTGCCGACTCTTCAGACATGCCCTACGTGGCATTTCGAGATCAGACTGTATACTAAGTGAGTTGGATTTGATTAAAATGCGAGCACACGGATTGCTGCAGAAGTGTCTCTTATGCCTGCCCGCGGTTGACTGGCCGAGCCGGAACTGCGTGCTGAACTTTGACAATTTAGTCACAAATGCACCTCCCACACGCACCACACCTTTTTTTGCTCCTTCTCTTGCCCTGAAAATGTCGAGCAACCGCGGCCACACAATCATGACGTACAAGTATCCTCAGCACGAACTCGGCTCAAGGCCAGAACCACTTGGGCTTTTGTTGTTAACTCTTTTTTTTTGCAAAAAAAAAAACGTTTTGTTTCACCACATGGACTTTCATTTGGTAGCCCATAGTCTTCTGTCTCTCTGTCTCTCTCTGTCTCTCTGTCTCTGTCTCTCTCTTTTTCAAGCGCTTCCTCAACGCAACGGCTAGAAGCGCAAACAGGGGGGCGGAATCGGTGGCCACCGGCTCATTTGCTCCAACACTCCACAGGATCGCTTGCTTGCAGATCGTGCGGGCGTGTGGAGCACCGTTTTAACGGATTCAACCCGCCTTGGCCCGCAGCTCCTGTTGCCTTTCCAGCGAGAAATTCAAAACGCCAGACCCGCGTGGCCGTGCGCCGCAAAGCACATCAGAGCTCTCGAACGAGGTACGCTGCGTTTTGACTTTGAAGAATGCACGTCCAAGAGGTCCGTGACTCTCATTGACCAATCGTCTCCCTGACTGGTCCACCAAATCGTCTCGTCCACGCAGACTGGTGGTGTTTTAGCCCATGGGCCAGCACGCACGGCAGTAGCGGTGGTGCCTTACCTGTCCTCATGGGGGCCACCCGCCCAGCGCCGGCGCTCCGGCCATGGCTCTGCAGCATGCTTGTTGCCCGAGTGCTGGTCGCTGTCCTCTTCTTGGGCTCGGCGCTGGCCCAAACAGCCAACCTGCAAACTCAGTGTCCCTCCCCGTGCGTGCTTGAAGAAGGGGATACGCTCACGGTGGTCGTGGCACTCTCAGCAGCCACCTCCTCCAGTGTCGTGCTGCAAGTCGACGTGAAAGACACTCTGTCAAGCTCCTCCCCCACCATGGATGATGTGTCCCCAAGCACGCAGTATGCCGTCTTTGAAACCGGACAAAGTTCCGTTGAACTTACCTTCACGATTGATGAAGACACCACGCCTGAACTCAACGAGACTTTATACGCCATTCTTTCTAACCCATACGCCAACAGCGTCACGCTGGGCACCGCGGCTCTGCCCTTTACCATCCTAGCCAATGACAGCCCGTATGGCACCATTACCCTGACCCCCGTGGTGGGCACTGTGACAGAGGGTGGCACCTTTATCATTAATGTGGCGCGCACCGGCGGTCTTTTCGAGGCACAAAACATTTCGTGGACTATTGCCAATGGTGCTGCTGATTTTGTCGTGTCGCAAGGCGTATATCGTCTTGCTGCCGGTATCAGACAAAGTTCTTTTGCCATTGCCACCATCAACGACGATCTTCCTGAGTTGCGTGAAACCTTTGCCCTCAGCATCATTGGCATCGACGGCGGGGCGGCGGCATCCACAGCCGCTGTATCCCTCGCCATTGCAGCTTCTGACTACCCATGTGGCATCATTACGGTCGATGGCGCCACCACCACAACGGTTGAATCCAGCTCGTTCGCCGTCGGCCTGCGGCGAAATGCCGATCGCGCGCTCGGTGCAGTCGATATTGTGTTTTACCTCGAGCAAGCCTCCGCACTCTCTGCTGAAAACCAGGCCATGGCCGGAGCTGATTATGTCAACGCCTCGGGTGTTGTTCGCCTTGAGCAAGGCGATACCACGGGCACCATCAGTATCACCGTGCTGGATGATTCCGAGCCAGAAGCTGAAGAATGCTTTTTCCTGCATCTGCGCACCTCCACGACAGATGCTCGCATCGACAATGTCACCACACTTTTGTGCATCGCAGGCAATGACATGGGTGCAGGCACCTTTGCCTTGGCCGCAGCCAGTCAGCTTGTTGACGTGGATGAACCGGCCACGGGCTCTGTGGCAGTCACTTTGACTGTGGTCCGCCAAGTTGCCCAATTTGGTACTGCTCAGGTGGCCTGGACGGCTTCCTCGAGTGGATCTGCCAGTCCAGACCGCTTTTCGCCTAACTCTGGCGTGGTGTCTTTTGCTGATGGCCAAACCGAGGCCGCACTGGTCATCACCATTCTTGGCGATGACGACCCTGAGCTCGAAGAGCAAATTCTTGTCCAGCTTCAGTCTGTCACCGCTGCCGTTGCTGGTCAAGCCGCCCTGGTATTCCCGACATCGGGCGTCATTGCTGTCGCCGCCAATGATGATCCCTACGGCATCTTTTCACTCAACGTCACTGACGTTGACGAAGAGGGAACGCCTATTGTGGAAGGTTCGAGCCTACTCGTGGAGCTGACGCGTGCTGCCGGCACCTTCAACACAGTCTCTGTGCCATGGACCCTGTTGCAAGGTGACAACCTAGCGCAGACCGACTTTCAGGCTGTTGAAGGGAATGTCACTTTCACCGCCGGCGCCACCAGCGCCAGTTTCAACCTTCTTGCGTTGAACGATGGCATTGCAGAATTCAAAGAAGCCTTTGTCCTTCAGCTAGGTACACCCTCCTTGGGAGAGCTGGGCAACACCGTGTCTGCCCGCCTGTACATCCCCGTCAATGGTAATCCCTCGGGTCAGTTTAGCATGACCTCGACCGAGCTCGCTTTTACCGAGCCCAGTGCTGCCGAAGTTTTGCGACAAGTCCAGTGTGGCATTAGGCGCACTGGCTCCACCCTCGGCGCTGTCTCGGTGCGCATCCGCACCAGTTTTGTGGCACGACCTGCCGTTGATGGGACACCCACCCAGGCCGCGACCCAACTGGAGGACATTGTCATCAATGAAGTGGATGTTCAATTCGCTGCTGGCGAGACCACCAAGCAGGTGCCCTTTTACATCCTTTCAGATGATTTTCCGGAGCCTCGGGAAACTTTTGAAATCTATCTTGCTTCCATCGTCAGCCAAACCGAGCCGGGTGCGGCGGCCGTCACTGCAAGCAACACCACGACTGTGGCCATTGCACCCAATGATGTCGCAGCTGGTCGCTTTTCTCTTGCCAACGCCTCAGCTGTGGTTAAGGTAGGCCGCTCTGATACAGTTGTTTGAGGCGAACGCAGTGCAGACAGCCTCCTTGTATATCGTACCTGAAAGATTGCGGCAAAGAATAACATGCTTGTGCTCTGTAGGTTCAGGAAGGAGACGTCTTCAACCTGGAGGTCCGTCGCGAATTGGGCAACTTTGGCACGGCCGCTGTAGCATGGCAAGCCATCAACGCAGATGGCCAGCTTTCGCCCACGAAAGGTTCGTAATATTCCTGCCTCCCAGCCTTGTCTGTTCACATGTTGGTGCCTCCTCCTGTCCCCACTTCATATCCCTTCCCCCACTCACATTGAGTGGCTCCGTGGCAGGCTGGCTGCATTTTGACGGTAGCCAAGCAAGCGCCACCATTGCTTTAAATGTCATTGATGATGCCACCCCTGAGTTGGCAACGACTTTTGCCCTCAATCTCACCAACATCACAGCGCAAATTTCAGACCAGGCAGAGATGGCCTCAGCCCCCCAAACGTCACTCACCATTGAAGTTGCCGAGAATGACGATGCACGCGGCATCTTTGCCTTGAGTGATCTCTCACCTGTGCAAACCGTTCTTGACGAGCCAACAAATGGTGCTTCAACATCACTGGAATATACGGTTGTGCGCACGGCAGGAGCCTTGACTACCGAGGTCATTTCATGGACACTGATGACCCCATGCAACTCGAGTGTAGCTGGCTGCGACTACCTCACCAACAGTGACTTTGCCGCCCTGGGCGGAACCCTGACCTTCGACGTTGGGGTGCGCGAGCGCTCCTTTAATGTTACAGTCCTGGACGATGACACGCCAGAGCTTGAAGAGATTGTCTATGTGCGCTTGAGCCACGCCTCAAATCCTCAGCTGATCGGCAGCCGGACACAAGCCCAGCTGACGGTATCTCTGAACGACGACCCCTTTGGCATCTTTTACATTGATGTGGACGGCCTGACCATGGTCGTTGCTGAGGGCCAGCGCCAACCAGCAGAGGTGGCGATACCCATTGCGCGCGCCGCAGGCACATTCGACACCGTGGAAGTACTTTGGTCCCTGCGCGGCGTGTCAGCGGGCTTTAACGATCCCTCACCGGACGTGGCCCCCACCAACGGCACCCTGACTTTTGGCCCAGGACAAACACAAGCTACGCAGGTTCTCTCTATTTTGCCCGACGCCCTACCAGAGCTGCAAGAGACTTTCAACTTTATTCTGAACGGCTTTAGCGATGGTTCGCCGGCTGAGACCAGTCTTGATGGTACACGCAGCGTTTTGCTCGTGACCATCAATGCGTCAGACTACCCGCATGGCGTCTTTGAGTTCAACTCAACGGATCAAACCCTCAATGAGACGTCGGCTCCCATCATCACCCTGCCTGTGCATCGTCGCTGGGGCACGTTGGGAGAAGTCCGCGTCGAAGTCATGGTCACTCTCCAAGGCGCCAGCACGGCCGATTACACGCCTAGCACGACGCTCTTTCGATTGGATTTTGCTGATGGCGAGGCCCAGCGCAACCTCACCTTTCAAGTGAACCACGACAACATCCCTGAAGTGAACGAGAGCTTGACCTTTTCCATCCTCACCGTGCAGCTCGTGGATCGCCAATCAACGGAGCGCCCCATTGTGGGTGCTAATAATGCTGTGACCTACACCATTCTCGAAAATGACGACGCCCGAGGTGTTTTCGAAGTGGCAACGCCGCTCCTCGCGGTCCCAGAAACTTCCCGCACCCTCGACTTTGCCATCCATCGCAGTCGGGGCCTGTTTGGGGCTGTATCCGTGCATTTTCGCGTTCAAGGGGGCACGGCTGAGTTGGGCAGCGATATACTGGGTGTCGAGGCTGGAGTCCTGATGTTTACCGAAAACCAAGCCTCGGCCAGCTATCAGTATTCTTTGGTGGACGATGCCGTGCCGGAGGAGGCCGAAACTCTGACCATTGTTATTGTCAACGTTTCGGCGGGCCGACTTGGCTCTGACACGCAGACGCAGCTCATGATCGAAAAGAATGACGACGCCAATGGTGTCGTTTCTTTCCACGCTTCGGCTGTGTCAGCAGCGCTGCAACGCTACGCCGAAGTCCAAAACAACATCACACTCTTGGTGCAGCGTACCCGGGGACTCTTTGGTAACGTGAGTGTTGAATACAACGTCACAAGCAACAGCGGCAGCAGTGCGAAGAACGACCTTTTGCCGCACAATGGCGTGTTCTGGTTTGCTGAAGGCGTTGACGAAGCCGAATTGCCGCTCGTTATCAATGAGGACTCGACGCCCGAGCTGGAGGAGTCATTTACAATTCAACTTGGTACTGTATCAGGTGGTGCGCGCTTGGCCACGAGCAACACACACGCGGTTGTGACCATCCTGGCCAATGATGAGCCCCTCGGCATTGTGCAGCTTGACCCCATAACTGAGGTCGGCATGCAACTGGAGAACGGGTCACGGGTCCTCGCTTTTCCCGTGTACCGCTCGGGTGGTACTCTTGAGCCCATTGTTGTCACGGGTGACTTGACAGTGGCTCGCGAAGACGATGGCGTCTGCGTTGCAGATGCGGCATTTGGCGCTAGCGTTGTGACGGTCACAATGCCGCTCAACTCGAGCAATGCGCTTCTGGTTCTTGACCTCCCCTCAACCGCCCCTGTTCAATCCGTCACTCAGTTCTGCCTGCAACTGCGACCCCCAACCCGGGAAGACGGTTCCGTGCTCCAGCTCAATGGCGGTGACTCTCCACGTCTGGGTGCCATCCGGCGAGTGGTGGCAAGTCCCAATCCAGCCATTCTTCCGGCATTCTTCGCCATCGCGCCTCCACTGCAACGCATTGCAGAAGGCGCACGCGGGTTGTTTTCGATTTCGCGCCACACGGGTACCTACGGCTCCGTGACCTTGCAGATTGACTGCTCTGGCACTGACTGTGACGCCCTCATCCCCTCAAACAATACCTTTGTTTTCCCGGCCGGTGAGGCTACAGCACAAGAGTTTAGCGTAGCGGTGCTTGATGACGATATTCCAGAGATGACCCGCAACGTGACCCTGTCACTTCGTGTGGTGGCGGGCAATGCTTCCGTCACGCCAAGTGAGGCCGAGGCCACCGTTTCAATCCCGGACAGCGATGATCCGTATGGCATCATTAGTCTGGAGCCGAGGCAACAGCAGACGCAACAAAATGGGGGCGTGGCTTCAGCCACCGTGCTGCGAAGTGCCGGCCAATTTGGGGCCGTCACAGTCGAGTGGAGGGTTGAGACCGATGACGCTCAGTTTGGCGTCGACTACAACACTTCTGGTGGCACGGTGGTGTTGCTACCTAACACCACCAATGCGTCGCTGTCCGTACAACTCTTGCCCACAAACAACAGCGATATCAAATCCCTGAGTATCGTCATTGCGGCCGTCTCGAACCCGTTGGGAACGCCGTCATTGCAGGCTAATCGCAGCGATGTCCTGCTTACCAATTGCTTTGGCTGCACGGTTGGCTTTGGCTCCGACGTTATTTTTGCTGTGGAAGGCAACACTTCGGCCGGTTTCGTGATTGAACGCACTCCAAACGCCTTTGACCATCTGGAGCTGGCCTGGTCGCTTCTAAACGCTTCTGGGCAATTTTTGAATACCAGCGGCATTGTATCCATGCCGATTGGTCTCGAATCAGCCTTTGTACCACTTCTTGCTCTCGATGACTTGACACCCGAATTTGAACAGGCGTTTCAACTCGAGTTGCTAATTTTGCAAGGAGAGACGCAACTGGGTACTTCAACCACGGCTACGGTGCTTATCCCCGCCAACGACTACCCCTACGGGCGCTTCGAGCTGACTCCACTAACGGCCAACTTGAGCGAGTCGGCAGGGCTTGATTTCGTCACCCTGACTGTGCAGCGCCCAAGTCCGAGTGGTTCTATGGGCCATGTTGTCGTCTCGCTCGATGTAGATGATGGTGCTTTAGCCCGCTTTAGCGTGGTTGATCGTGTCAACGGATCTTCGTTTGCTACACTTGGGAATTCATCGACGATGCAGTGCGCAAGCTATTGCTTGGCAGCTTTGAATGCCACGTGCGATGCGTTTGAGTTTGACAGTGCTACGACCACCTGTTATCTGCTGGCCGCGAATGCGTCTTTGGAAACGCCTGCGGTGTCTGGCACCCTCTATCTACTGACGCAGCCCGAGCCGACTGTTGCCCCCCTTCAGTTTCGTGATTTTGTGCTGACGCAACGTCTCCTGACCTTTGCAAATGGCCAGCGTGCACACACAGTTGGCCTACAGGCCTTGGACGACAACGTCACCGAGGGCTGGCAAAATTTTACAGTCCGCCTTTCCTCCGTGGCCTTGCAGTCAAGTGCAACGACCACAGTGCATGAGCTGAGCACTGCTCCCGGTCTCAGCTCCACGCATGTGACAATTTTTCCCAGTGATGGAGCCGGCGGGGCGTTTGCATGGCGCAACTCGACGGCCGAGGTCGTCGAGGGCAGCACCTTATCCGTCATTTTGGCACGAACTCGTCCAGCCATTGTCGATATCACCCTGGATTGGATGCTCATTGATGGTGCCTCGGATTTTGTAAATAGTAGCGGTAGCCTAGAACTGAGAGCAACAGATGAGTTTGCCACGGTGTCGTTGACGGCTTTGGCCGATCAGATGCCAGAGTTGACTGAGAATTTCACCTTGCAAATCGCTTCGCGCGAAAACTATGCAACGATTGAGACGGGCGGCGCTGAAATGACCATCTCCATTCCCGCGTCTGATGACCCTTATGGTCGCATCTCTGCTCGGCTCAGTGGTTCTGGAGAGGAAGGCACCGTACTTGAGTTGGCGCTGACACGCGCAGGGGGCCACCTTGGAGAGTCCAGGGTATTCTGGTGGTTGGAAGGAGCTGACAGCCAAACAAATGTTTCTTCCGGCGTCTTCTTCTTTGCTGCTGGTGCTCTGAACAGCTCACCCAACACGGAGGCTGCATACATCCTGGTGCTGGATGACCCCGAGCCAGAGCTGGCAGTCAACTACACCATTCACTTCAATGTTACACAAGGGCGGCCGCGTCTACTGCAGAGGACCCTTGATGCTTCACTCCCAGCCAACGATGACCCCTGGGGCCGCGTGGGTCTTGCAACAACGCAAACACGTAGTTTCCGCGAGCGGGCTGCCAACTATACCATCCAGCTCGTCCGTCAGCAAGGCTTGGTTGGCAGTCTGGAAGTCGCTTATTCTTTCATGCCTGGCACAGCCTCAAACAGCGACTTCAGCACCTCCAATGGAACAGTGGCATTTGTGGGATCTGAACGCGTACAAAATATCACGCTCACAGTCTTCGATGATGGTCTCGTCGAAGGCAATGAGACGATCATCCTGGCCCTGGCCGTTGTTGTCGGGCAAGGCGTTGTCGACGCGCCGCACTACACCCTGACCCTGCTTCCTTCAGACAGTGTTGAAGAGCTCGGCTTTTTTACGCTAGCTGGGAGCACCGTGATTGACCCAACAGGCCTCAACCCTTCCACCGTAGCCATCCACCGCAGTGCCGGTATCGTCGGCGCTGTCCATGTCGATGTTGCCTTTTGGTCCCTGCCCCCCTTGGATGCGTTTACCAGTCTGCTCGCCAATCGTACCGGAAGACCCATGGCAGACGCTATCAATACCTCGTCAGTCGAGACTTGCGCGCAGGCATGCGTGCAAGTGAGCTGCAATCTATTTGCTTGGGAAGCTGATCAGCAATGTGTGCGCCTACGTACAGACGTATTCGGGTCCGTCACGCTGAGCCGTGGTTACGAGCTCCGCGGCAACATGCTCCCAGCCATGGCCGGCTTGGATTTCAATGCCACGACAGTGTCAATTGTTGTACCCGATAGCCAGCGTGATGCAGTTGTCCCTGTACCCGTGCTCTCTCGCGAGTCGGCCCCCCTTCCGCAGCGGCGTCTCTTTGCTGCTATCGTCAACGCGACTGTAGCAGGACTCGAGGCACCGGCCGGCCCGCACTTTGACGCATCCAACCGCTCTGTCGTGATTGATGAGTCTGGCCAGTATCGTGGCCAATTCACCTGGTCGACACTGTCCTGGCGTGTAGCTGAAGGGGCTGACTTCAACGTGACCATCAACCGAACCCTCTCTCTGTGCGAGGGCGTTGATATCACATGGCAGCTCGAGGGCCCGACCGCTGCCTCAACTTTTGCAGAACTGACCGGCACCGTGTCATTTGCTGAAGGCCAGGCCACAGGTTTTCTGGCGTTGCACACCATCGATGACGAAGAACCAGAGGAGGCCACCACGTATACACTGACGCTGGGCAATGGCTCGGCCACAGGCCTCGCGCAAGGGCAAGGTAGCTTCTATGTAAACAATTCCGAGATTGCTCACGTCGTGGTGGAAGACAGCGATTTTCCATACGGCATGCTGCGCATTGCTGAAGCTCCGCTCGCTGTTGAGGAGGGTGCCAATTTGACAATAACCGTTGTGCGTGATTATGGCACACTGTCCAATGGCACCTTCTCGTTTGAGATTCAGGGCAGCATCGCCGTGACCCCTGCCATGGGCACGCTCGAGCTACCGGAGGGTGTGAATTCTATCACATTGAGTCTAGCTGTGGTCAACAATGACGAGGGTGCCGGCGCAGAATCTTTTGAGATCGTACTGCTGCCCAACACGACGGGCGGTCTTTCCGTCAATGCCTCGCAGGATCGCGCGGTTATCGTTGTGTTGCCCAATGACGAACGCGTCTGGCTCAGCGCTGATGAGATCATAATCGACGAGGATAACAGGCCGAGCGTCAATGTGACTGTGGTGCGCAATACTTCGCACAGCAACCGCGCTGTCATGGCCAGCTGGAATCTGACGGGTGCGTCCGACGTCTTGGAGCGCTTCGTCGCAACCTCGGGGATGATTACGCTGGCACCTGACGATTCTGAGGCCATGATCGAGCTGGCTGTCGTGCCCGACGCAGTTCCACAGGTCTCGGCGGTCGTGGAGCTCAAACTCTTTGCAATCGATCAGACTGCTTTCATTCCTGCGCCCGAGGCCACGGCGCAAGTTGTACTCCGCAGCAGTGACCGAGCGTTAGGGTGCGTAGCTCTTACTGTCAACTCCACGAGCGCACCCGAAGGCACGACCGTGGTGGCTCGCGTCGTGCGCAGCTGTGGCTCCTTTGGCATTATTCAAGGGCGCGTAGCTCTGGACGGCACCGGCGAGCTCCCTGCAGATGTAACGGCAGATATCGTGGCGACCAACGGTCAGAACTTTCTCCTGACAGCTGCTACTCCTGAGGTCGAGCTGGCATTTGAGATTGTGGCGGACGGCGCCCCCGAGTTGACTGAGTCCTTCCTCTTGTCTTTGGTCGATTTATCGTCCAATCTGGACAATGCGTACAATGATGCTGCCACTGTGCTGACAGCACCCATTGCCGTGGCCATTCCGGAAAATGACGACGCCCGCGGCACGCTGGGCTTTGCTGTTTCCAGCTCAAGCTGGAAAGAGGATCAAGGCTGGGTGGAACTTGCCATCACGCGCGAGCGAGGCCTTTTTGGTACAGTCTCAGCCACCATCAACGCTGGTACGGGCACCGTGGGCGTGGGCGATGCTCAGCCTCTGAACGCGCTCATGCCCACAGCGCTTGCCAGCGTACATGCGCAGTATGTGACAAACCCGACCGTGATCGACGATGTACCGTGCTACCTGGCTGCAGATACCGCAGGTTGCAGGCTGGTGTGCGGCGAGCGCGGCACCGTCATTCAGTCGCTTTCGACCGAAGTGATTGGCCAGCCAGCTCTCCTGCAGACGGCCACGGCGCTTTTTGCGTTTGTGCCTCTCTACCAAGTGCAAGGAGCCCAAGGCCTGGGTCCGACCCAATCCTTGTTGTGGACCTACAGCTCAAGTTCCGCTCGCTTTGCCAACAAACAAAGCGTCTTGACGTTTGCGCCCACCGCTGCAGTCATGATTGAACTGACCAGCGCAATAGCTGTCGCTGTTGTTGCCAATGACGTGTCTAATGGCAATCTGAACCAGCCCTGTGTGCAATACATCCCCATCAACATTGGCGGCGAAGCTGCTGTGACACAGGACGAGTCGGTCGTGGCGGTGGACGCACCGTCTGCGAAGAACATTGCAGTGCAGCGCTGGGTTACCGATGTCGGTGTGGCCGACAGCCTTGCTCTGGTAACATGGCTGTTGACCAACGATGGCGACCTGCTGTATCAGCTGTTCAACGGGACGCTGGCATCAAATTGGACCGCAGTGCTGCAGGATGTGACTGGATTTGCTGCAAATGAGGAGTATTTGGCTGTCTGGACCTCAGCCTCACAGCCCATGGTCTATCGCTTGTTTGGTAGCGAGCCCGCACTGGCTCCTATGGCTTCCCTTCAAGTGAGGTCAAACTCGGGGTCAGTGATTGTGAGTGCGTGGACGGGTCAAACCTGGATGCAAGGCTCTGAAGACGGCTCTGTGACGCTTCAGCGCTACGATAAGGACGCCTATGCCTTCGTGGAGGATGGAACCATGCACACTGACCTTGTTCAGCTGCAACAGATCAACTGCCAAGACGCTGTGGGGGTGTGCGTCCTGTCCAATGGCTCACATGCTCAAACCTTCCGCGTCAGTGCCATGACTCCACTGGACGCTTATCTATCAACTGATGAAGCCGTCTTTGCCGAGGGGCAGAATAAAAGTGTGGTGATGCTTCGAATCATCAACGATGCCGTTGCTGAGGGTGAGCTGCTCATTGATTTTGAACTGACCGCGACTTCCGGCGGGGCGTCACTTCGTAGCCCCAGCAGCAGCACCCATCGCTTAACCGTCGCAGCCAGCGATGCCTTCCACGGTGAGGTCTCTTTGTTAAGCTGGTCGGATCTGACACCGGTGATCCTGGTTCCAGAAGGCACCACCCGGGATGTGGCTGTGGTCCGCACGGGCGATTTCGCCAGGCCACTTGAGCTAAACTGGACGTGTGCCTCCTTGGATGATGATTCAATGTTCAGTGCAGGCACCACGTTGGTTGGTCAACCTGACAGCTTGATTTTTGCCAACTTTTCCACCACCGCTGTTCTGCAGTTGGCACCTCCTGAGGATGAAGTGCCGGAACTTGCACAGAGTTGCCAGCTGCGCTTGAGCACGGATGCCAATGGTGTTTTCGTAGACCCAGTTCAGACAACAGTTCTAGTCCGTGTACCAGCCAATGACAGTCCCTTGGGCGGCGTGGGGTTCTTAGCGCCATACAATCTGACTTTAGTAGAGGGTAACTCGGTGCAGGTGCAGATGGAGCGTATTGCGGACGCCTTTGAGACCGTGGTCGTACACCTCGATGTCGTGACGAGCAGTGGCGCTGACGCTAGCGCCCAGGTATCGCTTACCTCCAACGCGATCGTTTTCGAAACTGCTGGGACGCAAAGCATCACCCTTACGGCGACCAACGACGCCCTACCTGAATTGCTTAGCACATATGCAATCGTTGTTCACAACATCACCGTTTACCCTGAGCCTGATGAGGAGCCATATGGACCTGACTTGATCGTGGGAACAGAGACACTCCGCGTGTCCATCCCAGCAAACGACGCACCCGCGGGCAATGTCTCCGTCGAGGCGACTTTACAACATAACGGCACGGCGCGCTTTGTGAGCGTCGACCTCGGCCGCATGGGCGCAACTCTGGCAGACGTAGTGGCCGATCTTCGCATACAGTTGGACGATGGCGAGCCACTCGACACTGCTGCCGTGACCCTGACTGCGACATCAAACAATGTGCATCAAGACCTGCTTCTGCCCACCGTGCCGCTGGCAGTGGGTCAAACGATCCATCTTATGGTCACCGCCACTGCCACCTTGGACGGAGCTTCACGTGTTATTCACGAAGAAGTTGTGTCCCTACCCGTGACGACAAGCTTGGCAGGTGGTGTCATCTCTCTTCCCTCGGTGTTGTTGCTCGACGAGAGTGGTCCGGCAGTCACGCTGCGCTTGCAGCGGGAAAACGGCACCTTTGGGCTTGTTTGTTTTGACGTGAACCTGCCCGATCGCGAGCAAGTGACAGTGACGCCTGCTGCACTTGTATGTCTGCAAGATGGTGAGGCGGAAACGCAGTTGACTGTGAGCGCTGTGGATGATCTCACGCCAGAAGTGGATGAGACCTTTGTGCTCACCCTGACCCCACTCGTGGCCGGCAGTAACAACACAAATTTACCGAGCTCCATTCGTAATGCGTTGCAACCAAGCACAGCTGCGTACGTGTTTGCAAACATTGCCACTCGCTGCATTGTTGTCGCCAATGATGCGCCGGCCGGTCAGGTGGCCTTGACTGGAGCCAGCTTCGTAGTTAATGAGGTGACTGCTCAGCGCTTTTTGACTCTCAATTTGAGTCGGGCCGCAGGGCTCTTTGGACAGCTCAACGTCACGCTAAACATCACCTTTACGGGTGCGCGTGGAAGTGGTAACCCAGTCTTCCTTGCTTCCGACCTAGGCTCGGCCGCAGAAGGCGACGGCTTTCGCGTTCAGACCAGTGTCACCATGGTGGCTGACACCGTGTTGCAGGCGTTTGACTTGCCCATTAGTGACGACTTGCCCACAACAACTGGCGCTGGCTTTTTTGTCAACATTGCGACCGCTTCCCTGGCTTCGCCTGCAACCCACTTGTCCAATTTTACGTCGGTTCAGCCAACATGGGCCAGTGGTACGGTGGCAACGCTTGTAGAAACAGATGCCGTGACGTTTGGTCACTACGCATTTGCCCTCCCCACTGCGACTGTGGAGGAAGGCACTCGCCTCGACGTGGCCGTTCAGCGATCCGTCGGCTACCTTGCGTCGGCCATCGTGGGCTGGCGACTGGTGGGTGATGCGGTTACTTTGGCGGCTAACTTTGAAGGCCCGACGTCTGGAACCTTGAATTTTTCTGCATCCGCTCAGTCGCAAGTATTTTCGCTATATGCGCGCAATGATAGCCTACCCGAGGGACCGCAGGTGTACCAACTACAGCTGCAGATGGTGAGTGAGGGTTATTCGCTCGATACGGCGGCCATGGTCATAACGATTCCCGCAAATGACGGCGCCTTGGGCCACTTTGAGCTGCTGAGGCCTGCCGCACCTTTTGCCCTATCAGAAGGTGCCAGCCTCACGCTAACGGTCAATCGCCTGGGTGGTGCCCTGGGCACAGCCACGGTGTTTTGGAACGTCTCCTTGCCAGATCAGGTGACCACCAGCAGTGGTAGCCTTGTCTTTACCGAGGGTGTCAGCACAGGCAGCATTGTCCTCGAGGTGCTTGACGATGCAGTACCTGAGCTCAATGCTACGCTTGCTGTGCGACTGACAGCCACTGCTGGCCAGTTCGATGGCCAAGCCACCTTTGATGATTCGGTGCTGCCCGTGGTACTGTTGGCCAGCGATGACCCCTATGGTGTGGTGGGTGTTGAGGCAGAAGCTACGGGTATTGCAGTCGTTGCGGGTCGGGGGCGTGCATTAGTGGGCCGCGTCGAGCGCTCGCGTGGGACCCTGGCAGACGTGGACGTGACTCTCTCCATCACCGGCCTTACATCGAGTAATGTGCTTGGTGCAACCCTCCCCACATGTGCCACGGAGGCTCTCACTCAAAACTGTCAGATCAGCGTTTTATTGGACCTCGATAGCGCTTCCACGCGCTTCCAAATGTTTATTGCTGAAACGGTCGCCCTCAATTCGTCGCGAGACATTCTCGTGCGTGTGGAAAATGCTCAAATAACGGGACACAGCGAGCCTGTACCTTTGAATAGTACCCTCAAGACATATGCAGTGCGCCCAAGCACTGCTCACGTGATCGGCAGCTTGGGTTTGGTGACGCCTTTGATCACTACAGTGAGTGAACCAGATGATGGCACTGTGTCCGTCGAGCTGACTGTAACGCGCCCGGTTGGAACCTACACTCCCATGGGCCGTGGCTACGTGCAAGCAGCGTGGGCACTTGTCAACGCCCCCGCGTCTGCCTCGCTCACGCCTGCCTCAGGCGTGGTGCTCTTTGCTTTTGGTGATGCATCTGAAAACATCAACCTACAGCTAGCTGCGGACACGGTGCCCGAGGAAGCGGTGGCAGTAACGCTGCAGCTGCAGACCCCTGTGACGTGCTTTGTTCTGAACAACGGCGCGTGCTCTTCGGGGAATACAAGCGCCAACCCCACGTATGCCCTTGATGCGACACGAAGCGCTGTGGCTTTGACGGTGGCTGAAAGTGATGACCCCTATGGGCGCATCGAATTTGCTGCCGCACGACACATGGTGTCCGCCTACGCGCAGCTTGCAAACATTACACTCGTACGCTCGGGGGGGTCGCTAGGCCGGGTGCGCGTGTCCGTCAGAGCACGTCAAAGTAATCTTGATTCGTACCCTTTGGCAAGTCAAAACCTTGTTGCAGAGTTTGCTGACGGAGTAACGACGGCTACAGTCAGCGTTGATCTGGGCGCCACCAACGCTGCCCGGAACAGTGATGAGCCTCTGAACTTCACATGTGCTCTGTCGCTGGGCAGCGATGCCTCTGCAACAGGACGCCCCCCTGTCCTCGGCAGTCGCACAACACTACAAGTTCTGGTGGTGCCTGAGGATTATAACGTCGCAGAGGACGATGATTGGGTGGCCAGCGTCAGCACAGGCGCCAGCGGCACTTCTGCAAGCGGGTCACGCTCGTGCACCAGCACGTTGCCTAGCTCATGTCTGGGTCTGACCGGTGGTACAAGCTGGGATGCTTATGAGGACTGCCTGAGCACCCTTCGACGCGTGCTGCGCATCTCTGCAGCGCCGCTTTTCTGTGAGGAGCAGCTTAACTATTTGTATGCTGCTAGTCGGCATATGCTGCAAACTACTCCGAGCAATCGAACTGACGCCGAGCTGGCCACGGCAGTTGCACCTTTGCTCGATGTCATGAATGAACAAAGATTTGCAGCCAATGAGCCGGCTGTTTTGTGGGACGACTTTGCGCGCCTCTTACTTGAGACATGCGAGACGGGTGAGGTGAGTGCAGAGTGCGCGTGCTGCTGCGAGCGCACAGCAAGCTCCACCAGCTTTTGGCTGCGCGCATCAAGAACCAGAGCCTCTAGTCTGTACAACGTCGAACTTTCGTCTGATGACTTGAGCTTGACGTACCCGCCGATGCTGCCGAATGTGTTGGCGAGCAACAATGGTGATGCCTGTGAAACGCTCTTGACTGGCACTTTAACGGCCCCACGAAGCTTCCCAGCCCCGCAGTACTCTCGCATTCTCAACGACAACGTCATTGAAGCTGGAGTCATGGACCGGAGCATCACGGACTTGGAAGAGGACAACCAATTTGAGTTTACCATCACCAATGCCCAAGACGTCTTGCACCCTCGCTGCGTGTATTGGAGTGATTCCGCTTCAGGCTGGCTGGATCAAGGATGCGCCGTTCTACTTGACACTGATAGTGTCACGTGCCGATGCAACCACTTTTCCACCTTTGCGGTTTTGGAGGATACCTCGTCCATTATTCCGGTCTACCTCCTGATTGCCCTTGGCATCACGGCTTTTGCAAGTGTAGTGGAGCTGGTGCGAAGTGCTCGCCAATCCGGCGAGGGTGAGGTATTGCTCAACCTCATGCAGGTCACGACGATTGTGGCTTGCGTATTGACACTCGTGAATGGCGCCGTTTCTCCCGTTGAACGGGATGCAAGCGATGGCATGACGGTCCTGGCACTGTTCACCCACTTTGGCTTGTTAGCTTACTTGTGCACCGCCATGACTGCCGTTTTCGTTCACCACCGCCAATGGCGCACCAAGGGTGCCCTCATGCCAAAAATGACGCGACGCCTGTCTATCGTTCTGGCGCTGCTCGTACCTGCCTTCTTGGTTGCCGCTGTGGTGGTCCTCTCTTTTGCTGTAGACCTGGGAGTGGGTGAAGCCTATGGCATTATGGCTGACGGGCGGCGCTTTTCTTTCTGTCTGCTGTTATGGCCCCTTGTGGCAACGTGTATCCTGCCTTGGGCCTGTGCTGTTGTGTTATGGGGTCTGGTCGTAGCTCTCAACCGAGACTCTACGACAGTGATTATCACTGCTCATGCGCCTCGCCTGTCTCCCAGCGAAGATGGGGAGGATGCAGTTTCGGAGAAGAAAGATTCGCAGCAGCTGGACCAAGAGCGTTCTCAGTTGCGTCAGCGCGCCATTGCGTGGGTGTCCACGGGGCTGGTTGCAGTGGCTCTCGTTGCCAGTGCCATCTACGTCCACACCACGGCTCTCTACATTCTGAGCACCATCGCACTTTTGGCATGGGCCTTGCTCCTGATCATCTTCCCACATTGGCAAGAACGTTCGGCTGGCCGTTCCGTGGCCATTGCCGTACAGGATTCCGTCGAGTTGGGCGCGTTTAGCAAGCAGCACAACGGCACGGCCCTATATGACCTGGCTGAAGCTGATGATGCAGTATCTGTAGATGTGACGCAGCAGTCGGAACTCCCCTCGGCCATTTTACGCCCCAGCAACATGTCCATGGACTATGAGCCCATGGAATCCTTCAATGGGGGCCTTACGATTCGCAGTCTGGATGAGGGTGAGGATGTCGAATTTAACCACTTGATGGCTGCTCTGTATGGCACGAGCCAAACCGATGATGACGCCCAGGTCAATACAACCACAGACACCATCGATCTCCGTCGCATGTCAATTGCTGACACTGCCCTGTAGCCACTGTTCTGTTTCGGTGTGTTGTGAATGTTTTGATGAATGTCGTGCTAACCTTGGTTTTGTTGGGCCGAAATTGAGCTAGCCTCAATGCACCCAACCCTTTGTACCTTATTGTCTTTCTATCCCTACCCCATAGTGAGTGCGCGTCCCCATTCTTGAGCTTGAAGCCTTGTTGATGGTGATGAAGTGTCTGCTTGCTTTTGTGTGTGTGTGCGTGTCATGTTAAATTGTGTTCCTTTTTCAGAAGTTTGAATTGTTCTTGGAGCACAGGTGCACATGCTGGCGTTGCCGTGTCTAGTAGCTCTAAGATCTGAGCATGTGCGGCAGATTGTTGCAGAATTGACCCCAATCATTTCAACCGCTTTTTCAAAGTAGGCCGCACTCGGTGCGTATGCTACTGAAAATCAAACATGGTCTGCGCCTGTAGAATATTCTGTAGCTGTTGAGCAATACCCTCCAGCTCGTAAAGTGCTGCCGTCGAGGCTGCATTTTCACTGCCCAGTAGCTCTGTGTCTCTGAGCGAGGATATGTTCATTGCAGGCTCAAAATGCTGCAGAGCTGGAAACTGGTGCAGGACCAGCTCGGCTAGTGTGCCTGACCGTAGCAAAACTCCGTGGGTCTAACGAGTAGCAGCAGAGCATGCACTGAGGAAGGGCAAAAAGCTCCCTGGTTCTCGTCTCAGATCAGAGTGACTTCAGGGGCTGGCAGCCACGCAGTTGATCCGCACCTGAAATTCCAACACAAAGCTTGCTGTGCTAAACGGTGTACCTGTAAACAAAGTTATGAGTGCCAAGCGAAAGCCAGGGACCCCTGTCACGTTGGTTGTTGCCTTGACATTGCCCCTCAACAAGCCTGCGTGCAAGGAATGGCCCCTATACCACTCGATACCCATCACTTGCACCGATGACATACCCGCCACCTGACCCATGAGGTCTACTAGCTGCTTGAAGGGAATAGGCCAGACGTACTGCGCCACCACCAAAGCCTGCAAACAACAAACGCAGCAGAGAAAAAAAAGGCGAAAATAAACCTGAGCAAGGGCCGGTGCTATGCTGGTTGGCTTCCACAGGTGCAATGACAAGCAATCACATCTGACCCAAAACAGCGTTGCAGGCTGCAGAAGAGCGTCGAACAGCTCCTGGGCCAGCTGCTTCGTTCTGCTGAGAGGGATGGTACCAGCATTGGCCAATGAATAGGTTAAGCAAAGAGCAGCCTGTTGGAACGCGCCTTGTCCTGAAAACGTTGACCGCGCAAAGGGGCGATACATGTGCCATGAGGATCAAGCAGAAACGGTTGACTAGAGCCCAGGAACAAAGGCGTGGACGACACAAATGCAGGAGCCGTTTTAGTCATTTAAACATACGGCTCAGGAGTAAAGCGCAGCGTTGACACAAGGCAGAGTCATCACTGTTTATGAGTGCCAATCGACTTGTTGCAGCTGGGGAAGATTTCGGGGAAAATGAGAAAATGGCAGCTTTGCAAGCGCGTGCTAGCGTGTGCAAAGATAGGAGAGCGGTACCTCGTGTCAAAGGGCGCCAAGCGTCAGGGTGTAGCGAGAGTGAGCTTGCAGCAGACTGAAGCGCATCGACCCGAGGTGAAGATACCGATTTGACGGACGCGTGACCCTCTGCAGCGCGAATCGAGGTCGTCTGGGAGGATCAAATCCCGTCGACCAACCAGGATGAGAGACAGATCAGACTCACTTGGTCCTAAGGATGTGAGGCAAGTTCATGGATCCAACATGCCTACCTGATCAACAGCCCAGCAGCAGTCAAACAAGATCTGGCAAACATCTGGGCGCGCAATCGGAGAGGTGGTCCACGCCTCCAGACGCCATGGAGACCTGAGACAATATGACCGTTGTTGCGTCAATAGATGATGATGCGGATGATGCGGATGATGCACTTGCATATGCAGTTTTGGGGCCGAGTGGCATTTGGAGCATCAGGATACCTGAGTGGTGGCGTGTTGCAACAGAGCTGGGCGTCGATTGTCGAGAGCAGGCGCTCGCCCACGCCATTGACAAGCTGATAACAAGGGACATGATCACGATGATGAGCACATTCACGGTTTTTGAAAGCCCATGACAGCTAGTGAAGCAAGTGGTTTTTAAACCTGCGAAGTGTCGGCTTCAAGGGCCTCAGATAAAATGTTTGCGAGCGGCTTAAACTGTTGGGCCCATAAATCGTTCCACTGCAAAAATCATTGTGAGCTGCTAACATTCTGGCAGCCAGCTGCTGCCACCCGTGAGATTTGGGACGTACCTTTGGGGGCGCCATTTGGCCGGCTTTAGGGGGTTGTTCAAACAATTTGTGGCCCTTCTATACCCAGGACGGGCGAGGACAAGTTGGGGTGAGATGCAGACGAGTAAACTATGCTCGAGAAGGGGTGAACGACGCGCTCGTTTGGGAGGAAGCCGCACCTGGCGCGTCATCGTCGTTGCCTGCCCGAGCTGTTCTTGTTTTGCTCGCTTGGGTGTGGTGTGGGCAGCGACGTGTGGAGACTCGGCCGATTTGTGATCCGTTGATTCTCGTGTTGCCCGCTGCAGGAGTCATGCCAAAAATCAGAGATGAAAAGTTTGGCGGTACTGTTGGTCCAAAATTAGTTTTTGGGAATAGTAAGTGGCAGGCAGGCATGTGCCCCGTGACCCTCACCATAATGGCTTGAAACGATGACAACAGGCCTTCAGCGCTCTTTGCAATGTGTGGGAGTATGGCTTGTGCCACGTGTCGGGCTTTGCCATCGTTGTGCGTCTTAAGATGATGCCGCGCGAGTCGCAGGGCCATGCGTGCAGCCGGTTTGATTGCTTCAGTTTCCGGTGAAGACTTGGGATACAGTTTGACCACGGGAGGTGGTTTGCATAGCATACACTCTAGCGCCTGGGATATCAGCTCTGTGGCCCGATGCAGTAACCCAGATGACAGAAGTAGTCGCAAGAAAGAGACAAGAGTAAGCTGACCCCGGTGTGCACCAGAGCCAAAACAGACGTTCAGTCAACCCGACCTTCATCGGCTGCAGTATTGGAGCTTGAACCCTGAGCGTCGAGGCGAAGTAGGGCTGGAAAGTACGCTTGCAGTAGGATGGTTGCATCCGGTTTTGGTGGAGATTCGGGGGCTTGGACATCTCGGAGCATCCAGTCTAACACGCCAGAGTTAAGGTTGGCCTCGAGGTCCTCAAAAGACAGTTGGTGGTGCGTGACGAGAGCCCAGCAGCTGGCCACGGCATTGGTGACCACGGCTGGCTTGCTAGATAGCTGGTGACGGATTGTGATGCATCATGAGCACCCACGGTGATTTACGATATTTTTTAAAAAGGGCAAAGGCCCACAACTTGCCAAGGCGCAGATTTGTGGGTGACTCTGTGCACCAGGCCTCTCTACAACGTGTGTACAGCAAGGAATGAGACACAAGGACTCACCGCCTTTGTGCTGGTCAGCTCTTTGTGAATGTCGGTAATGAGCTCTGTCGCTGTTGCACCGACGAAGAGCGGTGAGGCGGTGATGCCAAGATGCGATGTTGAGCCCATCAGGTTCGATGTCTCAAAGACTTGGTGTGGGTGGTCTCACCTGGTACGGTCAGGATCTGCTGTGTGAGCGGTGCGGGGGAGCTGGCAGCGGTAGCAGCCGGCTCGAGAAGCTTCGGCTTTAGTAGGATCAGCCGTGCCAACCCTTCCCGCGGCACCAGCGGGGGCGGTGGCGACACCTTGCTCGTGTTTGCAGCCGTAGCAACGGCGCCTGCCGCACCTGCCGCCGTCATGGTCGCAACAAGACACAACACCGTCCGAAGCCCCCACTGGCCGTACCTCCAGCCGCTGCCACAGCCGTGAGCAAGCACGCACACACACCCACACACACACACAGTGGGAATGTGAGAGAGCAAGCAAGCGAAGAGAGAAAGAACACTAGACACACACACACACACACACACTGATGATTTTTAGCGAATTTCGGTTGATTTTTGAATGATTTTTTACTTCTTCAGCTCCCATGATGTTGTCGTAAGAGGGAAGGAAGGGGCATGGTGGCCTGGTCGATAACAAGGCAGATCTGTACAGGAGCGAAGCAGTGGGTTTGAGGAGGGAAGCCAGCGCGACACCTAGAAACGTAGACCTGTAAATGTGTTGGCCGGACTTTTACAACATTCACACAAACTTACACCTCCCCAGGCACTACTTTGGAAGAGGCATTGGTGCCACTTCAGCAAGCATTTTGTTCGTGTCGTGACCGTGACCCACATCCATTGATTTTGTCAATTTCAATAACATCTTTTAGTATCTCACTCGTTGGCAGAGGGAGCTAGAGGGTGCAAGGGCAGGTGGCACAGATGCCGTTCGAACAATCGTAAAGACGAGCAAGTTTGCAGCGACTGCCTCGACACATCAATTGATGGTTCCCTTAGAAAAAAAATACAGCGCTAACAGACACCGAGAGTCCCAAAACCAATACCCTTCGCTCGCGCACAAGGGCTGTCTGATTGGAGTAACGGGCAAGATATTAACAGGTCAGCGGGGGCGAGTAGCTGTTGGCACCAATTTGGTAGTAGCTCGCGCACTCGATGAAGTGCTACTACTCCGACTGCTGACGCGGCTGCCCGCCCGGCTTCGGCGAGCGCCACCATCGCTTCGCAAATAAAAGGCCAGGTACACGCTGGAGGACTACACAAGCAGCCACCGCCCCGCGCAAGGCAGGTTAGACGGCGAATGCGGTGCAGGCAGGCCGGAACACGCAGGGAGAGGGGTTCAGGCAAACGGCGTTACTAGGACTGACCGTGGCTGGAGCGGTACATAGTCGAGCGGTGGCATCATTGAAGTCACACCAAGCATTGGTGCGCAGATCCAGGCACTGTGCCGTGTAATGACCTCCAAACAACGAGCCTACATGGTTGACAACACCCACAAGCCGATACACGGTGGGGTCCGAGCGAGCGGCAGCCTCGTCTGACAGCAGCAAAGACACACGGATGAGTCATCACGTTCCGTGCGCAGAGCCCAGGCGCCCAGGCTTTCGGTCGAATCACACAAACAAACCAGATAAAAAGGGCGCCAGATTCAGCTCAGACCCTGTCAGAGTGACCGGGGTGGTTAATTTTCGGCTGACATGCCCTCTGCCGAAGAAAACCATCGAGGAGAGCACACGTCATTAGGGTGGCGCACAGCAGGTACGAGCGCAAGAGCCGGGGCTAGATCAGAGAGAAGGCAGGATATAATGGGCAAAGCAACATACGTGTGTTGAAAGCGCTTGAAATGCACAATCAAGATGGGTGGTAGGAGCTCCAAGGCCACCTGCTTTGTGACTGGCTGGTTCTTGTGGCAAGCATCGCAGAGAATACGATGATCGCCCGCCAAATCCTCAGGCTGAGTGTAGCAGGCCAAACAAGCCTCAGTGGTAGGCGGAGATGCCAAGGCGGGCAAGTCCAAAGAAAGATCAACAAACGGTTCAAAGGTGGCAGATCGATGGCCACAGGAACGACACGTGACGGTCGAGCGGGTCCAGCCTTCAAAATGGGGAAGCATGGGGCCTGGCTCAAGCTGTCGATGGCGTCGCAGTAGCTGCTCAAAGCCAACCATCACCGGCACGGGGGCTTGGCCAGCAGGTGGTGTGGCAGATGGCGTCTTGGTGGCATCATGGAGTGCAAACAGGATTGTGCGCAAGAGCTCTTCAGCATCATGTTGCTCATAGCCCACAAACATGTCATTCGCGCGTGCAGCAGCGTGCTGCAAAGCAAACGGGGCTACCGCCTGCGGGTTTGGGGTGCCTAGCTGCTCGAAGGTGCGCTGCACAGCTTGGAGAAGCCCGTGACGATCACCCAAGGGGCTTGCCGCAAGCACGCTTTGTCGAAAGGCTGGCAAATGATAGAGGCATTGCAAGCAGGCATTCATATAGCAGGTGTTGCCCAGATTGCGCAAGCCACGACGGCGCTGCAGAGGCGAGCGGTTGCTGGCCACGTGTACGGATGGCAAACTGTCCTGTCGTGGGTAGGTGGGCGGGCGCGCAGCCGGGGCGGCCGGCGGCCGGGCCGGTAGGGCTATGCCCGGTAAGCTGACACCGCCATATCCATTTTCACTCAGACGATGGCTGCGGGATGCTACGTCCAGGGGTGTGATGCTTTTCGGGCGAAACAGGCCCATTCGCGGTGCCAAACTTGATGCTCGCCGCCCAATGCCCGCTGAGCCAGGGTTGTTGAGGCCCGAGCCGGTGCCAGATCGCCCACTGTACCGCGCGGCAGTTGTCGCCGCGGGTCCAAGCCGAGTAGCATGTGCAGCGGCAAAGCGGCTCGAGGGGCGAGGTAGCGCATCAGCGGGCTCCAACCCTGCTGCGGACATCCGGCGTCGCGGTGACTGAGCCAGTGTAGGGGTCATGGTGCCAGCAGTCAAGCGCAACGACTTTGGGTTGCCATCCCATCACCAAGCTCGAGCATTGAGCAAGGGGGTTAGCGCGAAGAGGTACGAGCGCACGGGCGCCAAATTAAAAGAACAAACTGCGCTGGAGTTTAGGTGAGTCGCAGCCTAAGCACCGGCATCTGACGCCCCGCCCAATGGTAGTTGGCTCGTCCAACCGGTCCGTTCAATGGCACGCCTCGCACCCTGGAGCGGCTCGCTCAAGTGCTGGTGGGTCGTTCTGCAATCTGAAGGAGAGAATGCCCTCTGGTCGTCAGGTTCTCTGAGATACCGTGTCAAACGTCACACTTTGGACAACAGACCTTTAACCCATTCCCCTTTTAGTAACGTAAATGTAGTAAATCATAGAGATGATGTAGAGAATGGCAAAGAATAACGTATAACGTTACCATGTTAGGTATGGGAAATCGTCGCAAACTAACAAGAATGAGAAGATATAAGCGTTCAAAGCCAGAGACTAACATGTGGTACCACAGAGAGAGAGAGAGAGAGAGAGAGACATTTTTCTCGCAAGAGAAGAAGAAGAGAGAGAGCGCGAGAGCGAGGCGATTTGCATTGCGAGGGGATAGCGTCATCTTCGGCGGGTTTTGGCGTCGTGCGGTGAGACGATTGGGGTTGGATGTTGTGCAGGTGCCTGCCACCACACTTTCTCTACCTTCAACATGGCCGCTAAAGGCAATGTCAAGGTTGAAGCCACGGAGAACTCGGCGACTTCTCTTCCGACCGCCACGGATGTACGGCCCGCGGATGGCATCACCCCGACCGTCGAGTACGTGGTCCCGTGCCCCCGCTGCGTGTGCCACCTTGGCTTGGCTTGGCTCGGGCTTGGCTTGGCATCTGTCGGGTATAGCGGCGACAAAGGTTGTGGCAGTGCAAGGCCCTCATTGGTCTCTTTGTTCGCTTTTGCGCAGAAATGTGGTCGCCACCGGCTACTTTTCGGGCAAGGTCAATCTCGCTGAAGTGCAGAAGAAGACCCGCAACATCGAGTATAATCCTCGCCGCTTTGCTGCGTGTGTTATTCGTAACAAGCTGCCTCACAGTACAGGCCTTCTCTTCTCCTCTGGCAAGCTCGTCATCATGGGCTGCAAAAGGTACACCGCGGCCCCCCGCCTCATCCGCACCTGAGCGCACTGTTTGCGTTTCTGGCTCTGGTGCTGGCTCTGGCTCTCTAACGAGAGCATAATATCACTTTCCCCACACATTGTCCAGTGAGGAGCAGGCTGAGCAAGCCTGGAGCAAGTTCCAGGATATCGTGATTAAGCGTTGTAACATTGCCGTCACGCCCACCGGCTTTAAAATTCACAACGTCGTGGGCAAGTACGTCAAGCACTGCCCAAACCATCTGCCATGAGATCACATCTCGCGATGATCATCTAATACGGCCCTTCCTGATGATTGCTCAAATGCGTGATGCTGTGTCCCTGAATGCGTTTTAGGGTGGACGTGGGCTTTAAGATTGACTTGCACAAGCTACATATGGAGCACTCCAAATTTGTGACATACGATCCCGAGACGTTTCCAGGCCTGACCTACCGAATGCAGGACCCCTCGGTTGTTTTGTTGGTCTTTCACAGCGGGAAAGTTGTCTTGACCAAGGCCAAGACTCGCCTTGAGATGATTGAGGGTCTTCGCCGCATCCTGCCTACCCTGAAGGAGAACCGTAGTTCAGTGGCTTGAGCGTCGATCGTCGATCGTCGCTCTTTTGTGTCTTGTGTCCCGACACTGGCCTCAGGCTTTTTCATAGCACCTCTGCCTACATTGCGCTGGGCTTCCCAGATATCGAGTATTGACGGCAGTGGCAGCCCTTAAGGTCATTCCAAATTGTTTGTCGTTGTTGAGAAGACGTGCTCTTATTCCTTTCATTCTTGTTGTTCCATGTTGACCATCCTTTGGATACGAGCCAGTGCCATGTCTTCCCGCACCCTCATTGGCTCTGTGCCGATCCGCGCCAAGCGCAAATATCTGTTATTCTCTTCTGAGTTTGTGTCTTCCAAGCAGATTATGGTTGTTTGTTTCCTCTGCTTGCCTTGAGAATTCTCCCTCCCACATCCCAAAAAGAATCGATGAGAAAGAATTTTTTTCATTGATTTCACGAGGTGGCCCCCTCGACTGGAGCATCAGGCCTATTACAGCGGCCCCCTAGTGCGTCGTGAGTATGTGAGTATCACCTCAAACTGTGTCATATATACGCCCACAATTGCGGTGGCTCTCCGAAGCTATGCCGAGCTCCATTGTGGTTGGAAGCGCACAACGGGATACTTCTTGGCGGTACCGGAGCGTGGGCGCCGAGCCTCTGACGCACGTCCATGGGGCTTGCGCGGTTGGATTTCGCGAAGCTGGCGCACGCCCAACTCAGGGGCCACATGTTGTAGCAAGAATGCATGCTCAAAAGCCAAGTCATGGTAATGATCCAAGCCTGTCTGCCCCATATGTCCGCCCGAGTTGGCGCGCAAAAGGACAGGCTTCCAGTCCCCCTTGACTTGACGCAGACGATGCACCCACTTGGTAGGCTGTGCTACGCTGACCAGGTTGTCGTTGGTTGCGGTTACACACATGACGTAGGGATACGTCTTGCCGGGACGAAGGTTTGTGTAGGGGCAGTAGCTGCGCATGTAGCCCATCATGATGGGGTCCTCAGGATCGCCCCATTCTTCGTACTCATAGGCAGTGTATGGTGCCGAGGCATCTTGCACCGTGGTCACCACGTCCAAGAAAGGAACCTTCAGAAGGGCTGCCGCGCATAGATCAGGTCGCATGTTCAAAACAGCACCAACCAACAGACCACCCGCTGACCGGCCTGTCAAGGCCAGTTTGCTCTTGGATGTAATGCCGCTGGTGACCAGATGCTCGGCGCAGGCGATCATGTCAAAAAAGCTATTTTTCTTGTGCTCACGGCGACCCTCAAAATACCATGTGGCGCCAAGCTCCGAGCCACCCCTAAGCAAGCATGCACGACCCAGTTTGGGCCGAATATTAGTTTCGAGGAAAAGAAAGGCGATAGAGAGAGAGAGAGGGAGAGAGAACGCCCGAGGTAGTTTGAAGCAGCAGGTTTTTTCTTTTTTTTTTTTTTTTCAAAGAAGAAAGCAACGTACCGCACGTGGGCTACGGCGTAGACCACACCCCGGTCCAAAAGAGACAGGACAGCGGGTGAAAAGTTGAGCTCGACAGATGAGCCGTAGGCACCATAGCCATACAGGACGCAGGGTTGATTGCGTGGTTTTTCTGTATGAATGGCTTGATTGTAGATCAAAGAAATGGGCACCTGTTGTGGAAAAGGGCAGGTGGGACCAGGAGAAAAGGTGTATGAGAGGAACAGCATAAGGACTTTCAAGCTATAGGCATCGGTGGTTGTTGGGTGCAGTCAACTGGAGAAAAAGGAGCCCATGCAGGTAGAACGAGAACAGGACAACAATTGGTCCAAGGCGTACCTGGGTACCGTCCTGGCTGATGGCAGTCAGGCGGCGCTCCTTATAGCGGAAGGCCTCAAAGTTGATCACGGACGAGGCAAATTTGATATCAAAGCGTCGGGTGTCAGGATCGTACGTGAGCAACTGGGTCGGGCAAATGGGGCTCGAGTAGAACAATGTCATCAGGCGCACATTCTCGGCTTTTTGAGAAGGAAGGAGCAGGCCGCGGCCCGGGCGCATGGGGTCGCAGCCCCCCGTGATGGACCAGAATGAGTAGATAAGATGCGGAAAGCTGATGTAATGGTCAAAAGAGACGACGACGACACCATCTTCTTGGGTGAAATGCATGAGGCGAATCTGCTTGGCGGCATAGCTCTGCTCAACCATGGCCACGTAGCCATCCAACGCAATGACCTCCTGCAGCTGAACGTGCTCGCGCGCCGCCATGCAAACGGAAAAGTCACCCAGCGCAATACGATCGCCCTGCAAGTAACATGTGGCGGCCTCCAGCTGATGATTCTTTGCATCACCGCGGTTGGTGCGCATGAAAAGGGTATTTCCGGCCACGTCACACGTATAGTTGACACCCTGGGTGCGAGGCGACACGACACACAGCCATGCAGCTGCTCCTCCCAAGCGCACATTGAGGTCAGTCGGCAGGAGCAGGCACTCTGATGTGCTCTGGGAGGCCGAGTCAATAATCAGGTAATTGCCATCGCTGGACTGGTGTAAGGTTACGGCAAAGGCGGCATCCGTCTCTTGGAAAACGACCTGGGGCGGAACATTGCCGTGTAGCTGATGCAAGAATACTGAATTGGGCATCGTCTCGCCGATACCAGAATAGAAGACCCCCTGACCGTCCTGGGTGAAGAAGAATTCGGCAGAGACGTCATCGATAACCGTCACAGGCTGTAGAGAGTGTGGTATAGCGAGGGTTCAAACACCATATGAGTGGCACGCACGGCTCTCGCCCTTTTGATGGCGATCGAAGACGGGGGCCAGAGTGCGGGGCGTATCGTACCTCCAGTGAATCAACGTTGATGATGTGCAGCTTGTAGCATTCCTCGCCCTGATCATCGACCGTGTAACCAAAGTATTGGCCTTGTGGAGACAAGATAATCTGTTGGTCGTGGTCAAGCCAAAGAACATGAGCAAGGGCGAGGGTGGATGGCGAGACGATTCTCAAAAGCAGGGTTGTGAAAAAAAGGCAAACCTGGCCAAAATCGCAAAAATCAAAGTTGTGTTCGGCCGCGTACTGCGCTTCATCCAGGAGAACGGTGGCGCCAAGATCAATTAGGGCACGGCGCGTGTCAGAGTCGTCCGAAGCGCGGGCGAGGGCCTCACGGGCAGTGCTGATGCTTTGCGTAGCCAAGCGGCCGTGTATCATGCTGTGGCGTGCCGAGTCTTGGATGCTGAAATAGATGTGGTCTTTGATGTCAAAAGCAAAGGGAGGGCGGGTGGGCATGCGCTGGAGCATGTCTGCAACCAATTGCTCCTGAAAGTCGGCAGTGGGGGCCATGACTTCCTCAGCATAGTCATATTCGTCATCAATCAAGGTTTGAAACTCCTCACTAGAGGTGGCTTGCATCCACGCATATTCGTCGGGACCATCGCTGCGGCGAGCAATGGGGGGATCGGGCAGGTCAATGCGCAGTTGTTCCTGGCGGGCTGCGCTGTAGCTCACGAGGGTATCGAGCATGTGCTGCTGTGAGGTGAAATCCGCTGTGGCTAGCGCGTTGACGACCGTGGCCAAGTCAGCATCGGATACGGTGTTGGGCTGTTGCAGACGCTTGAGCGTCTGCCCCAGAATGGCCTGGGGGTCTTTGGTCGGAGCGTCGCGTTGTAGCACGCGGGCCGTCAGGGCGGCAGCATCGGGTCGCCGCTGGTGGCGAGTCCAAGCAGCGCGAACGACCGACTCGAGGAGGTGCGGCCATTCGAGGCCAGCCAACTGGCCCGCTCGGCGGAACTTGCCGCCGATCCAGCAATTGGGGTTGACGTCCAGGAGGTGAGGGGTCCCACTGTCATCGAAGCGAAAGTCGATGCGGGCATAGTCTTGCAGGGACAAGGCGTCAAAAATTTTCGCGCAATGGTCTTCAATCAAAGCTTGAGTGGCATCATCAAATTGGGCATGGATGTGAGCGACCTGTTCCCAAAATTCAGGAGCCATGCCACGTTTGGCATCGTAGAGCTGGATTTTGGGGGCATCTGGGGGCAGCTTTGTATAGTCGAGCTCCAGGATGGGCAACACACGAAAGTCGCCCGAGTCTGGATTTCCGAGGCAAGCCACGGTGATTTCACGGCCCGCAAGAAACTGCTGCACCAACATGGCAAGGGACGCCAGCTCCTCCTGCCGACCAAGGTCCTCCAGATGGGCCGCGAGCTCTTGGGTGGAATTGCAAATGCAAGTGCTGGTGATGCCTGTGCTTCCATCACCACAACGGGGCTTGACCTGCCAGATTGGGTACGAGCATAGCAGCAGGTCGGTCGTGAGGATAGAGTAAGGGATAGTCGGCAGAGCGGCCAAGAGCACGCAAGTGACGCACAATCACGGGAAAGGTGAAGACGTGGGTCTCGATAAACTCGTTCACGGTTTGGTGGTTGGGCTCAAAGACATGGCTAAAAGGAACAGCAATGTTTAATGCCTAAGGGTAAGTGCAGAAGATGTTGGGCAGTGATGCACATGCTGGTTAGTTGGCAGCGTCATGGTGGTGTCGTCGGGCGCAGGGCTTGACGACCGCTTCTGACCTTGGCTACCGAGTCGACGAGCCACTTGTCGCGGCAGAGGGTGAGGCCAATGGCACCGGTGCCCGTGTACGGGATGCCGTGCATGTCCATCAGGGCGGGTAGGTAGGGCTCCCATTCATTGACGTTGTTGTAGCCTTCATCACACCTACATAGCCCCAGATATGCACGGGCAGGGAAAAAAAAAAAAAAAGAGAGGGTTCATGGTGCACTGCGTTCATTCCGGTGCACTCGAGGTGGCAACGGTTGGGGTGTGGGACGAGAAACTTACAAGTTGAAGATAAAAGCCGGAGGCTGGGATTTGAAGCGTTCAAGAAGGGTGGCATGGGTATCGAGCCAGCTCATGGTGACGTTAGGAATGCCTGAGAGGGCCTCCTTGAGGTGCTCAAGCTCCTCATCATCGTGTGGGGTCCAGCCGGGGTCGTCTTGGCGTGGATCGGCTAGCAAAACGGTAATGTTTTCAAAGGGCAGGAGAGGGAGATGGGCCAGCGGCGAGGCTGTGATGGCCGGAGCCGGGGCCGAGGTTGAGGCCGGGGCGGTGTGCATGAGGCCGGTTCGGGGGCTTTCAATTGAGCTGACGACGGCAGCGGCGGTACGGGAAAGAGCAGCAAAAGTTGTCACAGCGAGCCGGCTCAACGGCAGCCACTGCATTCACGACTCCTTGGGTGCACGGCGCAAAGGGGCGGGGTAGCAAATGACGAAGAGGGCGAAGACTCGGGTAGGCAACGCGTTCAAGGAAATGAAGCCTGAGGGTCTTCAGTGAACACCGTCCACAGGCACGTCAAGTGTAGAGCGAGCATAGCGAGCAGTCAAGAGGCGCGTGGTAGCCACCGTCTCCGTGACATCATGTAGCTGCCACTTTCTGCTTCACGCTGCCTGCCGTTTCTGACAGAGTCAGGGGCCATTGCACGCAATGCATCGCCCTTGCAAGCTTTGCTGCAAACACCGCCGTGTTTTGGTGACAAATTGGTTGCTGCAACATCAGCAAAACCATCATCATCACAAAGGGAGAGAGAGAGAGGGAGATTGAGAGGGAGATTGAGAGGGAGAGTGAGAGGGATTGAGAGAGATTGAGCGAGATTGAGCGAGATTGAGAGAGTGATTGAGAGAGTGATTGAGAGATAGAGAAAGGAAGAGAGAGATAGAGAGAGTAAGAGAGGAATAGAGAGAGGTTGAGAGAGATTGAGAGAGATTGAGAGAGATTGAGAGAGGGACAGAGAGATTGAGAGGGACAGAGAGAGATTGTGAGGGATAAACATACGTACACATGTAACAGTGGGCGGGTTGGGGGTGAGTACAGAATAGAGTGACAAAATATGTTGCAGCAGTTCGTGGAGGTGACTTTTTCAGTCAAGCAACCGACAAGAGAGAGAGAGTGTGTGTGAGAGAGAGTGTGTGTGCATGTATTTCTTACTGCAACGTACCCTTTGCCTGTTGGCCAAAGGGAGCTTGGCACCGCTTGACGGTAAGGGGTGGGGGGTGGGGGATTTGCAATGTTAGGGAAAAGGGCGCTGGCTTGCTGCAACTGAGGCTTCTCGCACCATCAATCTGATGCTGGATTTCATTCACGACATGGGCATCAACGTTAGAGAATGGGAGAGAGAGAGAGGGCGTCTCACACCATCAACAGTCATCAGCAATGAGCATCTGGCGTCTCTCTGATCCACCCGTGGTTGGTGCAAGTCTTGCACCAACAGGGGGTGCCCCTTTTACCGTTTTTCTTGGTCGGCCCCCTCCCGACCCGAACATGAGCCTCCCCAGCCGGCCAGCGACTGGCATTTTTCTTTGCCTCTGTCACGGTTCCAAGCAAGCTCGAGCAGCTCTGCCACCCTCTGCCCTTTGGCCACACACCCCGCGGTCGATTACCACCCGCAACACTCTGACCTTCAACAACACAGCTTTGGCCACTGCCACTGCTTCTGCCTCCTTTCTTCAATACCAGTGGCACCGCAATCTGGACTCGTCGTCTTTGTCGCAGCTGCCCTACACCACCAGCATTATGACTACCCTTGCCGATGGCCTGTCCCTCGATACTTTGCCCTCCGAGTCGAGCGCCACAATGACCACCGCCACCACCACATCGTCTTCACCCACCACCACCACCACCAAGCGCGCCAACACCGTCTGCCATGGCATTGTCGACTCGCTGGAGGCCAAGCTCCCTGAAAAGTGGTGGGAGACTCTTTTCGATGAAATGTACGTCTGAATCGCCCCTTGCTGTCAGATGGCTCTGATCGCCCGGGCTTGGTACCCATTTATCTCTTCTTTTGCTTACTTGGTCTCTTTTGTTGTTGGTTGTCAGGTACCTGAAGACGGATGGCGATGTTGTGGAGAATGCCGACATTACCGCCGATGAGGTCGATGCCATCCTCAACGCAGTTGCGCTGCCTGATCAAGCTGCCGTGTTGGACCTCTGCTGCGGCCAGGGCCGCCATCTTCTCGAGTTGTCCCAGCGTCGCTCCGATTTGCAACTCTTTGGTCTCGATCAGTCTGCCTTTCTCATCCAAACGGCTCAGGCCCGGGCCGATGCCAGCCAAAAGAATGTCCACTTCACCGTCGGTACCTGCGATGCTCTGCCCTACGAAGCCAATTCGTTTGACCTCGTGACCATCATGGGCAACTCTTTTGGCTACTTTGAGCGCGCTGAAGTTGATCAAATCGTCATTGCTGAAGTTCAGCGCGTCCTCAAGCCCGGCGGTACCGTTCTCCTCGACCTGACCGACGGCGAGCACATGAAGAATACCTTTAGCCCTCGCTCCTGGGAGTGGATCGACGATACGCTCCTCGTCTGCCGTGAGCGCCAGCTTGCCAGTGACGGCCGCCGCCTGGTCTCGCGTGAGGTCATCACTGACACGAACAAGGGTGTCGTTCGCGACCAGTTTTATGCCGAGCGCCTCTACACCTTCCCAGAGCTGCGCGCTGTGTTGGAGAAGGCGAGCTTTGTTGGTCCTCGCCAGATTGACATTCTCACAGGCGAGAAGAGCGACCGCGGTGGTCAAGACCTCGGTATGATGGCCCACCGCATGTTCATCCGCGCCAGCAAGGCCCCCACGGAGGTTCAGCTCCTGACCATGGGCACCCAGGCCAGTCTGCCCATTGAGACCACCGACACGGCCAGTGAGCAAACCATCTCGGGTGTCAGCACGCCCGGTACAGCCAAGCTTGTGGTGGTCATGGGCGATCCCAGCCGCCCATCATCGGAGAAGCTCAATCAGACGTGGAATGATGAGGATCTGCTCACGATCGAAAAGCTGAAAGGTGTTGTCCTTGAGCGCTTTCAACAGGATCGTGAAGTCGTCTTCTTGAACCACCACGACTCCATGTTCGAGGCCCTCACCGCTTTGGCTCGCGAGCACATCCCCCCGGTCATCTTCAACCTCTGCGACGAAGGCTTCAACAACCATGCTCGCCTGGAGCTGCACGTCCCCGCCATGATGGACATTCTCGGTCTGCACTACAGTGGTGCCGCTCCAGCTTGCTTGGCTATCTGCTACGACAAGGGCCTGGTCAACGCGCTGGCCCGTCGCCTGGGCGTTCCCGTGCCTGCCGAGGTCTTTATCTCTCACGAAACGGATTTGCGCCAGCTCTTGATCGACGAGGCGGCCGCCACCGAATTTCTACAGGATCTCGACTTTCCCGTCTTTGTCAAGCCCGTGCGCGGTGATGGCTCAGTTGGTATCACTGCCGACTCCATCTGCAACAACGTGGAAGAGCTCATCTCCTACGTGGAGGCCGTGCGGGCCAACCCTACGGTCTTGAGCAAGGATGTGGTTGTGCAGGAATACCTGCAGGGCGAGGAGGTCTCCGTCGGTGTTATCGGTAACCCTGAAATGGATGCCGTCGGTGACGTTATTCCGGACAGCGCCCTTTTCTTGCCCATTCTAAAGGCGGACTTTTCCCAGCTGCCCGCCGATTTGCCTCCCATTCTCTCCTATGAGTCCAAATGGGATCCCGAGTCCCCTTATTGGACAGACGTGCAGTACAAGCCAGCCGAGGTGAGCGCTGAGCACCGACGCCAGCTGCACCAGCAGTGCGCCCTCTTGTTCAACCGCTTTGAGCTGCGTGACTTTGGTCGATTTGACTTCCGCTTTTCCAAGCGCACGCAAACATTCAAGCTGCTCGAGGTCAACCCCAACCCGGGTTGGTGCCATGATGGTAAAGCGGCTCTCATGGCCCAAATGGCCGGGCTGAATTATGCCGACATGATTCAGCGCATCATTTTGGCGGCCGAGGCGCGAATCGAAAAGGCGCGGAATGCTCAGTGGAAGCTCTAAAGCTCCCCGAGTCTAGTCAAACCAAGTCAGCGAGAACAGACAGTTGGATCGACTCGGCTGTTTTGTTTTTAACAATCGTCTTCTGCTTGTGCATGGCCAAGTCCGTGTGTATCCCGTGTGTATGTTGTATTGTGTCGGAAGATGGGTCTTCTGATGGGCTAGCCTATGCTATCCTGTTTGCTCATGATGATTGTAATCAGATAGTCAAGTCCAGATGCGCTGGGCGCAAAGCTGTCGTTGTTTGTTTCTTCGCGATAATTGAGTTGTGTCAACCACTTTGATGATTCGCTTCTGCTCATTTTGGTTTGGTGAACTCAACAACTGACTGCCACAAGCTTGCAAATACGATTGAGACGTCGTTCACCCACACAAAGCAAGTAAGAGGTTACATAGCAGACATGAAAGTCGATGCATGGCACGGCCAATTGCATCGGCTTTCGAAAACAATGATGCGAACAAAACAAAACAAAGAAAAAAAAAAAAGACACGAAAAGGGACGGCCAAAGCAGGTGGCATTGAATGTCTGCTTTACTTGCGGGTCCGCAGGGTACGTGAGAGCCAGTCGAGCCCTTCATAGAGCCCATCAGCTTTGAGGGCACAGGTTGGCTGAATATACCACTGTCGGCTTCCAAGGCCATGCAGTTGCAGCCGCTCCGCTAGAGCCGCGGTTGCTTGCGCACCGGCAGCATCTTGTTTGTTGGCATACACCAACAGGCAGGTGTTACGCAGTGCCGGCTACATGGCAAGCATGAGGTCAGAGTGAGGACAGTACGGTGACTTCCGTTGTCCAGCACAGTTCCAGTGCAAAGATTTGTGTACATACGTCTTTCAGCATGTCATGCAGCTCCTCACGGGCTTCCTCCACACGCTCTGCATCAGCCGAATCCACGACGTAGATGACGGCATCAACATTGTTGTAATCTGAGTATGGCAGGCGGCAGTGAGGGCCAGCAACATTGGTGTTCAGACACGTTGGCGTCGAGCCCTTCAGCCAGACTTACAGTGGCGCCAGAGTGGCCGGATCTTTGACTGGCCTCCCACGTCCCAGACGTTCATGGACAAGCCCTTGTATTGCACTTCCTCGACATTAAAGCCAATGGTGGGAATGGTCGTAATGACTTCGCCCAGTTTGAGCTTGTAGAGAATTGTTGTCTTGCCAGCTGCATCCAAGCCCACCTACAAATTGCCAAAAAGGGGGTGGGGAGGTCATTGCTGATACCAAGTCCCGCTATATCTTGATGTGCATGTGCGTGCAGACGAGAAGACTCTAAACATACCATGACTACTCGGGCATGCATGTCGCCCTTGAGCCAGTTGAAGAGGTTGCTTGCAACGAGACCCATGATGATGGATATCAGGTATCGACAAGGATGGGAGTCTCAATGATCGAGCCGGATAGAGGGATGAAGAAAATGCCCCGGGACTTGAGCCACGCCCGATTCATCAAGTGTGGTCTAGGGACGCTCCATACAAACAAACAGACAGACACAGACAGACAAACAGACAGACAGACAGACAGCCGCACGTTTTGGTCTATTCGCCGTGTTGGCAATCAGCGGCTGCGTTGGCACTTTCCAGCCAAGCGAATCTCAAGGCAGAGACGCAGAGACGCCCTCTACCCCTGAAGTACTGCAGCCATACCATAGGCATGGTGCAGCGAGATCTGCTGACACTGCACATTTCCAATTGTCAGCACAGGGCCTCGCCTAATTAGACTCCGTTCGACTATAAATAGACGAAGTATCTAAAAAAAGTCTTTCGAGCATGGTGGCCGGCCAACAAGCCTCAAGCGTTGCCTGGTTGGCACTTTTCCCTCCTCCTCCGTCAAAAAGCGGGGGAAGAGTCGAGGGCACGCTCATTTCTTTTGCGTGTGTGTGTCTGATGAGTGCTCCTGAGCTTGTGGTTTGGTGGTGTGTTGCTTAATTGAGCTTTGGACATGGCGACGACGACCTTGCTGTCCTGGCTGCGTGCCAATGACGATGTGCGCATCTGTCTCAGCGCCACACAGGCCGGGGGATTTCAGGGTGAGCTCAAGTCTTTGCCCAGTCGATCATCTCGGTCATCGTGCCGCGAGCGCTGTCAGCGTCGGCTGCCCCATGATCTGGGCCTTGATCAACTACCAGAGGACATCCTGCAGCGAATTTTCCGTCATTTGAGCGGCGTGCAGTTATGTCGCCTCGGTCAGACCTGCCGCTATCTCTACCAGCTTACGAGCAGCGATGCCGTTTGGCGGGATTGCTTGCGACGGGAAATGCCCACCTGGCAATTTGTCGAAGCAGGCTGCTACCCTGGTCATCAACAACGGACCTTCCGAGTCAAAGAAACGTGAGCACTGCCCTTCTGATTTGCTTTTGATTATTAAGCCTTGGATTGGCGTTGGCGCCCGCCTTCTCTTTATCCACCCGTGTCCACCCGTGCATACAGTCGTTGATAAACGACGACCAAACCCTTGGTGCTCTCACCGCTTTCTTCTTGCTTACGTCAACCACGAGAACAGATACATGGCCTTTTCCCCCTGTGGACCCCGTTTGCAAGCACCACGAGTCACATCGCCCTCCTCGACCATGTCGCGCTTTTCGTTCGCTGCAGCCGGCCGTCGCCTGCGCATCGCCATCTGCGGTCCGGGTTTGGAAATCCCCAAGCTTGATGTCGTCTCCAACATCATGTACACGGGGCCTTTTCGCATCAAAGGCATGGTGTCCGGTCACCAGGGCATCGGCGGCGGTGTTGAGCTGCAGCACGAAAATGGCCGTTGCATCGAGCTCATCACCTTGTACCAACGCCCCCAGCATGAGCGCAACAACCCTCAACAAGCTGGGCAAGCAAGGCTGACACACAGCGGTCTTTCTCCTGCCGCACGTGAACTGCTCTCCACCATCGATGCCTTTGTGTTCGCCGTCAATGCCTCCCACATGCTCAAGGCTGATGCGAGCCGGGACAATCTTCTGTTCATTCATCAGACGCCAGCTCAGCTCACCGCGTTTGAGGAGTACTCGGCCATTCTGGGCCATTCCAACGCCCCTGTCCTCGTGTTGAGCTGTCAACACCCGGGCACAACGACCTGTGCGACGCCATCAACCGGTGTAGTAGATACCGTGGAAGCGCTGCGCCTCACGGGTGAGTCGCGCCCTTGGCGCATTGAGCATCTGCCTATTTGTGGGGCACGTGTTGCACTTAGGCGTGGCTTCGACTGGCTAGTCCAGGCCCAGCCGTCATAAGTCACGCCACCGAGCTCGGGCACAGTGCCAAGCCGTTGTGGTATGACACAACAGAGCCTTCCCACGCCTTCACGTCTTGCGATGAGAGTGAACTGCTCAACTTGTCTTTGATCGTCGGAGACATATTATGTCTTCACATTGCGCAAATTAATTTTTATTTTTGCACTGCCACTGGAGTTGTAATTTAATTGATTATTGATTGACTGCGGGATCATTCGTTTACTGTTCATGAATCCATTCACTTATCGTAGCGAGGCTCGCATTTTTGCGATCTGGGCCAGAATGTCATCGTCATCATCATCGTCATCATCATCATCATCATGGTCATGGTCATTAGCACCGTGTTCTTTGGCATGGTCGGGATTGGCATTTGACGGCTGATCGCCATTTTCAGAATCATTGATGGCTTGCCCATTGCGCCAGCTATCCAAGGCGTTCGTCGCCGACGGTGCTGAGACTGGCTGTTGGCGCACGGTCGCTCCGGCGTTCAGTGAAGACGTACCGGATGGGGTCAGGGCAGCTAGCCATTGTGAAGCCCGCAGATCGTCCTCATAGTTTGCTTCATCTTGTGCCACAGCTGTGTGCGGGCGGCTCCGTGCCAAAGATTCCAGTGAGCGCAATGTGTCTGATGCAGAAAATGGAGCTGCCGCTTGCGATGCCGTGGATGAGCGACGGCGATGCAGCCGCGTGGGGTTGGCACCTGAATCAAAGCGAGCGTCCTCCTCTGAGCTAGACGCCGATGTGGTGGGGTAACGTCGATCCTCGCATGCTTCCAAAGAGCCCTCGCTACTAGTCGACGCAAAGGGGTCGAATTCATCGGGTTGCAAAGATGCCGGTTGTGGGGCTGCCACGATGGGCTGCCGTGCAAGCGGCACAGCTTCGGCGTCCTCTGCCTCTTTGTATTCTTCTTTCTTAGCCACGGTCTCCGAGAGGCTGGCACCCGAAACGCTCCGCGACTCGGCGTCGTCGTTACTACCGTCATCCGCCTCGAACGGTGACTGTGTTTGGTGGGCAGCAGGCAGGGTGGGGGAAGCGTCCTCTGCTGCCGCTGTGTTGGCAGTCGTATTGCTGTTAGATGACTCACTGCTCTCCTCTTCACTTTCATCGTATCGCGCCGTCGTTCTCAAGACAGGTGAGGCAGACCCCTCAGCGTGAGATTCGGTACGCGAGTCTGAGCTTTCGCCCACGTGCTGCTGGGTAATCACGTCTGAAACTTCAACAGAGCTTTCAGCTCTAGAAACAGCATGCGTATTGGTTGGAGCAACGGGCGAGGCTGGGGTAGTGACCTCGTTCATAGGCGAGAGTGCGCGTGCAGCCAGTGGTAAATTTTCGAGTCTGTCAAGGGGTGCATCGGACGCTGGTGGCTCTTCATCATCACTCTCGATGCTGAGCGTACGGCGCACATTTTGATATCGCGAAGCAGCCGTGCGGCGGGGAAAGTGGACGCGGAATCGTGGTGCTGATTGTCTGCGAGCGCAAGCATTAGTACGTCATGAGCCAGCGGGAGGGCAGCTGCCTCGCATTTGAGCAGGGCTAGCCAAAGGCACGCGGTACAGTTGCTGGATGCGTCTTACCTTTGGCTCGTATCAGGGTGTCTGTCCGTGTGCGTGTGAGGCCTACCAAACGTGTCCCGCATTGGCGACTATCCCATCCATTAAGTTCAATGCAGTGCATGTGAGCCAGGTTCTTGTCCTTCCTCCAAGCGTCGAGGCCTTTCTGTGCCAAGCCTAGAAAAAAACCAACCTTGATTTCTCCTCGTGTTGTGGCCTCACGAAGGACTTGAGCGTGGCTCAGGCGCACCTAGGGGGATGGAGAGCAACGAGGTCAAGGATCAGCGCAGTGCGCCTCGCCCACCAGCAGGAGCTGTTTTGAAAGAAGCTGTGACTATGAACCGCAAGATGTTCAACAAGAATCGCACAGCCCGGTCATTCCAATTGACGTACTGGCGTTACCGGGGGCCGTAAGGCAGCAATGGGCCGTTGGATCGGCCGAGAGGACCGAGCAATTTTGCTTTCGACTGCCTCAGGCCGTGACGGCTCTTTTCGCGCTACTGGTGCCGGCGTGGCGGGCATTCGGATGGACTGAGCTTGCCAGGACTTTTCTTTGAGAATGCCTAGCAAAGTAGCAAACCGCCAAGTGAGTGAAAATTGACGGAGAACCAAGTTCTCGTTGACGGAATTTGTTTTTCCAAGGCCAAAATTGAAGACATTGTTGCGTGTCTGGGTGGAGAAAGGAGAGAGAGAGAGAGAGAGAGAGAGAGAGAGAGAGAGAGAGAGAGAGAGAGAGAGAGAGAGAGAGAGAGAGAGAGAGAGAGAGAAAGAGCGCGAGAGAGCTGCGTGTGGCCTTACCTGGCTGGAATGACTCCTGGCGCTGCGCAACCTCATGTGCTTGCTCGGCGCGGCGTTGGTCAAGCTCTGATTGACGCAAAGCCTTGGCCTCTTGCCGAGCCCGCAGAAGGGACTGTCGAGCGATTGCTAGCGTGTCTGGGGACTTTGGGCCCTCGGTTGCCAGAGATTGTGAGCCTCTTGAGCGCAGATTTGAGGAAGGGCCTTCATGAGCCTGGCGGTGCTGTGCGCGAGCGACTTGGGCAGCACGACTGTGGCGCGGCGTAGTGCGGGTTAGGTCACGCGGGGACTGCATTGCTTTGACGGCTGGCGGCTCTTCATCAGCATCGCTAGAGTCTGGACTGCCGTGGACCTCCCACTTCTGTTCCAAGCCGGTGACTTGGATTGAATCTGACACACAGCTTACAGGTTGCATATCTGGCCGAGGCAAAATATCCGAGTGTGTCGCGGAGTACTGAGGCATGGGCCATCCTTCCTTTGGATCGGGTACAGATTCGGGCTGACCAGAGGCCAAAGCATCTGCGGCCTGTGTGTGCGTTGGTGCTGGCCCGCGTTGGAGGAAAAACTGTCCCAACTCGCAATAGAGCTGGTGCAGGAAGGTCGAAGGGCCAGGGCCTGAGGCGGCCTCCCCACTCAAGGTAAAGGGCTTGGACGCGTCCATATTTGGTTGAGCAGTTGAACGGATGGCATGGCTCACAGGGTTTGTCAGACCGGCATCCCCAAGGTGTGTGCGATCGCTTTGAGAGATGCGTTTGGATGGTGCAGCTGGAGCCGGATCCGGCATGATGCCTCGGTGAAAGATGAGCGCTGGTGGCTGCCACTCGTCGTCAGCGGTTTTCGTCTCGATAAGGTCCAGGACTGGCCCAGGGGTGATATCAAGCCTTTCTGTCCAGTGTGGGGTGGCTTGTTGCGCGGTCGGTGACGGGGATGTGCGAGGCGCTGGCGCAGATTCCTGCCGAGGGGCCGAGGAGCCAGAGGGTGCCGAAGGAAAAGGGCGGTGGGACAGAGCATGGGGCCCCAAGCGGCGGATGCGACAAATAATGGAGAGGGTGCCCAGCGCGTGGCCATTCAAACTCAACATAGTGGCTCGTCCTTTGTGCTCGAGGAACATGGACTCGGGACGATGCAACCATAGCGGGCCAAGCTGCACGGCGGAGGAGGCCAGGGCAGCATGTTGACCATCTACCAGGGCCAGGTATAGGGGCAGGGCAGGCAAGAGACGGTCTAAGTCGGCCTCACAGCTCTCAAAGTAGCAGAGCTGGCCCTGATCAAGGCTGTCGTGCTTGCGTCCCAAGCCATGGTTCAAGGGCAATATGACCGGCTCGAACTGCAAAAATCGGAAAACCACAGCCCGGGCGTCGGCCAACACGGCAGGCAACACCGGATCAAATCTATCAAACCGACCCACCACAACCTCAACCGCACAGAGCTCCATGACTAGCCTCACTTCCCCCGCCCGCTCTCCCCCAACGAAAAACTAAAAAAACAATAACTATCAACCAGTCACAGCCAGCCGCTGCACCGGCCTCACTCCTGTGCGGATGCGCGCCAGCAGAAAAAAAAAAAAAAAAAAAAAAAGCAACGAAAATTTCTATAAAAATATCTGACAATTTTTCTCATTGTCATCATTTTTTTGGGGGGGGACTGTGATCATGGTGAAGGATCGAGCACAGTCGGCCTCAATGGCAGCAGCGCCCGACTCACTCCTGAGGCGGGTGGTGGGATTCGATCAGCAGATATCTCGCGCGTAAGTGGACATGTTGCTTTGCTCCTTTAATATATGTCACTGTTCTCGCGGTGGTGCCAATGGTGGTGGGTACACAACTGCCCTGCCACTTCGCCAAACCACGGCCTCACGCATGTGCACGGCGAGCTGTTCCTGATTTAGGCTGTATTACAGGACCTGGGCTAGCGAGGGGGCCCAGCCCATCATTCGTTACAGCACCAAGTTTTTGGAGTACAGCGGACATGGAGTCCCTTGGTTCATTCTGGTGGCTTTCTTGCTGTCGATTGAAATATTTCCTGAGCTGCCCAGCTGGGTGCCAGCCAATCTCTTTGTCGCGCTGATTGGCGACCTACTGGCCGCGGCCACCATCAAAGCCATCGTGCGTCGAAGCCGGCCCAACTACAACGAGTCTGGTAGGTGACCGTCTTGTGCCTGACAAGAAAGACTCACCGGACAGGGCCACAAGGAAGCACATGCTTGAGAATTGCACTCACGTTGCTGGCGTGCGTCTGTGTAGGTGACATGTTTGCAACCGTCTCTGTTGACCGCTACTCATTTCCATCAGGCCACACCACGCGAGTTGTCATGTTGGCAACCTTGGCTGAGCGGTTGCATTGGCCGACCGATCTACAATTTCTCGTCGTTGCCTGGGCCCTCGCAGTCGCTGCCTCGCGCGTCGTCCTCGGTTTGTCTTCTGCCTCAATTGTCGGGCTGGCAGGGGAGGTGGCGGGACTGGTGTTTGGGTCAAGCCCGCATGTATAGTCGTGGTTGCATCCTCATTCTTCAATGCTTTCTCGGCATGTTGTAGGTCGACATCACGTACTGGATGTTTTAGCAGGAGCCATCATCGGCTTTGCCGTGGCTCAGGTCATTGCTGCCTTCTTTTGGTTGGACGCTGAGCGCCTGGCCAGCTTCTTCTCTCACCTTCAGAGCAACGAGTTGTAATTCACATGTCAATTGAGACCCTCTGTCTACAGAAGAACCGTCCAAACCCCGCACTCGTGATTTTTTTTTTTTTTTTTTTTGTTGGGCCTGGAGCCCTTGCGATGGATGTGATCGACTTTATGATATGAAGGTTATCGTAGAGGCTTGGTGATTTGTCGAAGATATGTTAACCGACGTTGTGTTAGCAGGTGTAGCGCTCAGGAGCAAAGTCGCATTGTCATCCTTAAAAGACATTTCAAAAAGGGGCTGTAAGGTTGAGTGAGGTCTTTCGCGGATCACGTCTGGGCATTGAGGTTGGCGGCTTCGGCTGGGGGTGACGGCAGGGGGCAGGCGCTGCGAGCGGTGCCTGCCAGGAAAAGAGAGGACGCCAAGACCCTTCGAGCGACGAGGGTTTGGCACACGGCATGGCAGCCCACGCAGCCCGGGCTCGCTGCTTGATTCAGCGCCGTCCGGGGCTGGCCACCGGCTGGTCTGCGTGGCCTCAGCAGCGGCACCAGGCCACCAGGGTCGGTCCCTTGGCGGCCTACTATCAGCGCGTTGAGGAGCAGCATCTTCGATTAGACCACGCACAGGTAGGCACAGGAGCTCCTTCCGTTGCAAGCTTGGCACTCTTTCATTCTATTTGCCGATCATTTGCAGGTGGTGGCGGGCCAACACCTTCAGCGTCTACATGACGAGCTTAGCCGGTACACTCCTCCGCTGTTGGGCGATTATGATGCTCATGTGCGCCTGGAGTGTAAGCGGGCGGTGCGTCATTGCTCTCTGACTCGACATCTCGCAGCCTCAAAAGCTGGTTCTCTCTCGAACGGCCGGATATCTTCACCATTGTTTGTACTGGTTGATACATATATATTTTTTTACTTTTTATTTAGCGCCAACGCCAGCAACGTCAGCTGCTCGAGGACCACGAGCGACAGATGGATGAGCTATATGGGTTTGCCGGGGCTGAAAAGGCACGGCATATGTCCTCGGTAAGTGCGAGTTCATGCTTGCCTGTCGCTTCCAGGTCGTGTTAGGCCAGCGCGAGGCTCAGTTTATTCGACGTGGCAGCCGCCCTCTGTGAATCGCGAGTTGCTGGATGCCGACCTGAGCCAGGAAGCCGCAATGCTGCCCAGTCTTAAGGAACCACCACAGGGAGTCTATTTATGGTCAGACTGTTGCCTCTTTGTCAGCGACGCGAGGTCAATCCATAAAGTTGTTGCCGTGGACACAGCAGGCTCATCGATCGACAATGGACTGGTGGACCCAGGGGGCCAGTGGGCTGTGGCAAGTCCATGTTGATGGACCTTTTCTTCGCCGGTGCCCCTGTTCAAGATGACCGGAAGCTGCGCATCCACTTTCACAGCTTTATGCGTGATGTGTTGGCGCATTTACACCGACTGAGCCTCAACTGCACATCTACCCAGCGTGCCACCTACAACGACAATCTCATCCAGCTCATTGCCAAGGGCATTGCACAACAGGTGGGCAACTGTTGTTGGGCTGCTGTCGGTTAGCTCATAATGGTCAATAAAGCAGGGCTGCCTCTCCAAGTCCAGCATTGGGTCCAGTCTTCTTCTCAGTCCCATTCTGGTGGTGACATCATTCTGTGCAGGCCTACGTGCTGTGCTTCGATGAGATGCAGGTGCCAGACGTGGCCACGGCAGGTATACTCTATCGACTTTTTCAGCACCTTCAGGACTATGGCGTGGTTGTGGTGGCCACCAGTAACCGTCCACCGGCCGAGCTGTACAACGGGCACTTTCGCGAGGCCTTGTTTGAACCCTTTGTACGCATTCTCGAGGAGCGCACCGAGGTCCTAAAGGTAGAGGGCGAGGCGGACTATCGTGTTCTTATGAGGGGTGGTGCAAGTGCGGTCGAAGGCACCCGTGCTGCTTTTTTGGATCCGTATTGCTTTGGCCAACATGCCCGGCGTGATTTGTGGGAAACCTGGGAGCTGGCAACGGAAGGCCAGGTCAGGACCCCGTGCCTTTTTTTTCCCTGTTTACTGACTCGTACATCCAGCTAGGCTCATGCGCATGACTCGGGGATGCAGCAAATTTCGGTTGCAACAGTACCAGTACTGGGGCGCGACGTGGTGATTCCGCGCGCCAGCGATGACAGGCAGGCATACTTTACCTTTCAGGAGCTCTGTGCTGCTCCACTTGGGCCCGCCGATTACCTGGCTATTGCTCGACAGTTTCAAGCCGTCTTCTTGGAGGGCGTGCCCAGACTCTCCATGTCGACGCGCAATGAAGCTCGGCGTCTCATATCACTGGTTGATGCGCTGTACGAGTGTAAAACAAAACTCTATGCCAGTTTTGACATTGCCCTGGAGCGCCTCTTTGTCGACGTGCGTACCCTTGGGCCCTGTGGTGCACAGCCAGCTTCTTGAACCTTGAGAGGATGACCACTCGCTCACTGCACGGGTATTCTTGGGCGTTTAGGTCGAAGACCCCGAGGGTGATCGTTTCGAGATTATGCATGGTGAAATGATGGCACAAATTTTCTATGATGTACGTGAGCTGGCAGCAGATGGGATAAGGGCGCGGGCACAGAGGTACTGGCTGATGCATGCGTGAACAACAAATGATATGGCAGTTGGGCATGGATGAAACGCGGCGGCACGATGCGAGTCCGTTTCAGAGCAACCTATTTAGTGGTGAAGAGGAGATTTTTGCTTCGAAAAGGTATGTCCCCTGGCGTGTAGCTGACAGGGAATGACACGAGCGTTGGCCTCGCCTCGTTGACATTGGTGACTGCTGGTACGGCTCTAGGTGCATATCGCGACTGCAGGAAATGCAAAGCCCCATGTATGGGACGAGTGATCACCAAGTACGTTTAGACAAGCGTGACTAGGCTTGAATGGGGTCTGCGCAGGCCAGGATGGCGATCATGGGGTGGCGGGGACTTTTTGGTATAACTCGCGTCTTGCGTGCCTCAAGGACGCTCTCATGCCGCACGCGGTATCCCCTCCTGTACTTTTGGCTTAGGCAAAACTGGGATTTGTGGAGCTGGATCCAGGTGCTTTGGACTACGGGCTCGAGGTTGCAGCGAGCGCACCAAGCGCCGATGCTGTAACCCAACCGCGAGCAGATCGCCGTAACAAGCCAAAGTTTGGGGCCAAACATTTTTGGGGTGCTGGCTGGTATGTAGCTTTGCACCTACCCAAAAAGCTCGAGGCATGTCACGCAATTAATAATCGTCTACTTCCTGACTTGGCTTTTTTTAGGTGGGAGTCGATCCTTGAGCGGCGCACGCAGAAAAAAGACAGCTAGTGGACTTGAGTTGCCAAAATTTGTGAGCTGTGGTTCGGCGTCGGGGAGGAACTTGCACACGAGGCCTCTACACCAATTTCAATCCAACTCAATTGGTGGCGCTGACACTCAAGATCATACGCCTTTTACAGACAGCAAACATCTCGGGTAGCCAGCGAGAAGAGCACCTTTGGAAGCATAGCCCAAGAGCTGAGAACGAATAGAGGAATCAAATAAGCGGAGCTGTATGTGTGAGTGAGTGAGTGAGTGAGTGAGTGAGTGAGTGAGTGAGTGTGTATTCATTTTGGGGCACAATTAGCAGTCAATCTCAAGATCGGGTTGATCCAGTTGCTGGGCCAGACGCCAAATGCATGGGCAACACTGCGCCAAAGATGCACCGGCCGCATCAAAAACCTTTGCGAAGCAATCATAGCACTGATTGCCGTCGGCTGGATCGTCGTCATTTGGGGTGATGCAGGACTTGCACTCTGAATACGCGGCTGAAATGTCCGAGGCGCACCCGACCCAGTCGTAGTTGCTGCAAGAGGCAGGGTTGTGGGGATCGTCCCCACCGCCATTGATGGCACAGCAGATGGATTCGTCAGCGGGATACGGGCGGCGAGTGGAGGCCGGCAAGTTGGTGGGAGCATCGCCATAAGTGCAGCAGCAGCCGGTTGCATTGAAGCTGCCTGTTGCACCACTGTGAAAAGGCAATTGCGTGGCATAGGGGTGCATGAGGTGCCTGCGGAGTTAAGCACATGGGTATTGGAGTTCAGATGCAGACGGTCGAATGACATACGGATGCTTGCTGCAAAATGCAGTGCACGAGTCGGCGTCCGTGACGTTCCACGCGCCGCATGGGCGAGAGCCGTTGTTGGGGATGCGAGTCGGGTGAATGGTCGGACGGGTGCCGTGGGTCGAAAAGGTGGGCTGGCCGGTGGGGCGAGTGCGGGAGGAGTGCGGGCGCGTCGATTGGGCCCCCGTTGGACGCGCGCGCGTTCCTGGGGGTCGCGTCGGAGTCTCTATCGAATGATAAAAGTCATTAGTTCAAAGTCGGTTCAGGTAGGAGCGGCGGCGCGCATACGTACGGGCGGTGGTTGGCACAGCCAGGGCAATGGCGACAAGCACCAAAGCGGCAATCGTGAGCGTGTAAGCCTTCATGGCCACGATGCGAGACGAGGTTCTTGCAGACGATCAAGCTCTTGGGAGCGGGGAAAAGAAAATGCGAGATCGTTTCCTCGACCGCCCCTTTGAAACGGAGCGTAGCCACCATCAAAGACTCCATGTGTGTGTGTGTGTGGGAGTTTGGTCGGAGCGCGCGATCTCTCTCTCTCTCTCTCGCTCTCTCTCTCAGCCTAGGATTCGTTGCTGATGAGGTTTCTTGTTGATGTTCAATGTTAAAAACGCAAATGTGGCAGTTGATGCAGATCCTATAACATTGCACAGTTTGGCTTATGTCGATAAAATGGGGTATTGTAACGTAGCCAAGGTGCTTGGGCAGAATTGGTCACAACCAGGGATAGAATTTCGCGACATCGCTTAGTTTGAATTCTGACTTTAATCACACTTTGGGTGATTCGTGTCAGGAGCGCAAGCGACCAGCACTGACGTGATCTTGATGTTTTGCTCTTCTGGACTCACACCACTTGTGAGCAAGACACGCTCTCCTGTGCGAATGTTTTTTTCTCTTTTTTTTTTTAAAGCCCTGAGTTGACCTCAGACCTGAGCCAGAGACATCGGCGGAAACCACACGCGAGGGCACGGAAAAATCAATGTTCGTGGGCACAGGTCTTGCGCTGGGAGTTGAGAGGCCCGGTTAGGTTGATGGTGAGTCAATTAGTGTGTGTGTGTGTGCCAACCCAGCGAGCGACTTTAGCTGGGTGTGCAAAGAACGTCGAAAGTTGGATTGATCATGTGACCTTGAGCGTCAATTGAAGGCACATCAGCCCATAGAAATTGTACCCTTTGACATTCATGTCGGTATCGCCTTGACATCGCCATATGGCGATATCGCGTGGCAATACTCGCTCTTACGTTGCGTACTGCTCAATATCATCGAGGGACACGGGCTTGAAACGGTCAGCTCCCGGTGGACGCATGAAGATGACATCGCGTTGGATGTATAGCTGAGCCCGACCAAACTGAAAGATGGGCTGACCGTCTGGTGTTTGGGCCCCGGGTTTTGGGACATAGTCAATGCCATGCCGCGCAGCCACGTCTTGGACAAGGTCGCGCATGGTCACCACCCGCGCAGCGGGCGGCGGCGGCGGTAGCTTGGACGCGGGTGCTGAGCCAGCTGACCGTGACTCGGCCGGTGTTGTCGTCGGGCCAGCTGCCAGCGTTTCGGATCGCTTCAAAGTCTCGGATACAGCCTGGGGCAGTCGGGCCGCATCGCTGACGGCCAGGTTGATAAGCTTGAGCATAGCCATAAACTCACGCTTGACGGTCGGCTCTGCAAGCACGGCAGCCGGTAACAGCGCCTTCCAGCCTTGATACCATTTCATCACCTCGGGAAACTGTACCCCTGGTTGCACAAGCCACTGGCAGAGGGTGCGCAGGAGCTTGGGAAGTAGATGGCGTACCAGAAGCGGGATCAAGGTAGCCGGGCCACCCAACAAGTCTTGCCATGCAAGGACAGCGCGCACGACGCTCAGATCCTGGTTGCTGGGATCCACAGCCACGGCCTTGAGTCCAGCCACAATGCGCGGGAGAATGGCTCGTTGCACAAAAGCAGACATGTCGGTGGTGCTCCAGACGTTTTTCCAGGGGGCCAGCATAGCCAAGGCTGAGCCATCCGTCACGGTCCAAGCCTGGAGACAGCTCATCAGCTTGTAGCGTAGGGTTGGATAGACGGCCTCTAGCGGGGCGGCGCCCAAGACTTCGACCAAGGGTGCCAACCAGAGGTGAATGGGCACAGGGTCTGTGCGCGGGTCCCACTCCTCGACAGCGCGTTGCACGCGCGGCAAAACCAGCTGACGCAGCACGTGTTCCAAAAGCCAGCCGGGCAAAACCGGCGACCAGGCTTCCAACACAGTGTTGAGCGCGGCTGCCTCGCTGTTTGTGCGCGGATCCCAGTCTGCCATGATCGCGGTGCGTAAACGTGGGAGAAAGGTCACCCACAGCAAGTGCTCATACTCTTCCATCTCCACTTCTTTAGGCAGCGCTGAGGAGCGGAAGCGATCCTCGTATAAAAGTTCAAGGCGAGCTTGTGCGAAAGTGGCAACGTAGCGGTCAGGCTCTTGCAATGGACGCCACGTCTGCAAGCGACGGATCAGAGCCGGTTCTAAAGCCGACTTGAGGATGGCTGGGCATCCAAGGGCCTGGTAGGCGCGGCCATGTGTCGTGCGTAGCTCGGTAAAGGTGGCGAGCGTGGCGTCAACGTCAAGCTTGGGGCCCGCCTCCTCAAGTGGGGCAAGGGCAGTCAGCAAGGCGGCCACCGTTTCCAGGTGCCGAGTCTCGCTTGTCAGCTTGGTGTTCATTTCCTCCTTTTCCTCACGAAGGGCTCGGAGCTGCTGCTCCTCTTGCTTGACACGCATGTCGAGGCGCATGAGTTCGGTCTCGGCCATGCTTACGAGTAGGTTGACGTTGTGCTGAAGCTCAGGCATGGGCACCTGTCCATCGACCGAGGCATAGACGGGACGCTGATCGCCAGAGAGGTTTTGTGACACGCCCGAGGTGGAGTCAATGACCCGTTGGCTGGGTCCGGTCATGTCGATAATTTTGATGCCCGGCGCAGGGGCGGTCCCCTCTGCGGGCGCTTCTGGGCCTCGAGTCTGCAGCAGGTCTTCGGCGGTCGTGTACTTGTACTGTTTTCGGGGAGCCTTGCGTCGACTTTTGGAACCTGCTGCGGGATCATCTCGGCGCCACTGTTGGCGAGCTTCACGGAACTCACGGATCTCCTCATCCTCGCTGTCTTCCTTCTCGCCAAAGTCACGGCGACTCTGTTCGGTGCGCTCACCCTGGTCCTGGAGGCCCTGGTTGCGGCGGCGGTTGCTGTTGACTTCAATGGGACTGGAAATGCCCTGTTCAGCCACGCCGAGACCCTTACCGGGCTTCCATCCCATCTTAGCCAGCAGCTTCATGCCGATGCCCTTGGAGTGTTTTTCAAAGGCGGCAAAGTCACGGTCCAGTCGCTGGCGACCACTTGTATCACTGCGAAATTGGGAGTAGCCTGCGGAAACCGAGGAGGAGGACGGGGCTGCTGCAGGAGCGGGGGTGGTTCGTGGCTGCTGCAACTGGCCAGGCGGCGGCGGGCCAGCTCGAGAGCGGGAGCCGGAGGGCCGAGCCGCATTTGCAGCGCGCGGACGTTCAGAGGCGTGGGGTCGATTGGCTCGCGGTGGAGGCTCGTCCGTGCGGGTGTCATTGTCTTGATTTTCATCGGCGGAGCTGTCCCCACCCGTGTCCATTTGATGGCTGCCTATGTTGCACAGCGACGTCAAACCAAGCCGTGCGTCGGGGGTCATGTGCGGGAGGGGAGGGGAGGGGAGTAGAGAAGGAAGGCGTGAAGAAGGAACGACCGCGCGTCAAATCACCACGTACTGCTGGCGACAAATTGCATGGCTAGGCTGGCAGAGGCACTCTGACTTCCGAACCCGGGCCGCCCGGCATCACGGCGGTCCTGGCCATTGTCTTCGTCCCCGCTCTCATCAAAGACACCGTAGATGGCCTGCTTCTTGGACAGCTTTCGATGCCGTCGGTTGGGGTTAAACTCGTTGTTGACATCCCAATCCGTGACCTCAAACCGCTCCACCTCTTCCTCACTGCTCATGACACTGGTGCCGGGCGGGTATGCAGACACAAACGCAGCCACGAACACATGGGGGGTCTTGCGCGCGCGCGCCGACCCACAGCCCGTCGTTTTCGCACGTTGCGACTGCTGGCTCGGTGCTGGATGAACTGAATATCCAGTGCGCGAACGCAGTGACATTGGATCAAAACTGTCGGCGTTTCTGCTTACAAAATTTGACAAGGTCGAGTCTCCACGAGTCTCGAATGGGTCTCACCCCTGCACACATCCAGCCAACAACACCACTCGCTCGCCTCACAACTCCGTTGTTGCGTTGGATGCATGTGCAGTTGCCGTTGATTGCTGCCCTCCTCACAGTTGTTGCTAGTGCTTGACCACTGCGATCGCCACGGAAAGCCACGGCCAGTTGTTACCAACTGTCAGAAGCCCCTTCTCCTTTCGAGTCATGATCGGTCTGGTCGTCCTCTTGTGTCATGTCGTGGTCGTGGTCAGTCTGAACACAACCGGGGCGTCGAGAGCAAAAGATGGGGCAATGGACATGATGGCCGTTCGGTTTACTTGGCCGGATGCCACACCGCCATGCATGTAACGTGTCTGTATTCTCATTCAGAATTCAGAAAATAAAAAACGCCAAGAGAGAGAGAGAGAGAGAGAGAGAGAGAGGAACAGAGAGAGAGAGAGGAACAGAGAGAGAGAGAGAGAGATGAATTGGTTTGGTCAGTTTGAGAACGAGAGAAATGAAGAGCAAAGAAAAGCACAACTACCACATGTAACAACAACAGGGAACAAAAGGAACAAACAGAAAAACAACAACCAACGACAACAACAGAGAAACAGAGAGAGGAACAGAGAGAGAGGCATTGAGAGAGAGGCATTGAGAGAGAGAGGCATTGAGAGAGAGAGGCATTGAGAGAGAGAGGCATTGAGAGAGAGAGGCATTGAGAGAGAGAGGCATTGAGAGAGAGAGAATGAGCAGCAAAAAAGCAAGAGATCCAAAAGAAAGCAGGGAAGGGCTTTTTTTTTTTTGTGTGTGTGGGACCGTTTTGCAGTTTTAGTCTTGGCTCTTCGCGCCTTGAGGGGGAGGGTGTGCCTCGTGCTGTGCTGTGCTGTGCTGTGCTGTGGAGCGGATTCGTATCGGGAGGGAGGGGTTGCTTTTTGTTGAGAGGGGCTTTGTGTGGGTTAGCCATTCGCACCCTCTATAGCCCCTTTGCTGCGCGCGTGTCGCCACTGTCGCCGTTCTTTCGCCGGGTGTGCCCTTTGCGTTCTCAACGGGCTCAACGGCGGAAACACACCCGCTTCTGAACCCGTGTGACCAACACCGCTCTCATCCGGTCGCCAGCCCTACCTCAGGTGTGTCTTGCTCCCCTCTCTCCCAATGTATTTGGCCCCCATCAGTCTGTATCCGAAAGCATGCCGTCCAGACACCACCCACACAAAAGCAAGAAGAGCAAGCCCTTGTTCACGAGGCACACGGCCTAGCACAGCCCTCCCGTCATATCCCTTTGCCCCTTTGACTTGAAAGATCATTCATCAACATGCCCGACATGCTTCCCCCTTTCCGCACACTCTCATCCATCTGCTCATGTCAATTAAATCATGCGCGGCTCGGCACGGAATCCTTACACACAACAATTTCGTCCGTCACCTGGTCGGGATCAGAGTGCCTGGCTCCTCTCACTCTGGCCTTTCACTTGACTTGATCTCGTTGTTTGACATGTTCCTGACATGTTACTGATTAGACTGGCCCTCTTTGCCGATCTCAAGCATCAGGTGTCCCTGCTGGTCATCTTTGTCTCCTGCACACACACACACACACACAACCGACAACGTGCGTGCACGTCTCTTGGCAGCTTTTCTCATTCTCAGCCGTGTTTTGCCGGTTCGTTCCCTGTCATCGTCTCTGGCTCGCCCACCACAGTCGATTTGTGCGTTCACCTCGTCTTCTGTAGCCAGCCATTTCACCCCATTGTGGTCGCCTGCGCTTGCCCCAATCTTTTGGACTGTCCAATCTTAGCAAAAAGCTGAACCGCGAGACAAGGTTCAAAAGCGGCGCCACTAACATGGCTGCCGCCAGTGATTCAGAGGCTCCCAAGCCCTCAGATCAAACCGACCTTTCAGAAGGCAAAGGTGCCCCACACTCCTCAGAAGCTTCCAAACAAAAAGCCGCTTCTTCCGCTGACAAGAGCCCATCGCCTCAAAAGGTGTGACCGCTAACCCCAGGTCCCACTTCACCTCTCCCTCCGGGGATAACTCTCTTGTGTTCTTTGGGTCGCATACACCTTGCGACATCGAGCGCCACGACGGGGTCGGCAATCATATTCTCCATGTCCATGCCGCATTCACCTCTCGGCTCTGCTTTCTCCCATAGACACCCTCCCGCACGTCGGCGCATTCGTCACCACCAGCGCGCAGGTATGTCGTGCAGCACCTCTCATGCAGCTTCAGCCGCCCCTGCCCAACTCACGCCCTGACCTGCTGTATGCATATGCACCCAGCCCCGCCCCCGAGTCCAAGACTGCTCAGCCAGCCCTAGTCAGTGACAAGGATGCGGCACAAAATGCCGATATGTCTACCAATGACCAAGAGACGAAAGAAGCCTCCCTGCTGGAAACCGACAACAAAGCCAACGAGGCAAGTCCAGATGCAGTTTCCGTGCAAAATCCCGGAACGGCTGCGTCGCAGGACGATGGGAGAGCAGACAGCGGCCCATCGCCAACTAGACCGAGCGAAGGTGCACCGGCTCAAGACAAGCAGGCCACATCAGGGGATGACGAGGCTTTAGCAGATGATCAATCTCAAGCCACTGAGCGTCCAACCTGCCCCACTCCCATTACTGCCGCCAAAGCCTCAGCCCCCGCAAATGAGGACATGGCCCGAACAAAAGACTCCGTTGAACCCGATGAGGAGGTTGTGCTCAAAGCTGATGCTCAGTCAGACCCTCACAAGCCGACATCGACTGACGCATCCAATAATAAGCAGGGTACTCCGACGGTTAGTGTTGTCGAGCCCTCAGATCAGGCACAGCGTGGTGACGCCACGGCACGTTCCCCAAGTCATAGCAACGGCCGGGCTTCCGCCAATCCGGACGATGTCGCGCCAGCCTCGTCAGCTCGCCCCTCTTCCCAGCCTCGTCCCATCGATGACGGGCAGCTGAGTGAGATTGCTACACGATCTGACCTTGATGTCCAGGTCGCCGCTGCACAGGCTCCAGCACGGTCCGATGGATCAGGTCGCGAATCAGCACCCCGCCCTGCTGCACCCACAGTCATGGAAATGGTGTCTGGACCCGAGAACAGTGCGAGCAAGCCATCCAAGAGTGAAGCAGCCTCTCAGCGCAAACCAGGGTTGGACTCAGACGATCACAACACTGACACCAGCAGTAATGCGTCTACGAAAAAGCAAGAGCACCCGGCCGCCGAGCACCAAAAATCGCGCAAGTCACACAAGAAGCGGCGCCACAAACATGAGGCCGAGTCACAAACGCGGCCACTGGGCCAGGCAGCCCTCAACTCGAGGCAGGTAGCAACCCACTCTGAAGAACCGCGGGGCGAAGCCAGCGGTAGTGCCAAAGGCACCACGAAAGCCACCAAATCTGCAGAAACAGCGACAAGCAGGGCCATTTCAGCTGACAAGGCCGGTGGCACCAAGGCCGCGAAGACTGGCAAGCGTCAGACCAGCGCAACGGCCAAGGCCGATGACAAAGCCGACAAAGCACACGACTCGCGTCGTCCCCAAAAGGATGGCGAAGGTGCTGAACGGCCAGCCAAGGCCGGAAAGCGAAACAACGGTTATGATAACGACGTACGTACCCGTGCCCACCACAGTGATGCTTCCAGGACCTGCGGGGAGGGCCAAAGACCAAGGGTTTCGAAGAGAGGAGGCTTGTTCGTGCTTTTCTCGTCTCGAAGGGAGGGTCTTTGCATGTGAGCGTATCACGTTGTGCAATCCACACGATATGCCTGGCCCTCCTCTCACCTCCATGGCGACTCGTTCAAATGCGCACTGTCGTGGCGATTTGGGTTGTGTAGAAGGATGATTACATTATCAAAGTGGACGAAGTGCTGTCCAATCGTTATCGTGTTGCTTCGCAGCTTGGAAAAGGAAGTTTCGGTCAAGTGGTCAAAGCCCACGATCTACACTCTCAGCGCGACGTTGCCATTAAGATCATCAAAAACCGCAAGGCCTTTGAGCGCCAAGCATTCACGGAAATCGCTTTGTTGCGGGAGCTTAACGAGCGGGACAAGGACGATGAAATGAATATCGGTGAGCTTGCGATTATTTCAACTAAATCAACCAAAGGGATTCTAACAGGGCACACGCTCGGGTGAGCATGGGCTAAACTCACATCTCGTACTTGGTGCAACTAGTCCGCTTCCACAGCTACTTTAAGCATCGCAATCACTTGTGCCTCGTGTTTGAGTTGCTGAGCTACGATCTTTATGAGCTTATCCGCCGCACCAAGCATCAAGGCGTCTCCCTGCGTCTTGTTCGCAAGTTTGGCTATCAAGTTCTCAAGGCCATCAAATTTCTTAGCACATGTGGCATCATCCATTGTGATTTGAAGCCAGAAAACATTCTTCTGGTGCGTTGATGCTCCAGTGAAGGCAGTACATGCTGCTTGCTATGGCCCAGCGTGGCTTGAGACCTTGCTTTCTTTCTCTTTGTTTTCCGTTGACAAGACCAAGTTTTCAGCGTCACGACTGATTCACGTGTGTTGTACCCTCCCTCCTTCACTCGCTGACATCGCAGGTTTCACCCAAACGCAGCATGGTTAAAGTCATCGACTTTGGCAGTAGCTGCCGGGTGGAGAAGACCGTGTATCAATACATTCAATCACGCTTCTATCGCTCGCCTGAGGTCATCCTCGGTCTTCCCTACTCTGTCAAGATTGATATCTGGTCTCTCGGCTGCATTTTAGTTGAGCTCCTCGTGGGCCAGCCCCTCTTCAACGGCAAGAACGAACTCGATCAGGTTTGTTTCGTGTTGACTCTTCCCTTCGCGTCACCCCCCCCTCCTTTTTTTTTGGTCGCAAATGCTTCACTCACTGGATTGGTACACCCGATTTGCCCTCATCAGATGCATAAGATGGTTGCGGCTTTGGGCAAGCCACCTAACAGCATGCTACGAAAAGCGAAAAAGCGCAACAACTTTTTCGAGCAAAAGTCTGGTAGCACATACGAGCTCCTGCCCAACGAGGAGGTAATAAAGAAAAAGAAAAAGAAAAAAAGAAAAAGAAAAATCAGTTCTCGCCTTTGTCAGCGGCTCATGGCGTTGCATAGCAACTGCTCTCATGGTGAAGGCTCCTCTTTGTTTCTCTTTGTCGATAGGATCGGGCACCACCCACCATTACTTCAGTCACCGATCTTATCAACGGACATTACAAAAAACGAAATGGCCACAAGGAGGCCACGGGTCATGAGAAGGAAGATGTGGAGCAATTTTTGGATCTTGTGCAAAAGATGCTTGTTTACGAGCCCGACAAGCGCATTGACGCGACCACTGCCTTCAAGCACCCCTTTTTCAGGTTTGTACATTTGAGTGTTGGACCAGATCTTCTTTTGTCTCCCTTGCTGATCAAATTCTGGTGTGTTCAAAGCTGACAAGCCGATCTGATGCCTGGGGGGTTTTGCTGGTATAGTCGCTACCATGAGCGTGATGAATCCGGCGCCGATCAGACGGCTGGCGGGCCATCTGCGGTGGCAGCTTCACAAGCAGCGTCCAAACGATCGGCCTCAGCTGCGCATGAGGAAACCGCCGTTGAAGGGAGCGGTGTGTCAGTGAACCCTGCCACGGCTCAAGGCAACATTGGAGCCACGGCACCTGCTAGTATGGCGACTACTACACCACAGCAAGTCTTTATGATGCCTCCTCAATGGTCACAGATGATGGCGCAAGGTCAGCCTTCAAGCATGCAGAGCAGCAGCACAAATGCCGGACAGTATGGTGGTAGTGCAATGCCATATATGTCAGGCATGCCCATGATGGCTCCTGGCATGATGTCTGGTATGCATCCAATGATGATGATGATGGCCTACATGAATCAGCAGCAAATGCCCAACGGCATGGGCATGATGGGCTCGAATCCCATGACCATGGGTGGTCCCAATGGATCTGCAGCTGCGGCCATGGCGGCCCAGCAGATGCAAGCGGCACAGGCCCACGCCCAGGCGCAGGCCCAGGCCCAGGCCCAGGCCCAGGCCCAGGCGCAGGCGCAGGCGCAGGCGCAGGCCCAGCAGCAAAACCAGCACAGCCAAGCCTCCGCAGCGGCTCAGCAGCGACTCATGGAATCTGTCAAGAGCAAAGGAGCCGAGGCAAAGACCTCAAGTGGTGGACAACATGGCTTTGCTCATCCACTCTTGATGATGCCTGGTGCTGGCATGGGTGATGCTGCAGGTAGCAGTGCCCAGCATGCTTCGGGTGCAAGTGGTGGCATGCGTATGGGGATGGACTCGAACGGGGCCGCTCAGTTTATGCCCCCTCATATGATGGGTGGAGGTGCACCAGCTGGCATGTCCATGGATAATGCCATGGCCAATGCCATGGCTGTATTTCAACAGCAGCAGCTGCAGCAGCAGCTGATGCAGCAGCAACAACAACAGTTGCAGCGGCAGATGCTTCAGCAGCAACAGGCACAGCAGCAGCAAGCCCAGTTCCAGCAAGCCCAGTCTGGCGCACCTAGCGCTAAGAAGTCGCGTCGAGGCGATCAGGGTTCGAATTGACATGCCACTTAGGCTGGCTTATGGTCTCTGCGTTCCCAGTTCAAGCCTTCGGTTGCACTCGGGTCTAGACTGTCAACATCTTGATTTCAAGGCCACCTTCACATGTCAATGATCTCAGCCGTTTTCGCTCATCCTCTCTGAATGGCAAAAAGTCATGGTCATCGGTGACCATTTGTGTATATCAACGTTTCGTCTGGTGTGTTGTCCTGGGCAGCGAGAGGCATGAGTGTGTGTGCTTGTCGGTTGGGTCTGCGTGGAGTTCATGTTTCATGTATCTTTTTGCAGTTAGTACAGCTTGGCCGCTGAGATAGGCAATCAGCTTTTGTGCAATGGCGGTTGTTCACGATTTCATATAGTTGTGTTGCTTTTTTTTTTTTTTTTTTCCATCCGTGGTCTGTGCTCTGGCCAGTCTTCACACGGTCGGTGAGGGTATGATTGTGTCTTTGTATTCATCCGTATGCGTTTGAGTGAGGCCGTTTCTTCTTCTTGGTGCGATCTGCCTGCCCATGCGTGCATGCGCGTACGACATGTGTCCTCTTGTCGACAGGCAGGGGTATCATTTTACATGTTAATTGATCGTGAGCTTTTTCTTTTCTGTCTTATTTCAAGTCTTGTCATCTTTTGAACGCCTGGGGCGAGGCCATCGTGAAAGATATGTCACGCGATGCTGTCAAGGATTCGGTGTACCAGCGCCATAAACCATTCCATGGCTGGCAGGGACGGGTCAGGGGTGCGCTCGACTGGGCTGCTCAAGGCGTCCCACACCACATCCATCTGCAATGATGTCAGCGCCAGAGCAACGGGGGCAGTGGTGCTCGCAAGGGTTTCAGACCCTGTTTGCTGCCCGGTGGTGCTCTGAGTGGTGTCATCAGCAAGGAAATCCATGACACGCGTCTGCAAGCGCAAGGCAGGAGTCAAACGTGCCATTGTGTGTGTGTGTGTGTGTGTGTGTGTGTGTGTGTGTGTGTGTGTGTGGAAAGTGAGTATTGACATTGCAGCAGCTAGTAAAATCAGGGAACTGGGGCGATTGGCGTCAAAAGGATGGTGCGGGGCTGAAACATACTTGGCTGAGTGGTCTTGTGCGAGGTGAATGGGAGGTGGCAATGTGTGATTTCATCGGACGCTGGCCAATCTCATGTAGCTAGGCCGAGTATTGCATTGGCAGTCCAACGTTATGGAGGCTGCTCATGGACGAAGCAAACCATCTCGGTCAACAGGAAGCTTTGGCAATGCCCAGTGCACTCACCAGCTCAGCAAAAGTAAGGGTGCTATTGTGCTCGTGCGTGGCAAGTATATCGATCATGTGGGCAGAGAATTCATCGGACAAGCTCACGCCAATATGTGGTGATACTTGGTGCTGGAGGGTGGACAGGTGGGGGTGAGCATCAGAGATGTGCACAGGTGCAACACAGCAGCCAGAAGGAACAGGGAGATATCCAAGCACAGACCGAGTAGCTGTCTTCAACACGCAAGCTTGAGCCGATGCTAGCAATGTGCGGGGCGCGAATCTTGCTGCCCATGGTCTCAGCGTGGCAAGTGTCCAGGACAAAGACAATCTCCTTGTACCTGGGTTCGGCAATCATAAGAATTCGGGTTGATACAGGTCCTGATAGGCAGGGAACATGCCGAATATCTCATTTGAGCGCAAGGCGTACCGCCTCCCGGAGTACATTTGGGCGAAGACGTTGGCTATTTCATGGCTGGATAAAATTTCCTTGTCCTGAAACTTAAAAAAGTCCTCTCCACCGTGTCCTGGGCAACAGCGAGAGCGAGTAGAGCATGACCTCTGAGATAAGCGCAAGGCAGGCACCGCAAGCAAGCTCAATGACATGACACGCCCGCGCAAGCCACGGCAGCGAGCTCAGTACCCGTCATGTAGAGAAAGATGCGAGAGCTTGCGTCGGAGTTGAGGCGACGATGTCGTGGAGTATGTCGTGGTAAGCGACCTGTGAAAAACAGCAAGGGGGGCGCGGTGTCAGGCTATCGTGGATCAAGCAGCGGGCAATGGCTTTTAACTGAATACCTGTCATCAATCGGACAAAGTTGTCAGCCGAGACATCGGCGTCACGATAATCAATCTCCACGGTACTGTCTATGAGCCGCAACTCAGTTGATGAATGAAATGCAATTCCAGTGACAGGCCGCGGTGGTGCCTAGCACGTACCAAAAAGATTATCCTTGATCTGGCGGTCATGAAAGAGGCGGCCGGGCTTGATGTTCCGCGGGTTGCAGGCATGGTTGTCGGCAATCATCAGCAGAATGCGCTCATCGGGAATGCCGAGCCTCTTCACCGTGTGATAAACCGCGAGGGCATTGGTGGTATGACGATAGTTGTACCAAAACTTGGAGGTCGACACGATCACAACCCAGTCATTGGTCCCTGTCGTCACCACTCCCTGCCCACTGAGCGTAAGCGCCATTAGCCACAGCCCCGCCCACCAGCCCATCGACGAGCGCGCGCTCGATTTCATGATTTCGGTTTTCACACAAAAAACTTGACAATTGGCTCTTTTGGTGTATTTTGTCTGACATCGATGAATTGGCAAAAT